ATCAGGGCACGCCTTAACGAGTTTCACCACATCGGCATACTGGCCGATCCAGTAATAGTCTCTCGCCGCTCGATGTAGCCTACGGGTAATACCTTGATGACCGCCTTCAAGTGAGTCATGACAGCTTTGCAGGACCTCTTGGATCATTGTTGTGGGCACCACGAGTCTCATCTTCAACTCGGCTTGCTCGCCGTCACTTGAACGACGGCTCGTTCTTGTGTAATATAGCACATCGTCCTCGCTCAACACAAATTGGTCCGCCATTTTCCATGCATCTCGTGCTGCTCTGTATCCAATCTTCGCATCATCTCCCCGGAGCACTGCCTTCAGATTCGACCACCGTAACTCTTCATCTTGAGCGGAGGCGATTCTCCTTCGGCGTTCTTCCTGTACTACCAGCGGGTCAATGTCTTCTGCGTTCGGTGGGGCTGGTGACGTCTCGGCACGCAGCGGTGAAGCTTCTGCTTCATTCTGAGACTCGTTCGGCACACCATTGGCATCTACTCGGTGAAATGCGTCTCCCTGATCGGTGACCGAGACTTCATCTGCAAACCGGACGTGTTTCTCCTTTGCTCTCGTTTGACGTCTGGTCATCACAGCTACGCGTCCGGGTTCAGTCTCGTTCTGCCGTCTGCGGTCGGTTTCTCTTCGCACAAAATCGAAAAAATTCTTGCTACGAGGTTTGGCAGAAACTACCACGGCCCATACTGTGTTGGCCGAGGGTATGTCCTCGACGACGCAGCCGTCAGCAGCCTCGTAGATGACTTCAGCGATACGGTTCAGCTTCATCAGCTCTAATACTCGGTCGTCCGACGATACCACCGTAGACTCCTTGCACTCGAGAGTCTCGCTTGCCAGAGAGTCGGCCGCAGCGTTAAACTCTCTCACCACATGCAGGTACTTCACCGACCGAAGCTTGGCCGTGAGTTCTTGGTGGTGGCTGAGTTGTTGCAGCAATGACTCCTTCCGACAGGCTATCACCCCTAGGGCTTGCTGGATCGCGAGCCTCGAGTCGCCAACGACAACTAGATCGTCGGCTCCATGCTGTAATGCAGCAGAGACGCCGTTGTTCATCCCGGTGTACTCAGCGAGGTTAACCGTGGTGTTCTCGAGGTAAGCGCTCGCAACAAGCACTACTGTCCACTCTGGTAGCTTCCATAGTATCCACGAGCAGCTGCCGTATCCACCGTTCTTCTCGGTCTTCGCAGACCCGTCAAACGACATAACGAAGCCTCGGTAGGACCGCGGTAGGCGTGCGTAGAGCAGATGCGGGTCCAAACGAGTAGTTGGTGACCCTCGTGTCCGGGGTGTGACCAACGCCAGTGACTTATCCAAGTCAACGAAGTTCGTCAAGCCGGCTTGAAGTAGCTGAGCAAACGAACAGTCGGTTTCTTTGACTCGTTCGACCAACAGGTGCCACGGCGACAGCAAGACGGCGAACTGGGTAGCCCGACCGAACAATGTCTTGGACTTGTGGACCCAGTCGAGTGTCGAAAACCGAGTGTAGACCCGGATTCGCTGTCCAACGAGTTGAGTATAACACACCTTCAGTATCAGCAGAAGCGCGAGGACCTCTTTCTCGGCCGGGTGATAATTCATCTCAGCATCCTTCAAAACACGTCCGCAGAAGCGAACGGGGTGTAGTTTGCCCTCGTGCTCTTGCATCAACGTGGAACTTAGAGCCCACTCGTTGGCGAACAACATGACATGCACCTCCTTCTCCCGGTCGAAGTGTCGTAGTATCGGTGCTGCCGAAACCTTCTGTTGGAGCATCGCGAAGCTGTGCTTGGCCGCGGTGAGGTCACCCCCGGGCTGGAAGTCCTCGTCCTTAAGCTGGTACAGCACTGCTCCATAGACCACGAAGTCTTGGATGAAGCGACTGTAATAGTTCAGTGCCCCAAGGAAGGACTGCATTCCTTTCCTCGTTGACGGGAACGGAAACTCGGTCACCCCAGCCAGCATCTTATCGTCCGGTCGGATACCTTCTGCTGAGACTTCGTGGGACAGGAAGTCTACCTTGGACTGCACAAAGATGCTCTTCGTGATGCTGATACTAATACGGCACTCTTCAAACCGTGCCAGCAATCGGCCTAGCGTCGCCAAGCACGACTCGAAAGTCTCGGCACCGAAACAGATATCATCCACGAATGACCGGCGACTGAATACTGGTGTCAACGAGGAGTCAGCGGGCTCCCCGTTGGCGAACATGTTGGCGATAGGGCTGTTGACCAGTTCGGCTACAGCTCCCTTACCAAGCGAGTTGTCTCGGTCGGCCTCGAACTTGGTCCGGAATGGCTTTGCCGTACCAGTCGAAGCCTCGTTCACCCCAGCATGAGCTTCCTTGTCATGTTCTTCAGCTAGACGCATGCGCTCCGAGAATTTAAACCATTCTCCCGTCGGTTGGACGAAGCCCCAAAGCGCGTTGTCAATCATGCGTTGATAGATCATCGGTGCGTTCTTCAGGCCGAAAGGCATACGCAACCATTCGAAGTGCCCCAGTGCGCAGACGAAAGCAGAGATCTTCCGAGCTCGTTCGGTCATCATAATGGCCCAGAAGCCGCTAGCGGCGTCAAGCGAGCAAAACCACAAGTACGCCTCCATGTCCGTCAGCAAGTCATCCACCAAGGGCATGGCGTACTCCATAATCTCGGTGATCGCATTAACGAGTTTGTAGTCGATACACAGGCGGATATCCACCCCATTCTTCTCCAGGACGATGACGATTGGCGACGCCCATGGGCTGTCTGAGAAGGAGATAAGCCCGGCCTTCAACAGACCCTTCACCAATTCGTACAGCTTACCGAGGAAGCGAAGCGGGGTCCGCCGAGCCTTCTGCTTGATTGGCGCGTGCCCCTGTATATTGATGTCACACACGACACCGTAGGCTGGAGGCGGCAGGGCGTTGCCGCTCGCAATCAAGATCTTCTCGTGGCTCTTAAGCACATCGACCAGGTCCGTCTGCTGCTTCACGCTGAGTTCGTCACTCTGGACGTTTTGCCCCGAGTAGTCCAGTGTCGTCTCTGACGCTTCGGTTAGGTCCGGCAAGAACGCCAGCTCTTGCGCGTAGTCGGTAAGCTCAATCTCGTTCGCGACGTGCTCCGAAACGTCGTTCACGGTGTCATCACCTTCGACAGACCCTTCTGCAACCATGGCATGCATGACCGAGATATAGGTCGCCTCCAGTAGCTGCTCGGGGTCGTCGATCGCACTTAGATCGGAATCATGGAATTCAGTGTCGGCGTCAGCGGTGGAGGTTCCGGCTTCAGTAGGAACGTCGTTAGGCCCTGGGTCGTGTTCACCCCAGTCGACTTCGCTACTACACACCGCAGCCGACGTTTCCTCTGGCTCCAGGCTGGACGCAGCGGTCCCTGTTGGCAGGACATCCCATGTAGTTGTCTCGGCCACTGCTACCACGTCGCGGTCATCCTCCGAACCGTCGTTCGTCACGCTGTCACCATCACTCAGCTCATCACTGGCTTCCGATGCCTCAACCGAGGCGTATGTCGCTCCCTGGCCGGTGGAGTCAGCACCACTGTTCGGATTCACGGGCAGGCAACCCGCTCGGCTAGGCGGCGAGTCTCCGGGTACGTCCGAGTCATACGACGCGCTGGCCTCGTCGTCCGAACCATCGTTCAACCCACCAGCACGATCCACATCGGTTTTATCAGCTCGAGCGACATCGACCGAGCCTTCACTGACCTTGGGGTCGTCGTCGTAGCCATGTACATCGGGTGACGAGTACTCATCATCCAACGGAGCTTGTTGACGGCCTTCTGGCCATGGCGGTGCATCCGGTGGCCTCGGCAGGATCTTTCGCGGCGTCGGGTAAGTTCGGCGCTCGACCGCAGGCGGCTGTTCAGCCAACTATTGCTCGTAGAGACGACGTTCTCGTCCTTGCAGAGTCTCATCACGACTCGTTGAATAGGCCAACACCTGCCACTCTTTGTACTTGTTAGAATTCAACCTCGCGTAGCCGGTCTCTCGCGGTAGTTCACCATGCGGTACCCACAGCACCACGGAGTCATGCTTGGCGCACTGTTCCGCTGTGGTCGTAATATTGGTGAGCCGTATCCACGTCGGCTGCCCCCGTCGAAACCTCGTTACGGTCGGCACGAGCTTGCCTGTGCGTCGTACCCACACATCGTACTCCGAACGAGGTAGCCGCTGGCGCGGCAGTCGAAACTCTCGCCACTCGCGACCGGGTACGTACAAATCCTCGATCGGCTCACACGAAGGCTACGTGCCGTAAGGTTCGTCATCTTCAGCACTCTGCGACTTTAGCAGTGGTACCATGACCTCGTCCGGAAGGCGTGCGGTGCCATGAAATAGATCCAGCCGGATTCCAGCCGGGATCATGAAGTCCATCCCAAGGACCACATCCACCCCGGCACTGTGATTCATTATCCACATTTCAAATTCGTAGACCTGCTCCCATCCGAGGGTGATCTTGACGAGCGCCCGTCGCCGGGTCTCCATCACCCCTGGGTTGATGCCGCGGACTTCGAGACTTCGTCCGTAATCCCGGACTTCTCGCACACGTAGCCGCTTGGCGAAGCTGGCAGAAATCACGCTAACATTCGCTCCAGTGTCAAGGAGTATCCTCGTTCGCGCGTCGTCCACTGCGCCATTGACCAAAGCCCTCATTCGCTTCCTCTTGTCGTATCGTTGGGACGACCACCACCCCAGTCTCTCACCGGGCAGTAATTTCACCGCCCGAACGAGGTTCCGAGGTGGCCCCCTTATCTGGGCTAGACTTGTGATCAAAGCCTTGGTCGGGTGTCTATCACGTTCATCATCATCATCTTCATCAATACCAATCGCAACGAGACTTGCGTCCCGGTTCTCTCCATTTTCCGTCGGTTTCACACGTTCATTGTTCTTCAGGTCGTCAGGCCGTTTGCTTTCGCCCGTGAACGCGAACAGATAGTCCGCATCAACAGCAGGCTCAGCTAACTGTGGCAGCCCGATTGGGACCAACCCAGTTTCAGTTGGCGGGCTGCCTAGTTTAAATGGCTTCCATACACCAGGCTTTGCAGCTCTAATGACAGATCCTTCTTGTCGACCTTGGACTTCAGGAGCTTGGTGAGCTCGTGGAGTGCTTCACACCTCCCAGCGTCGTGCACCTGTTTGCACAGTTTGCACCGCCGGTAGCAGAAGTGCACCGAGTGGGACGGGCTTCCGCACGCGGCACACGGCCCATACTGGCGTCGACCATCTCGTTCACGGTTGGACGGGCCTCCTCCGTTCCTGAAGCGTCGGTTATCAGACCGAGCGAACGTTCCTTCGGCTGCGGCCCTGCGCTCAGCATCGTTAGCAGCAGCGACATGTCCGGTAGACCCATCCGAGTCGTAATCAGCGTCTGAATCCTCGTCCGAGCGTTGGTCGTCCGAGTATTGGCGCTCATCCTCGAAGTAATCCTCGTTCGCCTCAGCATCACGTCGGGGAGCGTATGGAGCCTCGTTGCGTGCACCGACCGAGCCTCCGACGTTCCATTCCGCCATCACATCGGCCAGCGCGTCAACCAAAGTGACTCGGGACTGGTACGGCGATCCATCGCGTCGGTCACGGCGACGGTCGTCTTCACTGCGGTCGTTGCGGCGGCGGTTGTCACGGCGACGTCGTTCGCGACGGTCTTCGTCGTGGTAGCGTCGTTCGCGGCGGTAGCCACCACGAGAATCCTCGTTCGACCTCGCATCGCGTCGACGTCCATCATCTTGACTCCGAGAGTGGCGGAACGACGATTCTCGGTTCGATTTGCGGTCACGGTGACGCAGGATGTCGTTGATCATGTCTTCGAGGTCATGGATGCTCTTGACCCGGACGTGGCACAGACGGTCTTCTAAGTTTCGGTCGTCACACGTGACCAAGTAGTGGTCCACGTGGTCCTTCGCGTCACGACCACCGTTTTCAAATTGCACACCGGCGTTGCGAGCGTAGCCGTTGAGCCGGTTGAGGTAGTCACAAACGTGTTCCTTGTCTTCCCGCTTGGCCGAGTAGTACCGAGCCTTCGCAGACTGGGAAAACTTCGAGCAATAGTACTTGATGAACGCCTCGCTCAGCAACTTCCACGTGCGTCTTGTCTTGCGTGGGAGCTGGCGACACCAGTGCAGGGCTCCATCCCTGAGCTTAAGTTCGAACCGCATACACCACTCGTTGGGTGGTGCATGCGTTCCCTTCATCTCATAGATGAACGTTCGGAGCCACTGCATGGAGTGCTCGCTCTTGTCGCGCGTTCCGTAGAACGGCTTGATGTTGGCGAGAGGCAAATGCGTGGCGATCTCGAGCTTTGGGGTTGAGCTCTGGTTGTCGGTCGCGCTTAGCTCGCGCACCTGACGTGTCCATTCGCTCGGTAGGTCCCCTTCGTAGTAGTCGGACCTGAGGTCGTCGTCGCTGTCCGACGAATCATCTTGGAGGTCGTAACGTCGGCCGGACCGACGACCGGTCGCTCCGCGCGTGCCAGGCGTGGCGAATGAAGCCTCGTTCTCCCTAGCCAGACGTTCACAACGGTCCGTAGATCGTGGTGTTACCATGTGCGAGTCTTGCATGTACGGCGAGGCTTCGCCCTTAGTTGCAAAGACACCGTCATCAGTGGCTCCCTTCCGAGGGGTCGCTGGTAGCGGGACCGTCAACGGGTCTACTGCCTCCGAGGTCGAACGAAGCATCGTTGGCCCTCGCGAACTGACGTCCGCCACTCCAAAGGCATTACGCAGCTTCTTCCTCCACTTGGTTAACGCCGTGGCAGCGGCGGTCGGCGTCCAACTCGCGAGCGCAGCCTCCGTGGGGAGGATCTGGGGTTCGCACCCCATAGCTCGCAGGAGGTCCACAGTATTCTGCGCAACTTGCCGAGTGCTCGTTGAGTTGATCGGCGTAGCCAACGCCCCTCCGAGGTCCATCCAGATGGTCTGGCGGACTTGCTTCGGGGAGAACAACTGCATCCATTCGCTCTTGGTCTTCATCAGGTCTAGGCACCGGCCTAGGACCTTGTTGGCCGCCGGGGTATCCCCGTTGAGGGGAGGACGAGTGCCAACCGGCTTGGGGGTTGCCCCTCCTACCGTCACCGAGGGTTTGAAGCCCTCGGTGGCGCCGTCATCCGCGTCGTAGGCGGGCTCGGGGCCCGGCATGTCCTTGAACGTGTCGGAGAGGTCGCGGGTAATCGACCTTGATCCTCCACTGCGACCTGTCGACCCAACCGCAGCTTCCGAAGTCTCGGACATCGCTGTCCGGACATCCCAGTCATCATCTTCGTCATCTTCTTTGGCGTCCGAGGAATCAATCGCCGTGTCGTAGCTCACCGAACGCTCGTCAATCGACTCCATCCGATCCGTCGTTGGGGTCGAGAATGAGCTTCCGGAGCGCACCGAAGTCTCGTTGCGCGTTCCACTCGACTTGGCCGGCGTTGCTGGTACCGCTGACTTGACTCTCTTCGCCATCTTCTCTCTTCTTCTTCTTCTTCTTCTTCTTCGCTTCTCTTCTTCTTCTTCTTCTCCTCTTCGCTCGTTGGGGGTAAAGACCTACAACAACCAAGACACACAGAAGGTCACACCAATCCCGGGTCGCGGCACCAGTTGTGCTGTGGTAATTCCACTAAAATCCTCCTCTACCAAAAGGTATTAGAGACACCAACAACACGCTAACCCGCAAAGGTAAGCGCTTATTGGATCAAAACCTGAAGACCAGGAACGATCCCTTACACCGGGTCGGTTTCAAGCGCCTCTGTGCAGCTTCGGTTAACCCAAAAACCTGTACCACTAGCCACGAGCTAAGGCTAGGATACTATGTAGCGCTTTCGCGCAACCCCACTGCAGTCCCTCAGAAAGGAAGGGTACCGGCGTGTTAGGCCTTATACAGGGGGACCAAGGTAAAACCTCGGTAGGTAGACTAATACACTCAGGGATACTCTAATCCCACAAATATATACCGAACGATACTCTAATACCGTTCCTGCCTCTCCGGCCACGCCAACTCTTGGCGCTGCCAAGGAAACTCTCGGTCAATGCACGATAAGCTCCCCGACAGGCATCGACACGCAGCCGAGTGTGTCCAGGCACTACAATAAGCTAGCTACACTTACCGAAGTCGGACTTGACCCTTGTTGGCTTTGGGGGAAGACTGTCTTTTTATTACTGAGTTTTCTGAGGCCCTGGGGGGCTCGTTCTGGCCATCCTATGATGAGTCCTATGTCCCTATACAAATATCTAGTGTGAACGATCGCAATAAGGCGATTCCGGACACATCAAATGACGACCGCGGCTACACTAATAAGTGCGGCCGAAGTACGTAACTAAATGCATCTGTACCTAAAAGTGGGTACCATGAAGCCTCGTTCGGGGTTCTATTAGGACCCGACGAGGCTTCGGCCACTGCCTGTCACTCTGCCGAGGATAATGTCATCATCCAATCAGAAGCAGCCATCTCCGTCTCTCGCTTGACCTCGCCTTGATCGCCCCTTGATTGAACTTGATTGTCGGGCTGGCGGGTCAACAGCGTTGGAAACTGCCACTTTCCAATACCACACGGCGAAGAACGAGAGCCATCGCGCCATGCGCTGCGATAAGTGTGGAGTCTTCATTGCGGTGCGCAGCGACGCGTGGTACGTGTACACGGCAAATGTCTGCTCTCCGAGCAAGTACACCCGGAATTTGACCAGGGCGTAGCGCATAGCGAGGAGCTCCTTGTCGTGGACGGGGTAATTCCTCTCGGCAGGCTTCATTCGCCGTGACTGGTAGCTCACGACGCGTTCGTGGCCCTCATCGTCGAACTGCATCAGCGCGCAGCCGATTGCAAAATCGCTCGCGTCGCACACGACATGGAACGGTTTCGTGTGATCCGGAAGCATCAGGATCGGCGCTTCCGCCAAGCTCTTCTTCACGGAATCAAACGCAGCTTGGTGGTCGGGGGACCATAGCAACGTCGCGTCCTTTTCCAGCAGCGAAGACAGCGGTTGGACCAGCCCGGCGTAATTCTCCGTGTACTTGTGGAGATAATTCGCCAGACCCAGCCACTGACGCAGCTCCGTGGGGTTCTTGGGAGTTGGCCAAGAACAGATCGAGGTGACCTTCTCCGGATCTGCGCGAACGCCGTCCTTGCTCACGTAGCAGCCGAGTACGGGAATCTCCGGCGCACAGAAGACGCACTTCTTCAAATTCGCGTACAGTTTGTTCTCGCACATCACTTGGAATACCTGCCTCAAGTGTTGAAGATGGACCTCGACAGCACTGAGGTTGCCCTCAGCGCGGCTGTGCACGAAGATGTCGTCGAAGTAGCTCGGCGCAAAGTCGCGGAGCGGGTGCAGTACGTGAGACACCATGCGGTTGAACGTGGCTGGGGCGTTCTTCAGACCCTGTGGCATCACGAGCCACTCCCAAAGCATTCCGCTGGGGGTGCTTACTGCCGTGAGGGGTATGTCGCTGGACCTCATCAAGATCTGGTAGAAGCCGTCCGTCAGGTCGATGGCGCTATAGATGACGCTACCTGACATGGAGTCGAGTACCATGTCCTTCCGCGGGATCGGGGTCTGTGCCGGGATGGTCGCGTCGTTCAGCTTATTGAGCGCGTGGACGATGCGCCAGGCGCCAGTCGCCTTCTTTACACAGAACGTGGGGCTAGAGTGTGGGGAGGTGCTTTCGCGGACGTGGCCGGCCAGGCGGCGCTTTTCGAAGAACTCGTCGATGGCCTTGACCTGGTCTCGCGGCAGTGGCCACTGCCGCGTCACGCAGTACTTCGTTCCGGGCGAGAGGTCGATCTCGTGCCGAACTCCGCGGTCGGCTGGAAGCCGGCGGGGATCTCATCAGGGAAGACGTCTTCAAACTCGCGCACGGTATCGTAGACCGGGTTACCCGACTTCTTCAGCGCTTCCCAGGACTGCGCTGCGAATCGCTCTTCGCGGGCAGGCTTCGGTTCGGCACTCCTCGGCCGCGACGACGTGTCGTCACCGCTGAGTGCGTGAAGACCCTCGGCTGTCCCGCCGGCCTCGGTGATTAAGCACACCTGCTCGATGTCACCAGCCTTCAGATCGCGAAGGAAGTGTTTCCACGAGAGCCCGGGGAGCCGAGTGATTCCGCGAGCGTCGCGAGGTGGACTCGCGACTTCGATGACCCGCGTGCCCCGTGGAGCACCCTCCACGTATTCGACAGCGCAGAAAGATTCCGTCGGGGGAGGTGCGGTTTTAGTGTTGTTCCGTGGCCTGAGACGCCGTCGCTTGGATTTCCTCCTCTTCCTCCTCGAAGACCTCGAGCAGGAGCTCGAGGTGGACGAGTCGCTGGCACTGGACGACACATCGTCGCTATCGCTGGACGATACTTCACCCTCCTCTAGGTGCGGAGTGGCGAGCCCGTCCGCATCGGAAGTACGCGGGAGCACCGCTTGCTCGACCGCCTCGTTGATTCGCGGGAGCCCACGTCGCTCGACCGCCTCGTTGGTTCGCGGGAGTCGAACGCGTAGTTCATCTCGATCACCAGGAAGTCGTCGTTGCTACGGATGCCGTCGAACGTGTACGGCAGCGTGATATCACGCCGTGGGACACGGTGTGGCTTGCCGTCAGCGAGACGACGCCGGGGCCCTCGCGGACGGATATGTCCGAGGGAAGAAGCGACAAACACGAGGCGCGGAAGAAGTTGTTCGTTGCGCCCGAATCCAGGAGCGCACGGAGAGGACGCCGCGCGCCGGCGACGTGCAGGCTGACGATGATCATTCTGTGGTCGCCGCTGGTGGTGGTGGCATTGAAGTGAGCGTGAAGCACTGGGGGGCTAGGAGATCGGGTTGCCACCGGGGGACCCGGACCTCCGTTCCAGCCAGTAGGGCGCCCCGCACCTACTGGTCCCGGTCGGTTTTTGGTTGAACGGCCAGGTTCTTGTCGTCGGCGCGAGCGACTGCAGCGTGCATCGGCGCAGGCGCGCGGAAGATTGCCGCGCGATGACCCAACTTCCACAACGGTGGCAGGTCAGCGAACGGGAATTGCGGCCTCCGCGCGAGTAGTACCGCCGGTTATTCTCCGCGGCTTCGACGGCATCGATTTCCATTGGCTCGGGCGTCGCTGCCCGAGCGTCCGCCGGCAACTGTCGCGAGTACGAAGCGGATACCGTAGTCCTCGCACAATGCGAGGGCGAACGCTTCTTCCAGCGACTTCGGCTCGGGGCGCGTGAGACAATAGCGCGTCATTCCTTCTCGCATGCCAAACACGAAGACGTGGACCTGCGAAGCCATGTCGATGGGCCTCGTGATGATGCACGAGGCCAGGTGACGAGTCTTCTGTACGTAGTCGCGCATGGACAGCTTGCCCTGCTTCAACACGAAGAACTCCGCACGCATCCGCGATTCGTCTGAGGGAGGCTCGAACGCAAGTCGAAGGTCTGTCTGGAGACTGTCCAGACGCGGGAAGGCGTGTTGGTCCACAACAAGCTTGCCGAGGGCCCACTCCTTCGCATTCCCCGACAAACGCGACAGGAGGAAGTTCACTTTCGCCGTCGGCGCCTCGATCAGTCTCGAGGTGATGGCGATGTCGATCTCCCTGAACCAGCGGTTCAGGGGCAGTCGGTCTTGGCCGGCACCGGAATACGTCGACGTCTCCATCTTCACCGCATCGTTCCGGGAGGAATGCGAGGGAGTTGACACTCGCCGCTTGGCATCGGCGAGCTCGCGTTCCATGAACTCTTGGGCAGCCTGGCGTTGTTGGTCGGCGGCAGCTGGCTCAGCAGCGACGTGACGACGAACTCGCCGGAGACTGCAGCGAGGCGGTGAAGAGCTTCCCACTCAACCGGGTGAGGTGGGGAAAACTCGTGTGGTCAAGGGTTACACCGGACCCTTCGGACATCAGAACTTGGCTCATCTTGGCCTTGGACGTTGGAAGGACTACAAAGTGCTACCAGGTGTAACGGGGTAAGAGATACCGTCACTAGCGTACACTGTAGATAAGAGGAAGCTTGCAATAATAAGCTCAAGTCTTGTCTTTAGGGTAAAATCAACTCTGTTTATGTATGGGACGGGGGACGAGGGCGATGAGAAGCCCGAGTGAAGCCCTTACCCTTGTGAACCACTCAAATCAAAGTATGCACCTGATTGGATGAAATGGGTCTGTCTCCCCACTTTCAACCAATCAGAACATGACAGCAGGTCACACGCTCGCCGTGTGACTGCACCTACTTTTGTGTATGTACCTATGTAACTTCTACCTACTTATGTAAATGGGCCCTTTACAGGCAGACACACTCGCGTCGCTGAAGCAGCTGCGCAAGGTGCACAATGCGCAGCCTTCGGCCATCACGTTTCCAACCTCTGTGAAGGCGAAGGTCGCTCGGATGACACAGGTCAGCGAGACGATCGGTCCATTACTAGAGGAGATTCGGTCGTCGTTGAACGCATTCGCGAGACCTGGCTCGTTCGAGTATTCGACAGAGGAAAAGGACGAAAAGGGCGACGAACTAGTTGCCCCATCAAGTTGGAGGCGCAACCGGGACGTGTCAAGACAGCGATCGACACTTCCAGCGTCATCGGGGCCTGTTCAACAGTCTTCGGCCTTCATGGCGTCTTCACTTCGGAACAGGCCTTCCGAAAATACAGTTGCCGTAGCTTTTTAAGCTGCATCACTCATAAGTTATTCCGCGGACATACCGAGGTCAGAGAAATAAATTATCAGTATATTGCAACAATTCCAACACAAGATGGCAACCTGTATTACGTAGTTAAGGCTCTACTAACCTAAGCGTTCACAACCTTCGACACCGTAGCGGCTCCCCAAAAACGTCGATTAATCTTCAGAAACAACAGTATCTCGAGACGACTGGGGAGAATGCGGTGGCGGTGCAGCGACAAAACGTGGCGTGCCTTGCTGAAGAGCTGCTCCACCGCATTAGACATCGGCGGGATGAAGCGCACCCCACGGTACACCTGCGCAGCTACATGCTGCTTCTTGCGGGCGCGCAGTGCGCGATCAGCAAACCCAGCGCGGTCGTTGTCGTCTTCACCGGCGTCATCGCTGGCGCGACCTGCAGCACGCACAGCAAATGGACTTAGCAGCTTCTGCTCTTCTGACGTCAGCGCCGCCTCGTTTCCGAGCAACACCTTGACACACGCGTTCTCGAACGCAGGGCTCTTCACAATAGCCGCATTTGCGGCTAGGTACTGCGCGACGGGAGGGTGGCGCTCAATCAGAGCGTCGAAAATATCACGCACGTCCAGCAGCGTGACACCTTCGTCGCCCTGCAGCTTCTTGGACGCGGACTTGAACTCGCGGAGGTCGTCGCCGAGAGCCCGGAGTTTGTTTTCTTCGTGGCGCGTCAGCATGAGCTCCGCCAGCTCGTCATCCGACGTGTCGATGAAGTCCATGATGGCAAAAAAGCGCTTGACCATCTTGTAAGTCGAGTCCCAACGTGTGGCTTGGCGCAGTACCGGCCGCAACGAAGTGTTTTTTTCTAAAAAAAAAGAGCTAAAATACAAATCCCAAAATAACTTACCGAAGTTTCGCGGAGTGATTCAGGTTGCGTAATTTACGCATCCGCTCCTGGATCTTGCCCAACAATGGCTCGTAGTCGGCCATAAACACTTGCACAGCGAGGTTCAGGCGATGAGAGGCACAACCAACGAGCGGAATATCCAGCAGGTCCGCGAGCTTGGTGTTCACTGCACAGTTGTCACCGACGAGGTAGACGACATCAGAGATGTCTCGACCAAAGAACGGGAGGATTCCTTCGAGGAACTCCACGGGGCTCGCGGAGGAGTGGTCGGTGACGTCGTCGTCGATCAAAGGTGCAAACGCCAGTAGCACATTGTCTGCACGACCGTCGTGCTCGAAAACCGCATACACCGCGAGATAGTGCTCGGACTGGAAAGTCCACCCGTCGAACATGATACCGAAGATGACAGAGAGCGCCAAACCGATGTCAATTTCGACCTGCCGCACGACCAAATGGGCGTACTTAAGCAGCGTCTCCGACGAGAGGTGCTCCAAGTTCGTGTACTTGGCCACGATGGGATCCTCACACCACGTGAAAGGCAGGTTGCAGGCCGTGGTCCAATCCAGCCAGCAGAAGACCGTCTGCGACTTCTGGTCGATGAAGCTGACTAGGGTAGCCGTGTTGGTACCGCTGGCCATCATTGTCGCCACGAAGTCCGGGTGGCGCTTCAGGACATGGTCGAACAGGTTACTGTAGCCGGTTTTGGGTGCTTGTTTTCTGACGACGGAGCACTGGCAACGAAAGTACGACGTCGGCTCATCTTGAGAATCCGTGACGGCCTTGTAGAAGTAGCTGCAGACTTGGCGGGTGCTGAACGGGTTGTTGGTTGCCATCTTGATTCGAAAATGAGGACGACACTAGGAAAGAGACAAACTTGGGGATGCTAGATTGTTAACTATGGTAAGGGTGTTCTAACCAGTGCTTTGTGGCGTCTAGAAATGCAGCGGAGACCCAGAAATGCAAAAAGAGTAATTTCCTAGGAGGAACGTACTTATTTGAAAAATGATTTTTACGACTGAAAAATACTTTGTAAAAAGTCAAGCCGTAAGTTATTCCACTTTTTTCACGGTCGCGTAAAATAAATTATTCCGTACTAATATTTCCATTGCAATCTTTTATTCGGAAGGCCAGCTTCGGAACGGCCTTCCGACTTTCGAGCGAGACAGACAACGTAACACGTACCCTCCGTTTATGAGGGGACCGGGCAACTTCTCAACTCTTTCTGAAGATTCAGATTCCGATACGCCGAGGAGGAGCTCAGGATATGCCACGGCATCTATGAGATCAGGACCGAGCAACGGCGTTGTAGGCCAAAAGCGGCGCGCTAGTAGCCCCCCGCGTCCAGTTGGCAACTCCTTTTTGAGGCCGACACCTCCTGGGCAACTTCTGTTCCCACGCCCCATCGAACGCGAGAGCATTTGGCCACGGTGTGGTGAATACTGGATGCTCAACGATCGCCAAACACCACGCTCGCCTTTGCCACAGTCAGAGAAAAAGATTATTGATGGCCTCAAACTGCGCTTGTCCAAGCTTCCGGATACAGAGCAGGAGGGTGTATTTTCCGCGAGTATCAAGGCTGCAATTGAGGTCGTGCAGCTGGAGCAAGTGAAGGATGAAGAGTTACGCGTCGAGCAAGCCGTTAAGACGGCGCATGCTGCCGTCAAGTGCTTATTAAATCGAAACGGCAGATCCCCCCAGTCGGATGAGCAGCAGCACCGCTTGGAGGATGTACGTCAGATTCTACTCCTGTGGTGCGTGCTATCCTCGATACCAAAGGAAAACTCGAAGGCGCAGGACTGCGCGATTTGCATGATCTCACTAAAACAATCGGGGAAGCCTCGCGCTTTAACTGGTACGTGTCCCGATCTCGGAACGCTTGAATTCTTCGCACTGAAAAATGGATCATATTCGCTGATTATTGTACATCATGCTCATGACTGCGTAGGTGCAACACTCAGCTACGCAAGTTCCTCACAGCCAAGTACAAGAAGCCTGCACAGATATCTGCTGATGATCAAAACAAGTTGGTCTCACTTGTGGCTGAGACCCGGGACTGGCGGGGCATAAATGACTATACAGTCGTAAGGTTTAAGGAAATCATGGCGTTTGTGACGGAGATATTCGACGGGTCCTATGAAGACTGGGAGCCACAACAGGATTCGAGAGTCGCAGAACTTGTCGGCATCATGATCGTGAGTCATATCAAGTGTTCGAGAAGATTCTTTACCTCATGCGCCTGATGGCGAATGAGGCCAGAATACCAGGAATATTCCACCAGGTACGTGCACGATGCTATTCTCGTGTTGAGCTCTGGTCAAGCGAATTGATGGTATGTTGGTTCTGTATATCTCAGCACTGTCGACACGTTGCTCTCACTCTTCCCGTCATCCAAGCGACCGATGTTCGAATACTCGCCAGCGACTAAATCCATAGATGAAAGCAGCTATGGGTCCGGTGAAGACTAGTGCAAATCGTGGACTCTCGTCTTCATTTACCTCGTTTCATCTCTGCATAGTCTTAGTAATAAAAAGAATCGTTGGAGGAGCAGTGACCGTGGATCCATGAACTTTGCTGTTTTGTAGTAGAATTTGCACTGCATGACATGATGAGTCAGATACTAACATGAGCCTAAACTGCTCATCGTTCCTTTTCCACCGAGTCAAAACGGATTCACTCCATCGAGCGAACGTGTTGGTGACAAACGGACGAGTATTTAGAAGTTACCACGAAAATTACAAACTTTGGTTGCTACAGCGCGGGAGAACTAACTAGCTTATGCGCCGTGGACGGCAGTGTAGTTGTAGTACACCTCGTTCTCGTACTCGCTGTCGCAGTACGGGAACGACGTGTCCGAGTCCGTCGGCGCGAACAGCGTCTTGCCCGACGTGTACGTGACGTAGCAGCCCAGGAAGCCGCACACGACGACGACAATCAGCGCCGGGATCTTCTCGTACATGGGGAGCTCGTGCCACAGCTTCTTGAGCAGGAAAATAATGGGCAGCAGGATACTGATGAGCGTGATGCACGAGGCGCCCACGAAGTCCACCATGTCCGAGAAGTGGTCCTTGAGGAGAACCGACAGGACGACCAGCACCACGATGATGGCGACGCGCAGGATCACGTACTTGACCGCGTTCGATCCGCGGTACTCGGCAGCTTCCGCCTCCACGTCGTCGTAGTACGGGTTCTCGGCGTCGGCGTTCGAGATGTACGACATCTTGGACGAGCGGCGGTCGTCGGTGACCGCGTCCTTGCCGGGCGTGTTGGCGGCGGCGTACGAGGCGGCGGCGTACGTGAGGGCGTTCTCGACGTCGTCCTCCTTCTTCTTGTGCATCTTGAGCACCAGTCGCTCGGCGAGGTAGAAGGCCGGGTTCAGGATGACGGAGAAGGCGATCGTAATGTGCAGCTGCATGAAGAAGTAGGCCATGACGACGGCGCCCCAGTTGGACTTGAAGCCCAGCGTGGTGAGGCCCGTGTCCGCGTCCGGGTAGATGGAGTAGAGCAGGTTGCCCGAGATCTGGCAGCCCACCGCCGAGTACGCCGTGCTGGCCAGGATCAGGAAGAGGCACGAGATGAAGGCCATGGTGACGAACACAACGCGCGGCATGCGCGTCGGCTCGCTGTGCTGGCGCTGCAGGGCCGGGATCACGATGCCGGCGTTGTACGCGAGCGACAGGTTGCCGAACATGCCCGCGACCTGCGAGAACTTGATATCAGGCGACGGCGGCGTGGGGTGGCCACGCATGCCGTACATGACGACGGCCACGCCGATAACGTCGGCGATGAGCGTGCCCGCGCAGCCGGCGAACGCGGCCCCGGCGCCTTCCTTGAGCGTCGGGATGAGGCATACGGGCAAGCACATGAGCGCCATGAAGCAGATCCAGTAGGTGGGGCTGAAGGCGTCCGGGAACAGGCCGTCGAGCAGGGTGCCGCCCAGCACGAGGAACACGCAGGGCACGAGCAGGCACGAGGCCATCTGCGAGATGACCGAGAGCCAGCGGCCCCACTTGCCCATGCACCACTCGCCCAGGTCGCTGTAGGTCTTGACGCTCTTCGGCGCCAGCAGCATCACGCGGCAGATGGCCACGGACGCGTACACGTTGGCGAAGGCCATGAAGGCCATGCCGATGACGGCCAGCACGGGCCCGGAGCGCGAGAAGTTGCCGGGCATACCGAGCGTGCCGATGCCGTAGACGCAGCAGAAGATGTTGAGCGCCACCTTGAGGTCCTCCGCCGTGAGGAACTTCTTGGCGCAGACCATGGTGGCGAACTTGCAGTCGACGGAGCGGAGCTGTGGTGGGACTGCCTGCGTGCGTGCCACGAGGCAAAAGTGAGAATGAGGAGAGCGAGGCACTGCACTGCAAGTTGGCGGGGCTGTTTGTGTTTGATCGGAGACCTGGTACCTTCTGAGAGGTAGGTACCCGTACTGTGCAGGGAAGCCATCTTGGCCGGACGAGACGCCGAGATATACGGAGCTCGTCGACGATGAGGATGCGCCGGCCCGAGCGCATCCACGCCGTGCTCAGTGAGTCGGACACCCCGAGTGCAGGTGTACAGTATATGTAATACAAGTATTCATCCAATCGAGGCAGACTTCCAAACAACAACGCGCGTGAAGCAGGAGATCCTGCACTTCCGGTGCCCGGTGCCTATGCAGCGCAGCGCATGTTTTGGCAATCCTCAAAATCAACATCGAATTCAGGTGCAGGACGCCGGGAGAATGGTGGTCATGTTGAAGTGCACAGCAGGGGCAGCTACGGTGCTGTAGATCGATCCGCTACTTCAGATTGGTCTCCCACGAGTGACCCAACGGCCCATCGTGCATGATTTCGTGGCCCACGAGTCGTGGGGGACGCGCATGCAACGCGATACGACTGCAACGTTTCGGGCTTCATGCAGGCAGTGCATGTAGCTCACGGTTGAACCACGTGGTAAGTCGCCGAGGAGGAGGAGGTGGCGGGCGATTCCGGCGCGAGAAGTAAAGCATCCATTGGGGTTACGTGTACTTCGCTCGTACATACATGTACTACACACGTGCCGCACATCGGGTTGATCAGGCGGGACAAGGAACACGCTGATCGTTAAATCAACTTGCACCTTTGCAGCTTTGCGGCACAACATACGCAGCAGCAAGTCCTGCTTGCCCGCTCACTACCTGCACTTGACCTGCAAGTTGAGTGCGGACGAGACCACGCAGATGTGAAAGGACGCCTGCCGCTCGCGCCCGGACGCAGGCGCTGTGGGCTGCTGCTTCGAGTTTGCAGGGATGGCTCTCATCTCCTCGGTTTGTCTACGGCGGCCTGCCGCAGACAAACGGCACGAAACGCTACGGAGACATACAGTTGGTGATGCGCCTCGAGCGGCTGCGGTCGACGACTCCCACGCTGAAGTGGCCTTCGAGGTCGCCCGCCCGGAAAAGGAGCGCAATGCGAGCGAGCATTCTGCTGCCAGCTTTTCGCCCCCATCCCCGCGGTCTTACTGTGGGTTGGCATTTTGCAGCAAGGGAGCATCTCCATCATAGGGGATCCGGTGCCTATCGCGCCTGCACCGGCACGGTCCTACAGTCTCTAGGCTACAGACTGTGGACGTCAAACTCTAATCAGGTGGCCAATCTCTGGCGGTGCAAAAACCTTTACACACGGGCTTTGGGGACCCAACACAGCGTGACGGGCTCCGGGTCGACCATGACGCCGCCGCGGTCACATTCGTATGCCGGCGGCTGCAGCAGTGCTGCTGCTGTTAGCGTTAAATTCGTGCGATACGGCTGGGAATTTTATTCCGCCGAGGCTCCACTTGAGCCGCCTACAAGCCGGAAACGGGTACCGGATCCCCTATGATGGAGATGCTCCCTTGCTGCAAAATGCCAACCCACAGTAAGACCGCGGGGATGGGGGCGAAAAGCTGGCACCAGAATGCTCGCTCGCATTGCGCTCCTTTTCCGGGCGGGCGACCTCGAAGGCCACTTCAGCGTGGGAGTCGTCGACCGCAGCCGCTCGAGGCGCATCACCAACTGTATGTCTCCGTAGCGTTTCGTGCCGTTTGTCTGCGGCAGGCCGCCGTAGACAAACCGAGGAGATGAGAGCCATCCCTGCAAACTCGAAGCAGCAGCCCACAGCGCCTGCGTCCGGGCGCGAGCGGCAGGCGTCCTTTCACATCTGCGTGGTCTCGTCCGCACTCAACTTGCAGGTCAAGTGCAGGTAGTGAGCGGGCAAGCAGGACTTGCTGCTGCGTATGTTGTGCCGCAAAGCTGCAAAGGTGCAAGTTGATTTAACGATCAGCGTGTTCCTTGTCCCGCCTGATCAACCCGATGTGCGGCACGTGTGTAGTACATGTATGTACGAGCGAAGTACACGTAACCCCAATGGATGCTTTACTTCTCGCGCCGGAATCGCCCGCCACCTCCTCCTCCTCGGCGACTTACCACGTAGGTCTGCAGGGTTCAACCGTGAGCTACATGCACTGCCTGCATGAAGCCCGAAACGTTGCAGTCGTATCGCGTTGCATGCGCGTCCCCCACGACTCGTGGGCCACGAAATCATGCACGATGGGCCGTTGGGTCACTCGTGGGAGACCAATCTGAAGTAGCGGATCGATCTACAGCACCGTAGCTGCCCCTGCTGTGCACTTCAACATGACCACCATTCTCCCGGCGTCCTGCACCTGAATTCGATGTTGATTTTGAGGATTGCCAAAACATGCGCTGCGCTGCATAGGCACCGGGCACCGGAAGTGCAGGATCTCCTGCTTCACGCGCGTTGTTGTTTGGAAGTCTGCCTCGATTGGATGAATACTTGTATTACATATACTGTACACCTGCACTCGGGGTGTCCGACTCACTGAGCACGGCGTGGATGCGCTCGGGCCGGCGCATCCTCATCGTCGACGAGCTCCGTATATCTCGGCGTCTCGTCCGGCCAAGATGGCTTCCCTGCACAGTACAGGTACCTACCTCTCAGAAGGTACCAGGTCTCCGATCAAACACAAACAGCCCCGCCAACTTGCAGTGCAGTGCCTCGCTCTCCTCATTCTCACTTTTGCCTCGTGGCACGCACGCAGGCAGTCCCACCACAGCTCCGCTCCGTCGACTGCAAGTTCGCCACCATGGTCTGCGCCAAGAAGTTCCTCACGGCGGAGGACCTCAAGGTGGCGCTCAACATCTTCTGCTGCGTCTACGGCATCGGCACGCTCGGTATGCCCGGCAACTTCTCGCGCTCCGGGCCCGTGCTGGCCGTCATCGGCATGGCCTTCATGGCCTTCGCCAACGTGTACGCGTCCGTGGCCATCTGCCGCGTGATGCTGCTGGCGCCGAAGAGCGTCAAGACCTACAGCGACCTGGGCGAGTGGTGCATGGGCAAGTGGGGCCGCTGGCTCTCGGTCATCTCGCAGATGGCCTCGTGCCTGCTCGTGCCCTGCGTGTTCCTCGTGCTGGGCGGCACCCTGCTCGACGGCCTGTTCCCGGACGCCTTCAGCCCCACCTACTGGATCTGCTTCATGGCGCTCATGTGCTTGCCCGTATGCCTCATCCCGACGCTCAAGGAAGGCGCCGGGGCCGCGTTCGCCGGCTGCGCGGGCACGCTCATCGCCGACGTTATCGGCGTGGCCGTCGTCATGTACGGCATGCGTGGCCACCCCACGCCGCCGTCGCCTGATATCAAGTTCTCGCAGGTCGCGGGCATGTTCGGCAACCTGTCGCTCGCGTACAACGCCGGCATCGTGATCCCGGCCCTGCAGCGCCAGCACAGCGAGCCGACGCGCATGCCGCGCGTTGTGTTCGTCACCATGGCCTTCATCTCGTGCCTCTTCCTGATCCTGGCCAGCACGGCGTACTCGGCGGTGGGCTGCCAGATCTCGGGCAACCTGCTCTACTCCATCTACCCGGACGCGGACACGGGCCTCACCACGCTGGGCTTCAAGTCCAACTGGGGCGCCGTCGTCATGGCCTACTTCTTCATGCAGCTGCACATTACGATCGCCTTCTCCGTCATCCTGAACCCGGCCTTCTACCTCGCCGAGCGACTGGTGCTCAAGATGCACAAGAAGAAGGAGGACGACGTCGAGAACGCCCTCACGTACGCCGCCGCCTCGTACGCCGCCGCCAACACGCCCGGCAAGGACGCGGTCACCGACGACCGCCGCTCGTCCAAGATGTCGTACATCTCGAACGCCGACGCCGAGAACCCGTACTACGACGACGTGGAGGCGGAAGCTGCCGAGTACCGCGGATCGAACGCGGTCAAGTACGTGATCCTGCGCGTCGCCATCATCGTGGTGCTGGTCGTCCTGTCGGTTCTCCTCAAGGACCACTTCTCGGACATGGTGGACTTCGTGGGCGCCTCGTGCATCACGCTCATCAGTATCCTGCTGCCCATTATTTTCCTGCTCAAGAAGCTGTGGCACGAGCTCCCCATGTACGAGAAGATCCCGGCGCTGATTGTCGTCGTCGTGTGCGGCTTCCTGGGCTGCTACGTCACGTACACGTCGGGCAAGACGCTGTTCGCGCCGACGGACTCGGACACGTCGTTCCCGTACTGCGACAGCGAGTACGAGAACGAGGTGTACTACAACTACACTGCCGTCCACGGCGCATAAGCTAGTTAGTTCTCCCGCGCTGTAGCAACCAAAGTTTGTAATTTTCGTGGTAACTTCTAAATACTCGTCCGTTTGTCACCAACACGTTCGCTCGATGGAGTGAATCCGTTTTGACTCGGTGGAAAAGGAACGATGAGCAGTTTAGGCTCATGTTAGTATCTGACTCATCATGTCATGCAGTGCAAATTCTACTACAAAACAGCAAAGTTCATGGATCCACGGTCACTGCTCCTCCAACGATTCTTTTTATTACTAAGACTATGCAGAGATTAAACGTGATCTAACCATGAACAGATTGAAAAATAGGTAAAACTATTACTTAGTAAGAGGATCGAACTCACATATGTGGCAAAATATGGAGATGATTTGTGGTTAGGAGTGAAAGGCTAATCAAACTCAGAGATAGCTGGTTTTCCGCGAAATCTATTGAAGTAGAGCATTTAAAATCTTTTTTTGGGGTAGAGCACACGATTTGCACTACCGGTAGTCTTCACCGGACTCATAGCTGCTTTCATCCATGGATTTAGTTAGTCGCTGCCGAGTATTCGAACATCGGACGTTTGGATGGTGGGAACTTCCCACTGGGAAGAGTAATGAGCAACATGTCGACGGTGCTGAAATATACCGAACCAACATTTCATCAATTCACTTGACCAACTGAAATGAATTCAAGCTGCATCGTACTTCCGGCTGGCCACTTGTCTACATAGTGTGTTGAAACAGATTCAATATATCGAGCTAACGTGTCGGTGACAAACGATCGAGTATTTACGTGTGTATGTCAGCGCGCAAGCCGTATGCTCGATGTTCCTCTCGGGCTGAACTCGGCCGAGCGCTGCGTCAGTACAGAGTCTGGCAGCAGAAGCTACTAGCGCTCGTGGACCTACGTTCGCTACGCCAACACTTTTCACAAAGCTCTGCAGAAACAAAGTATGTGTCAAAGCTTGAATTCGCTCACACCGGGCTTGCACCTATGGGTGTTACCTGGTCTGAATTCTTTGTTGGACGAACTCGCGCAGATCCACGGCGGCCCTGAAACCAGCGACAATTGTCAGTGTAATAGTTCGTTAAAGCAGCACAGGGAGGCGTACTTGTAGTAGTTAGTGTCGGGTGTGTTGTACGTCGTGCAGTTGTCAAGCATTTTGTCCAGGTCCGCCTTGAATGCAGCTATGGAGACGTATGCACCACTGTCGATGCGGTTGTGGATAAGGTGCAGATCAACAGGGTCTTCGATAAAGTCTAGGTAGTCGACCACGATGGAAGTATCTACGGGCTCGTGGAATGGCCACGCACTGCGGTGGCTCAAAACAGCCTGCAACAACTGCGACAGCTCCGACTTCAGGCTAGCTTTATCGCGCGTTCTACGTGAAGGACTGAAAGCAAAATCATTAGCTTGTCGTAGATTCGATCTGAAAATGGAGTAAGATCTAAAAGGTCACGTACCCGATTCCCATAATCTCGTTGGTGGTACTTGTCCACGGTTGGAATTCATCCGGCGAAACTTGGACAGCGATAGATGCCTGCGAGGTTTTTTGCTGCAGTTTTCCTTAATAAGTGTCTGCAACTTCATCTGCCACCTACGCAAGTAGCCGAATTTGTCAGTCCAAACGAGACCGGGCACATTAGCGTGAACTACTTGTTACTGCACCCACGGTAACTTGCCATAGAACCGGGGTACGTCTCCAACAGTTTGCCAATGAGGTCATGCAAATCGCGTAGCCCGGTATTCTCCGTCCTCTAACCGAGAATCCTGTCTGTCGGTCATCGAGTCACGCTTTCCGCCCCTACAGCCTAGACCTGTCAATTAGACTACGCTACCGCGGCCTTATTGCATACATTATTCACTCATCAAGTCGACTGGAACTGGCTTTTGAACTATCTACGAAATTACAAAAATAGCCACAATCACGCTACAATTCGGACTTCACGGAGCCGGTCGGACTTAAGCGGGCGTGATGAGGGCGCCTGGCGTAGAGAAGCGAGTGGCGAACTGCAGCGGCAGCGGACACACACAACAGTGAGTACTGCATGTCCATACATAAATAAACTACTTTACGGTTTCGGGAGTTCCGCCTGTTGGGATAACTGGTACCTTCAGGGCAGTCGAGGGTTTACAGTACGGAATTAGGGGTAGACTGGTGCTTATTAGGCGTTCATCTTCTAATACACCAAGAATGTGTGCGAACGACGCATTTAGACCACCTAACGCTGCACATAGATTAACTGATAAACAGCACGCGGCGTGGTGCAGCTGGCAATCGTGCTGTATTCATTTGCAGGAATCAAGCATTATAATACACCAATTTGAGTAGTCGCGTGCTCAACTTAAGTTACTACTACGTAGTAGTTGGTCGAATTAAGTAAACCCAGGTGCATCACCAGCGCGCGCATCGAGGCGTCATACTTACGACTTTTTATGTTGTTAGAGAGACAATCGTAACAAGCTTGTTAGGTGGGCTAAAGAAATCTAATGATGCGCTAATGTCAAGCACAAGGAAGAATTCGCCCAGTTCCTCCTCACTACGTCAGTTAGGAACAGGGCGATTTCTTCCTCCGCGTTTATCGCGACGTGCCGAAGATGGGTGGCTGGAGCCGAAGTATGCTGCCTTAGCAGCCTTGCAAGGTATTACCATGTAGTAGGTTTTGAGCGTGCTCTACGCTCGCCACGACCAATAGAAGCTCGCCATTTCGGCATATGGTGGATACATTGAGCATGTTTTGTTCACTTTCGTAGCTGTTCTGTGCACAATGTACCCAGCGCTTGACCGCAAGATGCGAAAGGGCTTCCAACAGCAAATCTTTGACAGGTTTTGAAGTATACTTTAATCAAGTATAATGCTTATTCTGTAGGATACAGAATAAGGTCTGGGGCTAGAAGGGTTAAGCTGATTAATGGCAGGATCTTGCTGCAGTCCGACACTCGCTTCCATAGGAACGATAGTCGCATCAGCCAAGTGACAACAATGCACTCCAACTCAAATCAAAATCGATCATATCCCAGGTACCCTAACTCTCGCGCTTCAACAAAACAATTTTAGAAAATGCTGCTCGAATTACGCGCAGCGCACAGCATGGTCGTGCGCAATTTCGAATTACTGTAGGATAAGTAGTATTTGGCCGGAAACCCGAAAGCTTGCCACCTCGCTGTAGCTAATCAGCGATTTGTTTCTTATCATTTGAGGCCCAGTGACCTATTTTCATCCAATCGTCGCTCATTAGGGTTAGGTTTATTTTGTTCCAACTTATTTCTGGAATCGTCCGGAATTTCCTTCTTCGCGCAAATAAGTAACCATACCAAACTAAAAATGTTTCTCGTACTTAATCGATAGGAGCAAAACCTGCCGGATGTAGCCACTTCCAGACTTGCCCAAGCTGCTCGACACTGTAGCTGGAAGGTCAAGGCCGACTCCAACAACCCAGCAAGCGCGGTAGTAAAGTAAATGAAAGACAGAATGGTCAAGTAAATAAATGAAAGAATATGTAGCAATCTTGATCGATAAACAATCAAACAATCAAGGGCTTGATGTCTAATGGTACTAGCTACACTGCGCTTGGCCGTCCTGCAGCTGCGTGTTCGCGCTAAGTGCCGCCCCAGGTCCTTGGTCTTGCTCTCGCGCTTGACGAAATTTACCTGCTCCATCGTCTCATTGGGGTCGAGGTTGCTCCCTTGCCGCTCGTTCAGTGGGCGTCCAGGTGTAGTAGCGCGCTGCGGGTCGCGTCACCGCTCACGTCCTCGCTGGTCACTGCGCTCGCCACTTTGGTCGGCATCGACTCCGTCGTCTTGGTCGGCGGACATCGCTTCAAGCGGGCGGAACGCCCAGCCGTACCCAAGACATTCACAGCGCCGTTGGCATCCGCGGACAAGCCGGCCGCCTTGCTGCTGTCGCAAGAGCCTCTTCCTTCGTCGCGGCCTTCTCGGTCTTCTCCTTCGTCGTCTCCTCGGGGATGTGGTCTTCCGTCTGCACCGCAGCATCTGCTGCCACGCGGTCGGCTGCCTCTAAGTCTTCATGCTGTACCTGCCTGCTCCTCCTCCAGCTTCATCACCTTCGACGTCCTCCTGCTCCTGCTGCACTACATCCAGGGGCCCCGCAGTCAAAGTCTCGCCCGAAGCGCTCTCCTCCCGCACCACTTGAATGTAGCTCGTCCTCGCGCTGCCCGCGCGTCTGCGCCTGCTGATCCCACGCCGTTCCCTCTTGCCCGAGTCGGCGATGCTCGCGTTCTTACATCTCCACCCCGTCGCTAGTGCGTACAGCACCACCGCCAGGCGCTCCGGCGACTCTTGGTCCACTTCCGGTCCGCCCGGAGAGCTCATCTTCGCCGCGTACGCCGAGCTGAACGCCGCCGAGCACAGCGCGAGCGGATATAGGCCAGTTTTCTTCAATATTGTTGGTGTAGGCGCGATTGGGTGCGCGTCGTAAGTCTTGACGAAGATGTAGCCGCCACTTATCAGCGCACCGTGCCGCGGTCGCTCATGCCCACAAGTTAGGCGCCACGCTGGGCTCCGACAGCGCCGGCCCGCCGCTCCTTCCACTCAATGTACGCGACACATCCTCCGTTTGCTCGGGCACGGCTGCAGGCTGTCCGTCGTGCCCTCCATTGCATCCTGCGCCACTCCAAAGAAAGATTGAGAGAAATATAACATTACATAAGTGCAAATATCACACTATCCGCTGCCGTCCGGAATGAATAAGTGGGCGCTGATTGGCGCAAGTAATTTTATGTGTCGCCAGTGTGTCTCTATTGCAGGTATGACAGGTTTACGGATTCCGGTCCGGAATCTGGCAATTACTGTTACTAAGTACAGTACGCCATGCACCAAGAGCAATAACGCGTTATAAATCCAGATGAAAGATGCAGAGTAGGCAAAGCGTAGAATAGTAGTGACACTGGCAACGCATGCAGCTTTCAAAATAAATGCGCGCTGCTACCCTAGATACGTGTACCGTAAACTACTGCAGCATGCACATAATGCAGCTTAGTGTAGACATTGTCGTTAGGGCAATATATATATGAAGCTATTGGCCGGACCCCGGGGCCCCGCATCATGTATCGATGGCGACCGGAATTATTTATTTTTATCGGCGGGGCAGTGATAATATATATGTTGTGACAATTTTGTGATAATTTTTCGAGTTTAGCTAGAGCTCATTTCACCTTCAAGCATCTAGCATCCAGTATGAAGTCTAGGCGAACTGGAGGTGCAGAGGTTCTTCGGCGCAAACGTGATACTTAAGTATTGAAATCGTCGTGACCACAAAGCTGCTGCATTCGTTCGTTCTGTTAAGCGTCTTGGTGAAGATACGACCAAGAAGATTCAAGCTGACTGCTAGAAGCTAGCGTCTACTACAGCAGCAGCGGCGTTGGGCACGCAAAGTTGCGAACTCTGCAGCTCTGTGCAACTCGATAGTCGATACTACCAGAGATACATAGCATCGATACAAACATGCAGCACTTGAATTTACCGAATATACCAGTTGCTTATGACAGCTGGCGGGGCAAGCGGGGACCCGGGGTCCCGCCAAACGCTTCATATGCATATACACGATACACAACAACCTAACCATCGAAAACGCACAGTCGCTACCGATCCGTATTGAGTTGAGCTAAATTTGCTATGTCTATTTGAACTGTTATCGCGCAAACCAGCATTACTACATGTAGCGCGGTGCAGTGCGTAAATTCATGCTGGCAAAGTTGCAGTCTTTCAGTGCTAACGTAGTAACAACACTAGAGTACGGTATCGACGACAGCTACCAGTTTGCAACGCAGTATAAACCACACCCAATCATAGTTTCAATACTTTAGTTATTACTTCAAAGTAAGTAAACACGCAGGTCACTACACTGTAGTACTTAAGTAAGGCATGTCCGTGACAATGTAGCTCGCCTCGCAGAAACGGGTGATCAATAATACAACGGCAACGATATTCAGCTCACTCGATGTTTAGGTACTCAACTTTGCATCGTGAGCGACATTTGGTAATTAGCTTAATAGGAAAATGTATTCCTACTCATTTGCTACTAAAGCACGAAGTTATAGCAACGAATATGTGTCAACTGTATCCGCACATTATTGTTATGGAAATCAAAATGATGCATATACTTTTAAGCTATGCTATTCCAGCAACCCGTGGTCAAAGCGCCCGCGTAGCGGGTGCCCAGAGCGCTAGTTGTCGAGCTTACGGTTGGTCTGCAATACAGCGCGCACAACAACTGAAAGGACCAGCCGTATATCTTCCAGGCGGTCGATACACTCATTCAAGAAACTCGAACATCCGCGAAAAAAATCTTGAATGGCAGCTCGGGTGTTGTCCACCGCCAGTTGCACTCGCTTCACCTCTCTACCATGCCCCACAATGGCAATCGTAGACGTAAAGCATTTGTAGAGGATCCCCTCTTGTTCCTCAGCAGGAATTTGCAATTTTCGACTCTCGAGGCTCTCAGTCACGTTGAGTGCCTCTCGACTTGTATGAGATTGCCTTTCGAGTGCTCGGCGCTTGCTGGGTCGCCCTCCATCGACCTCTAATTTAATGTCGACAACCGTGGCGTCTCCTGTGCTCGGTGACTGAGCCGGCCTCAAGGAGGAGCTACTCGACGGTTCACTTTGCTCCATAGCCGAGGTAGACAACCCACGTTTGTGAGTCAGTGAGGGTGAACTAAGGTTATCCCTCCTGTGGTCGGCTGATCCCAATGCAGACGGCTCGGTTGAGTCACGTAGAGATGACGCGAAGCCGAAGGTGGAGGCATTGTTGAGCGAATTTCTGCCGTGGGATTCGTCTCTGTTGCCGGCACCGATTCGTTGTTCGCTCGGCTTGTTGACATTTCCTGGAACTCGACGCCACTCGAAGCATTCATACCAGCCTTGACATTATCGAGAAGCGGTCCAATCTGCATGCCGACCGAGGCCATTGCCGCAAGGGACGCTTGCACATCTGGCGCCAACGTGTTCAGCGGTGTCCGAGACTTGTGCACGCTTTTGGCTAGGCGCACCACCTCCTCGAGACGTATCAAGGAGACAAGTGCTTCCTCCAACTTAGTCCTCGTGTGCTGCACCTCATCCCTAATAGCAGGATGCATTTGCTTCAAGCCGATAGACGCCGTATGAGCGCCACCTCGAAGCGACATGTGCCCACTGGCTCACAACGAGCGACACCGCTGACTTCATCGTCTGAATCCGAGCTGCCTGCTGCCTGCAGTTCTTTGCTAGTGCCTCAACATCTGGAGCTCTACAGACAACGACTTATAAAGCCGGCAGACACAAAAAGCCGGCAGACGAAGTCAAGCAAAGCTTAACATGAGCAAACCAGCCAATCAGATTCAATCAAATGACTTCATCTTTGTATACCATCTGGTTTTGTGTACTTTATATGCTTTCTTGTGTACTTTATGCAACACGCCGTGTGTTTTATGACAGTTTTACAGATTTGACGGGAGGGAATTTATCGTTGTTTTTATATATGAGGATGGCATTAAGCATGCCGGCTTTGTAAGTCGTTGTCTGTACTGCAAGGCAGCAGGATAATTCTGGCATCGCAGTGAGCTCGCGCCGTTACACCAGCAACCGCCGCAGCCCGCGTGCGTCAGTCCTGAAACAGCAGAGCAGCCAACAGACCAGACGCACCGAGCAGCATGAGCGGTGGCCACCAGGAGAAGCACTACTTCACGGAGGAGTACCCGGACCATGACTACCAGTGCACGACCGAGTCGGCGCACCCGCAGACGCCGCTGTGGCCAGCCTACCTGCCGGCGAACCAAGACCGTGTCGTCGTCTTCGAGCGCAGCAAGAACGCGCAGCTCGTGGTGTACTCGGCCAACTTCCGCGACAAGAAGCGGCTCGAGCTGGACCCCAAGTGGCCGCTGGACATCAACTGGCAGAGCTTCGGCTGGACGGCTCACCCCACGAGCAACCCCACTGGCATGATTGAGCGCCGGTTGGCATGGGGCTACTCGCACAAGGCCGTGGAGCCCGAGGGCCCCGTCGCAGTTGAGGCGGTCGGAACCAGCTACAGCGTGACGCTCAACGCGCTGCCCAGCCGCCCCGCCTTGCTCTACATCGATGCCAAAGGCCGAGTCATCCTGCAGACCACGATCAACGGCGTGCAGTCGCGACTCTGGAAGATCTACGTAAAGACCAACAACACGCTCGCCTTCATCCCCAAGGTGCTGTACGTTGACCTTTACGGCACGAACGTCGACGACGACCACGCCACCTACGAGCGCATCACTATCTCGTCCTAACTTAGCGGCCAAACGGATCCACGGTTCGCCCGAATAGAAATACACATTCCTTACTGCTCGTTACCTCGTGCTAAGTTCCATCTCGCTTCGGCCCTCTCTCCAGCTCCGCCTACCGTACGACGTGTCTAGAGTTTCTTTCCATCGTAGTTCCAGTTGCCATTCGCGCCACCGTGTCCGTGCAGAGGAGATAAATTGTACGCCGCTGCTACCTCCTCGAGGAAGCTGGTGGAGTTGTGAATGCACGATCCACCGAGCAGGATGCGCTGACCTGAGTTCGACGCAGCCGCCTTTTGATTGAGCTCGGCTACCTTCATGGCCTCTTCGAAGGTCACGCCGCCACATACGTAGACAATCACATCGCGCACGCGCTTCACCCCGTTGCTTCCGCTGAGGTCTGAGGACGACGATGCAGCTGCGCCTCCGTTCACAACTCCGAACTCTTGGTCCAGCAATTGACCCTTAAGAATTAGCTCAAGCTTCTTCGCTAACGGCGGTACGTGCTGTGCATACACGTTCGGAACACCTTGTACGCCCTTCGTGACGGCCCCCATGAACTTTTTGAGACCGGCGCGATCGCCGTACAAGTCGCCCTGGCGAGCCCTTTGTCCGCCAAACTTCAGGAACGCGTCAATCAGTGCCACACGATCAGAGGGCAGTCCTCCTCCGTGGGGAGCAGCCAGCAACTCCTTGACTGTCTTCAGCTGCACCGAGCTGTGTGTTTCGTATCGCAAAGCATACAAAATCGCCAGTCGCAGCTTGTTCATCGGCTTCACTTGGGCCTCCTTCAACTTTGCCACCACGTCACGGAAGTGCGCGTTGTGGTCGTCACCGCACGCAAGTTCCTGTTCCAGTTGACTCACATCCATGAGCCCATCCACTTCCACACGCCGAGCCAGCTCGCCCATGAGCGTCACGTGCTTGGACACAGTCACAGACTGAGATCTGAAAGCCGGGTAGTTCTCCAAAAACCGCTGCATGTCATCAATGGACTGGATGTTCTCGTGCGTCTGCGTCTGAGCTTGATACTTGTCCACGAGCTGCTTGACCGCCATACCGAGGTCGCCGAAGTTGGCGTGCACATGTTGCGCGAAGAAATCGTCCGAGGTCGTCGACAGCACCAGCTCCGTCATGTCCTTGCGTACGTTGGGTGCGTCACGGAGGTCCACGCGGTTCTCATGCAGTCCCAACAGCTCGTGGACCATCGCTTGGTAGCACCACTGCGTCAGCAGCGGCGTCACAGGGTCGTCCTTGCGGTCCAGCACGTACACCAACGGAGTCACCTCCGGTCGTCGGAAGTCAAACAGTCCGTCCTGTTCCAGCTGCATCCTCGCCGACACCTCGCGTGCCAGTTTCTCCGCCACCTCCGATCCTTTGGCGTACCGAATCGCAGGTCGCTTCTTCATGGACAGCAATACAGACAGCAGTCCCTCCACGCTTCTCTGGAACAGCTGAGGGGACGTCATCTTGGTCTTGTCCACCGGGTCCGTCGTCAGTACGCCCGCCGTCGCAGTAGATAGCAGTGCTCCTCCGGGCAGAGCTGTGGGCATCTTGACGCTGAGCTGGACGGAGTTGTGCAGACCGAAGTCGAAGAGCGAATCGTTGACCGCCAGGTAGTCGGCGTAGTACTCCTGGATCTGCACCACGACCTCCTTCTCGTCGGCCTCCGCGAGCTTCTCGAGGGCCTCCACCGGCAAGATATTGGAGAAGAAGAGGTGGTAGCGGCCGTACTTGGGCGCCTTGAGCTCTCGACGCAGCAGCTCCACGTTGCGAGCCGTGGGGCGCACGAACACGGCGGCCTTGAGGTGCAGCATGGGCTCGTGCACGGCGTCCAGCTGCTCCACGAGGAACACCTCGCGCTGCAGGATATGCGACTGGGACATGACCATGCTGATCACGCTCTTGGTGTCGGCGTCTAGCAGCAGCGCCTTCATCCCCTCCAGCTGCGGGTCCGAGATGATCTTCTCCAGGTAATTCTTCACGCCCGCGATGGTGTCCATGGCCATGGTTGCCTGCCTGCTGCTTCTGCTGCTTCCTCGCTCGGACCTTTCCACACACAGAAATGGGAGCCGAAAATATCCCGTGGTGCTGCATCGTGTTTCGTGGGTTATCTGTGTATCTTAACATCAGATATGAAGTATAGGGGGGGCAGGTTGAAGTTGACTGCAATTGCAACGCGAGCTGACCATCTCGGCTGAGGGCTGCCATTGCTGGACGGGAAGAGAGCACTTGGCAATTCGCTGGCTTACGACGAGGGGAGCATCGCTGCTGCTTCGACCCTCGCGCCTCTTGTTGCTTGGTACATTTGCGATCGCTTACTTCTTTCTTCTTAACTTACTAACTACTGCTGTCGACTCGCTCGCGCCGCTTGCAATTCACTAACACTCCACGATCACTGCCAGGCTCCAAAACGCGGTGATGATACCGACCACGCTGATCGCAACGGTGGCGATGCGGTCCATTCGGGTGGCGTCCTCGCTGCACAGCTGCCAATAGAAAACGGAGGGGAGAACCAGCGCCAGGAGCGCCGTGGGCACGAGCATCCACGCGAACACGTCCAGCGTGCTGGGAGCTGTGAAATACCCCAGGAAGAGAGTGGTGAGCACCAGAATGGTCCGGCAGAGCACGCGCGCGGTGGTCTCCACTCCGCCGCACCTTCCTTCTTGGTCGCTTGCTGCCGCGGGGCTGGAGGTCACGAAAGGCAGCGCCCCTGCGGCGGCGGCGGCTTCCACTGGGCTGCTACGGCCACTTCCGCTCGGAGGCTGCACGATCCACCGCTCGAACGCGCGCTGCAGAGGGAATAAGGTGATCGTGTACGACAGCAGCAGGTGGATGCTGTACAGCACGATGGCCAAGTTGCGCACCACAGCGTTGCGCATGTTGAAAAAGACCGGCGCCTGCAACGTCGCACCGTACACGGCGTATGTGACGCAGCAAATGGGCAGATACAGTAACGCGGTGGCCCCCAGCTTCGTGCGCGCCACCACAGAGCTGCATTGGCTCGGATTCGCCATCGCGTCATACAACGTAGGGATGAGCGAGTGGCCGAACAGCGCGCCAAGCAGCAGAGAGAACGTGTACGAGAGCTTCCCCATCATCGTCACATTCGATAGGTCGGGCGTCACGAATACAAAGTCGGAGTGCTCCAGCGCAATCTGCTTCAGCGGGTACATGGCGTCGCCGAGAATGACCGACTCGATCCAGAAGCTGACGGCGACGTTCACTGCCGACAGCACCGCCAGCGCCTTGAGCGACGGCACCAGCACTTGAAACCACACGCACACGGCCACCAGCATCATCACAGTGCCGAACTGCAGCCCAAGCACATCCACGAGACACGAAGACGCCAGCGCCAAGTAGCCCGTGGACAGAATCAGAAATGACGCGTGCACCAGCATGCTCGTGACCACTTTGCCGGCAGCGCCAAAGCACTCCTGCCCGAGGTCGCTGAACGAGACGCTGGTGCCTCTCAGCCAGCGCACAGTCTCCAGCGCGTCCACCAGCAGCTTGGACGTGTACGCGCTCACGGCCGCCGCCGCGACGAGCAGCAGCACGCCGTACCAGTTGATCTCCACGAGCGCCAGCGGCAGACACAGCATCCCCGTGCCCGTGATGAACGACAGCAGGTGGTAGAACGTCTGCCAGTTCGAGAGCTTGTTGGACGCGGAGAACGACACGGGAATGGCCACCGAGGGCGGCCAGGGCGGCGTCAGGTCTCCGGTCGAGTCCTTGTCGTTGCGGCTCAGCGTGGTGCCGTAGCCCGCGCGGTCGCCGTTGAGCAGCGAGAAGGCGCCGACGGCGGCCCCGCGGCCGTCGAAGCTGCCCTCATAGCCGTCGTAGACGCTCGGTGGATGCTGCGCGGGCGGCACCAGGCGATACGTCTCGAAGCTGCGGCCCATGCGCTCGCCGGCCATTCGGTCTCAGTGCGGGTTTCGTTGCCCGACGACGCTCTGGGGCTGAAACGAATCTTCGTCCTCTCCGACGGGATTGGGAGCTGCTACCTTTGAAGGTTGACAGTAGTAAACGACTGGCAAGAGAGCTCAACGGGGTATACACGCCAAGCAGCGCTGCAATGTGACAGGCACTCGGTCGGGATGCACGGAGCAGAGGTGACCAATCTGGACGAGCGATAACTGGGCACCGGACTGAAGGATAGGCCGTGTGGCACACATGCGGCACAACATTCAAGCGACATTACATCGAGAGTTGAAGTTGAAGTAGCCTACTGTACGTCTCTCCAGCGGTAGCAACGCTGCGCCGCGCTCACAGCGTACACGGAGAGCCCCAGCATGAAGCCCACTCCAGTGTTGAACGCCAGACAGCCTGACGCTGTCACTAGCAGCAATAGAAGCGCTGCATCACGCTCGCCTTCAGCCGTCTCGAGCTTCAGTCCCACAATAGCGAGGCTCAGGCCGCTGAAGACCAGCATGACGCCCAGCACGGACGCTGGGAAGATGCCCGTCTGAAGCAGCGCAACGCACGTGGAGCCCAGCAGCAGCGCGAAGAACATCTTGAAGGCCCCGAGGAACACCATCGCCAGGCTGCTCCGCGCACCGAAGGCGTACTGGGAGGCCAGGCCGCCCGCACCATGACACACCGGCAGCATTCCGAACCAAGAGAAGAGAAGATTTCCGCCGGCGATACTGAAGCACACGCGGCGCACGCCGGCAGGTTTGTCGTGGGTGGGGAAGAGCTCAGCTGCCAGCGATTCGAGAGCGACTACCGAGTTCAACAAGGTGAGTGGCAGTTGTGGCAGGACGAGGTACACGAAAGCCTGGCCAAAGTCGTGCATCGTGGGGACCACCGGCGCGACGAACTTCGGTCCCAGCGCTAGCGACGGCAGATGATACTCATCACGTAGGCGAAGATACTGGTATACAGCGACCGTCATGCCGTACACGAATAGCAGCAAGGCCATGGGCACTTTGCGGCTGCGGATGAACACGATGCACAAGGCTCCTAGAAGCAACGACACCGTGACAGAATCCAACCCAAACCAAATGACTTCGTTCTTGCCCTCAGCAGCAGCAGCTTTGACGTACGCACTCTTGAATCCTTTCCCCATCAAGCTGATCCCGACTCCCAACTGAATCCCGCGCACAATTGGAACCGGCACGACCGTACTTGGATGCGTGATGATGTTGGTGAGCGCCAGCAGTCCCACAATGGCCCCCATGAGGATACCCGCAGCGATAATTTGCTCGTTAGGGACCTTGTCGGCGATCGCCACAGCTGCGATCGTCTTCATGGGCTGGATTGGAATCGGCACATTGAAGTGAAGTGCCAAGCTTGACGTGAAAACTCCGGCGAAGAACAATGCGGCTCCGAACTCGATCTGCGGTGCTCCATTCACGCGTCCAATGGCAAGCGCAGTGAGCAGCGGTAGGAACAGTCCGATGTCTCCAAATGCACCTGAGACCTCCTGCAAGGTCATGAATTGCTTCAGGTACGCTCGCCAGCCTGGCCTCGTGAACACGAACAGCTTTCGATGCAGCGGCTGCCCGATCTGTGGGCCCGTCACCTTCGCGAACCGGTCGCCGGCGCCTAGGGGTAGCATGGGGGTTGACGCTGATGCCCCGACATCATCCGACAGGACCAGCATTTCCTAGCGCGGTTGGGCAGGCAGTCGGTCTGTTTCTTGGAGGGAGGTTCGTAAATGGGGGAAGAAGGATGAGAGGCGTGTGCCTCGCAATGTGCAAATCAAAAGGTATCCTCTTTTACTTCAGGAGTACACAAGTGCCGAGGATGGCCGCATGGGGCACGCTACTGCGAACGCTTGATTGAAAAATTATATTCGAGTTGGTGCGTGGCTCACAGTTGGTCTTGACCTCATCTTTCTGCTACCGATGCCTCGTCAACGACGGGCGTTGACCGAAGCCCGATCCCCATGTCGGTTTGCGCGCCGAGCGTGAGGCCTCTCTTGTCCTGTACGTACATACCTACTGCGGGGGCTCCCATTCGAACGGCTCAGGCGGGTCGGCCTCGTTTTCCGCGCCAGCGGCAGCGGGTGCCTTGACGGCCTCCACATCCTCGGCCTCATCGGGCGTTGTGTCGCGCAGCATGATAACTCCTGCCAGTCTCTGCGCCGGGTGCATCACCGGAACGTACCTCTGCGCTGTGTCCAGGGAGATTACAGACTCCTGTGCCAGCGTCACACGGGCAGGCGTCGTAAATGTGAACACGCTCGGTTCCTTTGCCGCCGCTGTCTTCTTGCCAGTAGCCGGCTTAGCTCCCTCTGCATCCACCTCCATCGCATCGCCGGTCTCCTCCTTCTTCTCCTCGTCGGCCTTCTCCTCCATAACGATGTCTCCGCTAGCATCAGACGGCTTGGCCGTCTTCTCCTTAGCGTCCTGCTTAGCCTGGCGCGCACGTGCCTTGGCCGTTGTGGACAACACAGCCGTAGCCACCAGTTCTTTCTTCTCCTCCTTCTTCTCCTCCATGCGCTTGGGCGTGGCAAACGCCGACTTCTTAGCATTACAAGTGAGCTCGAAGCCGCGAGGAAGCTTCAAGTCCTTGTTAAGGCCAACGGCCATCGTGGTCTGGAATGAGAGCTCCAGGAAGTTGAAGAGGGGGTACCAGAACCAATGCTGTGCCCAAATGGCCAGACCAACTACGGCGGCCATTTTCGTGAAACCAGTGTGAGACTGCAGCGAAATCACAACGTTACGGCCACCAGCGTCCAAGATGCCCTGCGCCAGAATGGCGCCCATCTTGGTCATCGTGGTCACGTGCTTGTCGGTAATCAGCTTCATGATCTTCGCCCGGATAGCGGCCACCTTAGGGTTGCGGCCCTCGGACTCCTGCATAATAACCATGGCAAGGGCTAAGAGGGCACCTTGACGCACGTAGTCTACAGCGTCGTCAAGAAGCGGCTCCAGCAGCTGGATGGCCTCGTTCTTGGCAGTGCCGGCACAAGCAATGCCCACAGCCACACAGGCACCGTAGCGAACGTGAGGGTTAAAGCTTTCAGCCAGCAGTGACACCAGCTTAGGCACCTGCACAGGCGTGCGGAACAGGATAAAGCCCAGGCACGTGACAGCAGCGCGGCGGACGTCGTCCGACACATCACTCACGGCCACATGCAGCAGTCGACGGATAGCCGTGTTGTTGGCCGTACCAGCGTACGCCATGGCCACGGTGTACATACCGCCGTAGCGGATCAGGGGGTCCTTGTCACGGGTCAGCTGCTCAATTAATGCGTCAGCCTGCTCTTCGCGCTCGTACATCATGAGCGCAATTCCCATCACGCAACCGCGAATGATCTTCTCGTGCTTCGTGTCGTGCGCATATGCGAACAAGTCCTTCACAATCTCACCATTACGACCCTCACCGCCTGCGCCCAGCAGAGTAAGACCAATTGCAAGACCTGCACCTTCACCCGCGACCGCTGAATCAGTGAACAGCACGGTCTTCAACTCCTCGTACAACTCGTAGTCGTGCGAAGCCAAACCACACAGACCAATGCCCAAACAGGCACCGTGCTGCACAGTCTCGTCCGAGCCAGCGTTCTTCAGCGCATTGCGCAAGTACTCCATCGTGGTCTTGCTACCCGATCCCGCAAAGCCCTTGTTCGCGTGGATCAGACCCATCGCGTAAAGGGCGCCACCCTCAGAGTACGGAGAAGTAGTCATGCCTCCCTGCGGCAAGTAAGGAGCCAAAAGGTTCATGCTCTCACGAACGTGGTCCTTGTGGACGACGCCGAGACTAGCAGTAGCCGTGAATTTAGCCCAGTTGGTGGCCTTGCCCAGCCACTCCAGGTTCTCGCGCAAAAACGTATCCGACGTAGTGCCGCAGTTCATGTAGGCGTGCGCAATCACAGCAGCGTGGTGCAGCACCGAGTTGCGGTTTTCCACCGCGGTCTTAATAGTCTTCATAACAAGCGGGTCCGAGTCACTGTGGCTGTGCAGGAAGTCTAGTTTCAGGTCCACAAGGAATTCACCCGACAAGATCTGCTTCAACTTGGCGAGCTTGTCCCAGTAATCAGCACAAGCTCCAGCAGGAGCTTGCGGGGGCGTGGCAGGCACATCGGCGGGTGCGGGGGCTTCCGTCTTACCCTCTTCAGCTGTGGTGGTCGTGTCTACCGCTGGTTCGGCAGCGGGGGCTGGCGGACTCGGGAGCGAGTGGTAGACATTCATGAGGAACTTTTGGTTCTCGTTCTCGTTGAGGTCGAACGCCACCTGGAACGCGACGAGGCAGTCGCTGCCGCGCACGAGCTGGTCCAGAATCTTGGCGACTTCCACGTGGTTGTCCAGCATCTGCAAAACTTGACACACGCTGGCGTGCTCCTGGGTCGGGCGCGAGCGGTAGACTTCCAGCATGACCTCGAACACCTTGAGGCGGAAGTGGCGGTTGCTCACCACCGTCTTGCAGATCTCAAAGCAGTACGCCAGAGCCGCCGACACGTCCGTGGAGCGAGCGAGACACTCCTTCACCTGGTCCAGTCGTCGGGCCTCCAGAGCAATGCCCATGGCCTGGCGGAACTCGCCGGCCGCGTAGCAGCGCTCGAACATGCGCTCCACCACCTGCGTGAGTCGCGGGTCCAGCGCCTTCTCGGCCTCCGGGTCCTCCTTGGCACGCACCGCCACGTAGTTGTCGATGCACGTGGCGATGATCGTGTCTGTGTACTGCGAGCGCGTGTTCAGGTCGAAGTACTTGCCGGCGCCCAGCGCCAGACGCAGAGCGTCCTCGTACTCCTCCAGGTGGAAGAAGCACTTGGAGGCCACGTAGGCCGCCAGCTCGCGGTCCGGGAAGCTCTTCTCCTCGGAAAGCTCCTCGATCAGCGGGATGGCGTCCGCGATCTCGGCCCAGTAGTGGTCCACCACCAGGTTCAGCTTCTGCAGGGCATGGGCCTGGGTGTTGACACGCAATTACGACGTTAGTAGAGGTCCCCCAGCGATAAAACGAAGTGCATCCGATGCGCCGCGCTGTGCCTCACCTTGAGCGCGTTGTCGTCTTCTTCCAGGAGCGCGAGGACGCCCGCGGCTGAGCAGATACAGACAAAAGATCCACCCGGTGGAAGTTAGATTTGCGGCGCCTGTAGACGACGGCTGGAGCCCGTCGTCGCGGATTATTAAAGGATAGATACAGTGATAGGAGGGAGACGCAGGGGGAGACGCCTCCGACGGCCTTGAGAGACGGTAAACGTACCGGAGTTGCCGTGAGCGACGGTCATGCTGTCTCTTCCTGTTGTTGCTTCACGCTCCAGAAAGAAATCTTCTCCTCACTAGAAATCTTCCCTTCATGCCTTAAGTACGAATGTACTTAGCCGGAGCTGAACAATACGTCTACTCCGGTGTTTATTACAAACATAGCTGCATCGTTTCCCTTGTCATTTGGATTGTCTTACCAAAAATTACACAAACTATAGCCAGGTTGAAGTGACAAAAGATACTTTTGCGTCTGTTGCCAGTCATTCAAGCAGCGCGACAAGACCAAAACTACACGAAGGCCATGGTATGCATGCTACCTTACATCTTTACGACGTGGATGCGGTGGAGGCTAGTTTTCCTTTTGCACTGGTTCAAGCAAGACGCAGCGAGCTAGCCTTGCTGCTCCAACAATGAACTAACGTCTTCTGCACGTGTGGTATCACTCACATATTGCACCTTACTCGCGGTATCTCTGTTATAAATCTGCTGACAGTTTTCTTGCCGCGGTGTCGTCTATATGAGACGCTATCGGATGCTACGTTCTCGTATCGGACAACATCATGAAGTTCCTAGTCGTTGCAACGAACCACATACAATTTCCGAAGGTCATCGTGCCGCACGATTCGTGTGGCGAATCGAAGCTGCTCCACAACGCTATGATTGTGTCTTTTCAAAAGGCGCGCCAAAATAGACACCAAACTTGTCCTGCGGGTTATCCGCAAAGGATCCCAAATATCTCGAACAACTTTCTGATCTCTGTATTCAGGTTAGCTGGCCGCAGCCTGGGAGCTTAGCGACTTCTTCCCACACTTTAGGGCTAACAACGTCAATCCCAGAGCCTCTAGCAATGTCAACCCCATTCCAGTCCTGTGGCGGATCACCAGTACATCCCGATTCCACAGCACCAAATCGCATTAAGCGCGAAACGTGTAAGGCTAACTTCACCACTCCATCTCTTCCGAGAGACTCGACCCACCCTCGTGGCACTTGAAAGGAAACAATGTGTTCAAACAGGGCCCAGTGTGAGCAGATTATCGCAACTGCTGACCGTTGGTTGTCACTTTGCCAATTGGGTGGCAAAAACTTACACATCGTGCTGCTCCAGGTGGATGCTTGAAATTGTGAGTTTCCTCCCGCAAGCACCTTTGCTTGAGCACGATTGAGAGCCGTTCGCACTGCCAGCGAAGCGCCTGTCGGCGTGTGGCGTGTGAGCATTCGCAGAGATTGGTTGGGCTGGTCCAATTTACTAAATTGAATTTAGTATGATCGGCAGTGCCGTCGGATCTTTGGGCACTAGTTGCGCCTGCATCGACCAGCGGACGAGCGAGCAAGCAAGCAAGTAAAGCCTTGCTACAATCGGCAAACGTCCCGAGCTGTCGCCCTCGCATTGGTGATTTCTGTGGGTCTACGACAGACCAACACACTCAAAACCGGGGCGACACCGAAAGAAACGCTGACAGTCAAGCCATACAAAAACCAGACTATTCTCTTTGAAAATGGATAGGACCTCCAAACTTTGGATAGGTAACAGCGCAAGCGCCAACCAAAACCATCAAGGAGGTTCATGTTTCAGAGGGTCAACTTGCGGCACCGCACCCGTGTGCAATGGTCCTTCGTAAAGTTTACATTGCTCCTCCGGAACGACAGGTGGTACTAGTGCTAACCGATGTGCCGTGTACACGTTAAATCGGCGATAGAGTGAGGGATAAACTCGACAAGCACCAGAAGTGCAGCACAAGTGAAGCAAGTATCATAAGCTTATTGCATTGCGATCTTCCGAACAAGTCCATGCAGATCAAAGTGCAACTTTGCGCCGTCGCCCGATCACCACGGGACAAGTTCAATCGGAAGAATGGCACCACGTTCTTTGACAATGCTAACCTACACGGGCGGCGAAGTGCGGACAAACAGTGGAGATGACCGGGGTTTGATTTACTTACATAAACTTGCACGACTTTTTGGCTATGCTCAGGTTCGGGACTTCCATCAACAGTCGGAGATGGTGCTATCCATTGGATGGCTAATTGCAGTGCCGTGGCCGACCACGAAGGTATCAGCAGTCCGCAGGTTCGCCTATCGATCTGCCAAAGAAACGCTTTGCTTGCCCGGCAGCAAATGCAGCTAGATACGCGCTCAACGTGTGGTGGTGCTGGCTGGGCTCTGTCCGGATGGGGGAATGCTGAAGCTGAAGCTGAAGCAACTGCGCTACGTGCGTATCCGCCGACGGAGAGCTGGCACTGCCAGTGGCAGGCTAGCACCTCCAGGTAGGTTGGTCATTTCCACATTAGACGCGTACCTGCAATAGCTGCCTCTGCTGAAGACCCAAGCAAAAGATGAAGGTCGTCGTTGTTGGTTCCGGAATTGGCGGTATCTCCGCCGCCTACCACCTGGCCAAGGATGGCCACGAAGTCGTGATGCTCGAGAAGAACGAGACCCTCGGTGGACACACGTACGAGATGGAGATCGACGGCGAGATGGTGGACATCGGCTTCATGATGTTCGGCGACTCCAACCCCAACATTAAGGCGTGGTTCAAGTCTCTCGGGCTGACGGAGGCCGATGGCACCACCAAGAAGCGCATTCCCATGAGTCTGACGGTGAGCTCTAACATCGAAGGCGACCTCCAGTTCTCGTCGCGCGCTCCGTTCCACGGCAGCGTGCTCAACCTCTTCGACCTGCGCATCTGGCGTGTCCTGCGCGACATCTACCGCTTCACCATGGACCTCATGACCATGCCCGTCAAGGAGGACATCACGACCCGTGAGTGGATCGCCAAGGGCCAATACTCCGAGGAGTTCTTCCACCACTACTTCCTGGCCTTCGTCTCGGTGCTGTGGACGGTGCCCAAGAACGACGTGCTGGACCTGCCTGTGACGCAGTTCCTCCGTGCGCTCAAGACCCACTCCAACTCGCTGTACATCCCGCTCTGGCAGGTGATCATGCGTACTTTGGGCCGCCGCTCCGCTCGCCCGAAGCACCTCTGGTGGTACATCGGCTCGGGCTACATTGAGCCCTTCCTGAAGATTTTTACTGAGGAGTACAACGGAACGGTGCGCTACAACGCCACCGTTGACCAGGTCGAGAAGGGCGGTAAGGCTGTCATCCTCGAGGGTGGAGAGCGCATTGAGTGTGACCACGTCGTGCTGGCCACGCACGCCGACGAGAGCGCGCACATGCTTCGCTGGAGCGAGAAGGCGCAGCGCTCGCTCATGCGCTTCTACTTCCACAAGAGCATGATGTACGTGCACCGTGACCCCACGCTTCTGCCCAAGTCCAACAAGGTGTGGAGCAGCTGGAACGTGTTGATCTGCAACGAGGACCAGTACATCCTGACCTACTGGATGAACCGTATCCAGCACCTCAACAGCAAGAAGGACGTCTTCGTGACCATCACCCCGTACGAGGAGTTCGAGGGCCAGACCCCCGACGCCGACAAGACCATCTCCGCCTTCCGCTGGGACCACCCGCGCCTGCTGGCCGACTGCATTGCGCAGGACGAGATCATCCAGGAGGAGGGTATCACGCTGTCTGGCTGCTGGCTGGGCCGTGGCTTCCACGAGGACGGCTTCGTGGCCGGCCGCCGCGCTGCTGCGATCATCCGCGACCCGAAGCACAAGAAGACGGTGCTGTACGAGGACCCGGGCAACATCGCGACTCCGCCCGTGCCTCCTTTCGGCGTGCCGCTCAACTTCCACCTCTTCGGCGCCACGGTCGTCGGCCTGGTGGGCTACGGAATTGCCAAGTACCTGGACGTCAAGTTCTAATCGGTGTGTGCGGCGTAGAAGCAGTGAGTGTATTAAGTCGAGCGGGCTCGACGCACGGAGTTAGTGCGTGCAATAGGCAGGCAGACGTGTGATAGCCAGCGTATTCTCCCAATTCGACACGAAGTTTTTCCTCCATTTCCTCGAGTCACCATCGAACGACTTCAAGCGGCTCAAGGTCAACGACAACTTGACCTCTCCCTGCACGTCGCGCTGCAAGGATACGCGCCCTCCCGGCAGGCGGCAAACTGTGTCGTCGGTGGTCTCGGCACCACCGCAACCCGCTTCGCTTCAACGTGTTGCAACCATCGAGGCTCGAGCAGAGTCTCGGTGTGGCGATGGCCCCGCTTCCCTGTCCTTGGCTCCGTTGTGAGTCTGCCGCCAAGGCGGCGCTGCAAAGCTCGAAATGGTTTTCGCCACGAACGTCGCTTGATGGTCTCGCGAGACCATTCAGATGGACTGTCTAGCCCCGGTGCGTTTGATTTGTTGTTTGTATGCCCCCCTCTGTGGTTGTGGAAGCGGGCGCAGTTGGCTCGCGCAGACGCGCGCAATGACCATTTCGGATTCCCCCGCCGCCTGCAGACTCCCAGCCCCGCAGCAATGAAGGTCGTCGTGGTCGGCTCCGGCATCGGCGGCACCTCCGCCGCCTACCACCTGGTCAAGGATGGCCACGAAGTCGTGATGCTCGAGAAGAACGCGACGCTCGGCGGCCACACGTACGAGATGGAGATCGACGGCGAGATGGTGGACATCGGCTTCATGATGTTCGGCGACTCCAACCCCAACATCAAGGACTGGTTCAAGTCGCTGGGCATCACGCAGCCGGACGGCACCACCAAGAAGCGCATCCCCATGAGCCTCACGGTCACGTCGGACGTGGAGGGCGACATGCAGTTCTCGTCGCGCGCCCCGTTCCACGGCAGCATGCTCAACCTGTTCGACACCCGCATCTGGCGCGTGCTCATCGACATCTACCGCTTCACGATGGACCTCATGACCATGCCCGTCAAGGAGAACATCACCACGCGCGAGTGGGCGGCCAAGGGCCGCTACTCGAACGAGTTCTTCCGCCACTACTTCCTGGCCTTCGTGTCCATCCTCTGGACGGTGCCCAAGCACGACGTGCTGGACCTGCCCGTGACGCAGTTCCTTCGCTGCCTCAAGACGCACTCCAACTCGCTGTACATTCCGCTGTGGCAGGTGATTCTCGGTGCGCTGGGTCGTCGCACGGACCGCCCCAAGCACCTCTGGTGGTACATTGGCTCGGGCTACATCGAGCCCTTCCTCAAGCTGTTCACCGAAGAGTACAATGGTACTGTGCGCTACAACGCGAAGGTGGACCAGGTTGAGAAGGGCGGCAAGGCTGTCATCCTGGAGGGTGGAGAGCGTATCGAGTGCGATCACGTCGTGCTGGCCACGCACGCCGACGAGAGCGCGCACATGCTTCGCTGGAGCGAGAAGGCGCACCGCTCGCTGATGCGCTTCCACTTCCACAAGAGCATGATGTACGTGCACCGCGACCCGATCATGCTGCCGCCGTCCAACAAGGTGTGGAGCAGCTGGAACGTTCTCATCACCAAGGACGAGCAGTACGTCTTGACCTACTGGATGAACCGCATCCAGCGCCTCAACAGCAAGAAGGACGTCTTCGTGACCATCACGCCGCACGACTTCCAGGGCAAGCGTCCTTCTCCTGAACAGACCATCTCCGCTTTCCGCTGGGACCACCCGCGTCTGCTCGCGGATTGCGTGCCACAGGACGAGATCATCCAGGAGGAGGGTATCACGCTGTCCGGCGCCTGGCTGGGCCGTGGCTTCCACGAGGACGGTTTTGTTGCTGGTCGCCGTGCTGCTGCGATCGTTCGCGACCCCAAGCACAAGCGAACGGCGCTGTACGAGGACCCGGGCAACATCGCTGTCCCGCCTGTGCCTCCTTTCGGTATTCCTCTCAGCTTCCACCTCGTCGGCGCCACCGTCGTCGGCCTGGTGGGCTACGGACTTGTCAAGCTGCTGGAAAAGAAATAGAGCATGTTAATGTTGTCCTCGGTTGATAGCCTTGTCAGATATGCACGGAGATACTGTGTGTATTCAGTTTTCAGCAATAAAGCATAGCGAGTTACCATTGAAGGATCGCCTTGACGTGTTCATGGCCAGCAACTGCGTACAAACCCCGGGCTCTACCAATTCTGCTCAGCACAGCAATAACTCTGCTACTGTAGAAACGACTCACCGCAGCGAGAAATCGGCTACAAGCGATAGGTGGTCACTCGAGTGTTCCTTCGTGGGCAGCTCATGATTCGAGAACAGCAATCCGGCAGGAATCATTTCTACAACCCCATGGCAGTGCAGTGAGCTCCGAGTAAACCAAATGTAGTCCACTGTGCCCTTAGAGGCGTTGTGGAATATCGTGAACTTGGGCTCGCCTGTGCTCTTGTCATCCGGCGACTGAGCATAAGCGCTGGCAAAGTCAAACTGTAGGTACGAAAACAACAAGTCAATGACAGCGCGCTCGACAGTTTTTGGAAATCAGACTTCTTACCTCATGCGAGAACACCGTGTTCGGCTTGTAGACTCGGAAGTCATTTCGTTGAGCTTTAGCGCTGTCAAATTTCCCAATTGCAGTACCGTTCCCATGATGGCGAGTCCGGTCGTTTTCGTTCGTTCGAATAGTTTTCTGTGTGATACGTAGTGGTTAGCAAGTCAATCAACAATCATCTTACTAACCTCTCAAAAAACTAAAACAAAACGCACCTTCCGAGCATGGTTGGTCAAGTTTTGCCCCGACAAGTCAAAACGAGAAAGCCCAGAAGCGTCCAGCTCTCCAGTAGACAGGAAATGGTAGAGTGGGCTGTGCGGTGCCAGGTTAAAATCTCCTGAGAGAAGTACCGGCAGCATCGCACCGCCCTCTTGCCGCAGAGACGTCAGGTGCTCCATCAGCATGTTCAACTGAGCTAATTTGATTTCTCCTCGCTACGCAGCAGTAAACAAAAAACACAAGTCAGCAAAACGAAGTACGAAACGACAAAAGCACCATGTGTGCCAGCTCACGAACATTCGGGTTGAACAGTATGTGCGTATTCGCAACGACGAAGCGAGCAGGGGTCGATCCATTGACGTTCGATGTTGCCTCAACCACTGCAGTCAATGCAATATTGTCTTTTTGCAGCACCGGATGATCGGGTACATTGTACTCGATCGGGTGCGACGATACAATGCGGAACATGCTCTCCTTGACGAAGATCGCGCAGCCATCGTGGGTTGTCTCTCCGGTTCTGTTAACACAATTGTTTACTATCCAAAATCAACACTGCAACAGCAAGACCAAGATTACCTCCTCTTGTAGATGCCCACATAGCCCGCGTTCTTCAGTCTCGGCTCGAAGAAGTCCTCGAAATGGTCCACTTCCTGCAGATTGACGATATGTGGCGACCACCGCAGAATTTCCTTCACGAGACGACCTCGACGGTATTCCCAACTGATACAATGACACAATAGAAGCACGGTCGGTCCCTACTGGGCAACAGACATAGTAGCGGCGCGCAAGCTTCCAACTGGTGTATCCTCCTACCTGTATTTCATTTGGCGCTTGGCCGGTTCGTTCTCCCGGTCGTTCTGCACCAAATAATCTGCACCAAAACACACATTCCACTTCAGTATTTACCCACATATCATTAGCACCGCACTATATGCACTGAGTTACCTGCCAGCACGTTGAATGACATGAAGCGGAAGGTGGAGGCTGGGATGGGTACACTTGGGTCGTCGGCGCTTTTCGGAGGCGCGTACGCCATCCAGCGTCTGTGGATCGGGCGCGGCTTGCGCGACGTCGTGCGCTGCCGCTTCTCCTCCTGCGAGCTGCTGTCGTCCGCGGGGCGCCTCGAGCGCTGGCGCTGGCGGCGCGACGTTGGCGCCGTGTCCTCGTCCATCAGAAAGCGAAAATGATTGTCAGTTCAAATAGCTGTGTGCACCACACCATTCCTGGTTTTAGTGCGTTATTATTGAGTCGAGGAGGACACACGCAACATGAACGCGCCGAACCGCAGCGACTCGTACCTGCTGCCCGAGGGCGCGCAGAAGGTGACGTACGAGAAGGACACCAAGATCTCCAACGCCGGCAAGTTCACCATCCTGCGCGAGGACCACACCATGGGCAACCTCATCCGCATGTGCGTCGTAGTAAAGCGAACCCTAGACAAGCGGAGGAACTCAATGAATAGACTAAATGACCTTCTCCCGTGTCTGCAGGCAGCTGCTGCGCGACCCGAACGTGATGTTCAGCGGCTACCGCCACCCGCACCCGCTCATCCACGACATCACCGTGCGCGTGCAGACTAACGACGCGTCGTCGCCCGTGGAGGCGCTGGCCAACTCGCTGGACGACCTCAGCACCGAGTTCGACGAGATCGCGCAGAAGTTCCGCCGTCTTACAGGCAACTCCAAGGACCCGAGCTCCTTCAGTTAAGCAGTTCCCCGCCTAAGTTCGTCATTGTGTCTTTCTGTCTGGTAGCTACTAGGCTTCTCGTGGCAGAAGAACTAGGCGGAACCTTGACATTTCGACGGAGAAAAACAAAGTACTTTAACACGATGGAACTGGTGCACTACGCTTTGCATTTGGAGTGCATTCTATTACGATATACGGTGCTCACTCTTCGAAGCGTAGTTCCAACCGACCTGTGTCAGCGTCCGTGTACAGGAGCAGCGACATCACGATGGCTTCAAGGTGCATCTGCTGCTCGATGAAGGTCTCGACTGCGAATTCACGGAGCAGCTCGCGACTTTCAGGATATTCTACACGCCATTGTATCCACTCTAGTGGATCCCACACCTCAAACACTACAGCTTTGGCTAATGGGGCCACTTCCGCTCGTACGCGGCAATACACAGCGCCGGACTCTTCCTCATCGTCGCCTTCATTCTCATCGTTCGTGATGCGGAGCACAGGCGACACAACTCGAAAAATGCATCGATCTAAGCTGACCTCGAACTTTGTGGCATCACCCTCTGCTGAAGTGATGGCGCACTTCTTGCAGAGCTCTTTCACCAAGACTGGCCAGGGGGCATCACGATTCAATCGGTGGATTTCGTTACTGGCCCCCGTCATAGCACGAAGCAGCTCTTCACGCTTCTTCTTGGTCGATGGGGTCTTCGTTTTCGACGCCTTCCCTTTTGAAGAGCCAGGTGGTGCATCTGTCAACCGATGCAGCGACTCACGGGTCTCCTTCATACTCTCACTGAGTTCAATGAGACGTTTTGACACGTGTGAGGTCGGTGGGGCAACTTCAGGAACTAGTTGCTGCTGCTCGTGACAGGTTTTCGTTAGTGCGATCAACTCTAACTTGGAAATGACAAAGTTTGTACATCGTTTGCATGCGCTCGCATCGTACAGCTCCAGTGAAAATAGCTGTCCATCAGTGTCCACGTCGTCCAAAGCATCGCTAGTTTCAGGTGCCAACGCAAAAAACGAGTATCGAAGATGCACTCCCGATATCTGGCAGCCTCCAGAGGACAGAAGTGAATGTCTAGGTCTCATGTGGACCTTTGCAAGCCACGTACGCTGTCCAACTTGTTGCTTCTTCAAGGGTACAATTGACTGCAACGCTGTCGATACCGTCTGTAGCACTTCTTCGCGTATTTTCTTCCGAGACCTGTCAGCCCGACGCTGAGCGCGGTCTCCGGATGCCTTCTCCTTCTCGCTTACATGTTGCAACTGCTGACTCAGCTCGGCTAATTGAGCCGCTGTTGACTTCATTTCAGCCTTGAGCGCTTGACGCCCTGTTTTGAGAGATCGCCGTTCTTCATGCAAACGTTTTACGTCGAAATTCGTGCCACCACCTCCACCGATTGCGTCGATCTCTTCGATCCGAGCCTTATGCGCTTGGTCCTTTTCGTTCAACTCGGTTCGTTTAGCCTCGACCTTCGCAATCTTCTGCCGGATTTCGACACGCTCAGCTTCAGCATCATTATGGAGACGAAGTTGATTCATTGCCAGCTCAAGTTGCAGAGACCGCTGACTATCTCGCAACATTTTGTTAAAAAGTTCTTCGCGTTTGCGCTCCTCTGTCATCACCGGAGGAAGAAGAGGGAGAGCATTCGTTCCTGGACCATGTCGACCTCCGTTTATCCCGAGCATCATGCGAGCGTTGGATCTGTTATCCTCACGACCGAGAAGTCGAAGTCGCGGTATCAATTTCCGTGCCACCGTTAGGGTTTGCTCAGGACTGAAACCACTTCGAGGGTACGGATACAGTTTTACGAGCGATGCAGCCTCGAGCAACCCAACTGTAAGCTTGTACGTCATTGAGGCGCTGGGGTTGTACACCGTGATTACCAAGTTACGCGCTTGAGCAGGAAAATGATGCACTGAGACGTAAAACCGCCGACCACGAAGTTTTATCGGTTGGCAGAACACTCGGTGCCTCTCGCGTCGCGGCTTGGCTAATAACGCTGCGAGTTCTTCGAGACGACGGGCTTCTTCTTGTCGCAAACGCTCCTCTCGCTCAAGACGCCGAAGTGCCGACTCGTTGAGCTGAATCTCCGGCGAAATTCGCAACACTTGCGAACCAACTTTCGGGGGCTGAGCGATTTCTTCACTAGGGTACGGATCATCGCCAAAGTTTCTAGCGTCTGTGTTGGGGTCGTCCGAGTACTCAAAGTAGAGTAAGGAGATAAGCTGGCGCAGCAACTCTTGCTTTCTGCCTGGCGCTAACAATGCTTCGCGCTCTGGGTCAGCTCCACCCGATAGAAAAAGCCTTTCAATATCTTGTAGCGTCACACGAAGGGAGTAAGTTCGACTTGTGGCTGGTTCGTACGCTTCTACGTGCAAACATCGTTTCTTGTCCTTCCCGGTTAGTCCAGCGCCGTACAATCTCCCAAAAATGCCTTCGCCATATATTGAAACCACGCAGTAGCTGCGAGAAATCAGCGTGCCTTGAGCACGGAGAAGCAATCGCGTGGGCCTTTTCACTGGGCTCACGGAACTTGCAGAATTGTCGAAATTGGTTGAGGTAAGACGCGCTGGAATGTGGAATCGACACGCCTCGTATCTTGCCCACTTGCCACGATTATTTGCTCCTGGTGCTCTCGTCATACTCCATGGTGTTACCTGCTGGTAATGCGAAGCACCACGCAGCAGCATGGGCAGTTCATCTTGCGTCCAGTGTTTGGATCGATCACGTACGGGCTCACGCCACCGTTCAGCGGGCAGCATTTCAAATCCACGGTGTTGTAGCGAATGGCATGGCATGAGCGCAACTTCATCGCCACCCACGCATTTTTTGGGTATCGCAGCAAGTTGCAAAGCGTTGAGTATCGGCTTGGGTTCGTTGTACTCCTGAAGCCGAACGAGCTGTTCAACACCAATGGTGGGTCTACCATTGATGTCGAGCAATAGTCGTGGTCGTTGCAGTATCTGCATCTCAAGAGGAGGCAATGGTGGTCCAACACTGTTAGAAGTAGATGGCTCTGCTGAATGAGGACGAGATGATGACAGACGAGCAGCTTCACGTTCTTCAATGTCATCAATCAAAGTTTCAAGTCTCTCGAGTCCAACAAGACTATGGCGTCCTGGGGATACGGAGGCTGGTAATGGCGTCAGAATCGCACCAGGTAGTGGGTACTTGCGCTGCTTTGCTCGTTTCTGCTTTGGCGGTGATTTCTTCCAAAACTTCCATTGCCATCGAGACACACTTGCTGAAGCCACCTCCGTCACAGAATCCGACGAGCTAACTCTAGGATCGTCGACATCGCGGTCGTCGTCGGTCTCACTGCGCTCAAGAAGAAGCTGAGGCAATTCACCAAATGCCTCTTTTGGAAGGCACGGCAAGTTCATGGCCCATGGAGTCACGCCACAAGTCGGCGACTGTCGTAACGGTGCAGGATCATTTGAGACGGTATATTTAGGACGGTAGAGCTGTAGTTCTGTTTGGGTAACGCTACGCCTTCCACGTCCGGAGATGGCAGGACACCGGTGCAGTCGTAGATGTTTGTCTCTTGTTAAGGCAACCGTACACACCTTTGCCGCTGGGTAATGTGGTGCAGTGAGATCCGTTGGGTAGGTCTTGTCGTGCGTCTGGGCAGATACCTTGGTGGTTGTCGGGGCTGCAGATCGGCCATCCATGCACGCAGAAGGTCTTGTCGATGTCGTGGACTAGCACTCGCGTGCCGTTGGACTCGTGGCAGGCGTCACGGTTTGCTTGTGATACCGTTAGCTCCGTAGCCACTGTTGCCTGCGGGGTGTCGGGGGACCAACTGGTCGGATCGAGTGTATCGCTGCTGCCATCGGCGGACGCGAATGCAACGATGGGAATCAACTCTGCAGGATCAGCGAGTACTTGAGCAGACATCATGGCGGCTCTGACAGCGTGCAAGGCAAGGAACACAGAAGCAGTCATGGATCGAGCGGCCCCGACAGCGTGCAAGGCAAGGAACACAGAAGCAGTCATGGATCGAGCGGCGCCGAGCATTGTATAACGGAGCGGTGGCGCTGCCAAAAGCGCGCAGCTTGCGCTCCACACGGGCAGTGTGCGTCTGCGGGGCGGGTGGGGACTATGACGCACAGCAGCAAGTCGGCCCGCAACCGCAAGGCCACTGCTGCACGAGCGAAATATTCTGTTCTTCCTCCTGAGACTGTCCGAGCGAGTGCGGAGCGATGCGATTGAAGACGGCAGCGTCGCGTGGAGGTTGGTCTATTATTTGCTGGGCAGCGATTGATCTGGGTGAGGCAGCTCCTCACTTTTCTTCGGTTTCGCGTGCGCGCATGCATGCGTGCGTGCATGCAAGAGAACAAGGTACGCAGCGGGGGGAAGGCGGTCGGCCGGCTTGCAGGTCAGCATCGAAGTGCGCAATGCGCTGCAGCACGTCAACTTCACCTTGGCCGCGTGGTGTTCGGCACACGAGCGGACCGAAAGTTGGGCCTGGGCGACCAAAAGCTTTGTCGGAAAAGAGCGTCCTCGAGGGGACTCGAACCCCCAATCCCCGCCTTCGGAGGGCGATGCCTTATCCATTAGGCCACGCGGACACGCTGAAGTACCGTCTCTCCACACGGATACCAAAGCCTGCATGCACGCCAAGATCGTCGCACCGTCACATGCACGCGACGGAAAAATACGCCCATACGATCGACAGGTTGCGCGAAGGTCGCCAAACAGTACCGTGTCTGACGCCCGTTGAGTGCTGCCAGCAGTGTGGCCTTCAACTTGCCTTTTGCGCACCGACCAAAACTGCTCTGATCAACTGTGAACGGCCAGCTCCGTCAACGACATGGCTTTCACTGATCTCAACAAAGAATGTGTATTTTGGATGCTGCGGAACTACGCACGCATGCACGCACTGCTCTGTAGTAACAGGGCTATCGCTGGCTTACTTGCTCGATCGCTCACGCGCCGTGAACGGCGGTGTAATTGTAGTACACCTCGTTCTCGTATTCGCTGTCGCAGTAGGGGAACGACGTGTCCGAGGTCGTCGGCGCGAACAGGGCCTTGCCCGACGTGTACGTCACGTAGCAGCCCAGGAAGCTGCAGATGATGACCACGATCGGCGCCGGCACCTTCTCCCAGATCGGGATCTCGTTCCACAGCTTCTTCAGCAGGAAGACAATGGGCGGCAGGGTGCTGATAAGCGTGATGCACGACGCGCCCACGAACTCGAGGAAATCCGAGAAGTGATCACGGAAGATGATGGAGACTACAACCAGAATGACCAAGATGAGCACGCGTAGAATAGCATACTTGACCGCGTTCGAGCCACGGTACTCCGCGACCTCTGCATCAATGTCACCGTAGTAGGGATTCTCGGCGTCGGCGTTGGAAATGTATGACACCCTGGATGAGCGGCGGCCATCGTTGATCGCATCTTTGCTTGGCGTGTTGGCAGCTTCATACGAGGCAGCGGCGTACGTGAGGGCGTTCTCGACGTCGTCCTCCTTCTTCTTGTGCATCTTGAGCACCAGTCGCTCGGCGAGGTAGAAGGCCGGGTTCAGGATGACGGAGAAGGCGATCGTAATGTGCAGCTGCATGAAGAAGTAGGCCATGACGACGGCGCCCCAGTTGGACTTGAAGCCCAGCGTGGTGAGGCCCGTGTCCGCGTCCGGGTAGATGGAGTAGAGCAGGTTGCCCGAGATCTGGCAGCCCACCGCCGAGTACGCCGTGCTGGCCAGGATCAGGAAGAGGCACGAGATGAAGGCCATGGTGACGAACACAACGCGCGGCATGCGCGTCGGCTCGCTGTGCTGGCGCCGCAGGGCTGGGATCACGATGCCAGCATTGTACGCGACCGCCAGGTTGCCGAACATGCCCGCGACCTGCGAGAACTTGATAGCAGGCGACGGCGGCGTGGGGTGGCCACGCATGCCGTACATGACAGCGGCAACACCGATGACATCGGCGATGAGCGTTCCTGCGCAGCCAGCAAACGCGGCCCCGGCGCCTTCCTTGAGCGTCAGGATGAGGCATACGGGCAAGCACATGAGCGCCATGAAGCAGATCCAGTAAGAAGTACTAAAAGCGTCCGGGAACAGGCCGTCCAGCAGTGTGCCACCAAGCACCAACAATACACATGGCCCCAGCAGACACGACGCCATCTGCGAGACAACTGCAAACCAGCGGCCCCACTTGCCCATGCACCACTCGCCCAGGTCGCTGTAGGTCTTGACGCTCTTAGGTGCCAGCAGCATCACGAGGCAGATAGCCACAGATGAATACACGTTGGCGAAGGCCATAAAGAGCAAGCCGATGACGCCTATCACGGGCCCTGCCCGCGCGAAGTTGCCAGGCATACCGAGCGTGCCAATGCCGTAGACGCATCAGAAGATATTGAGAGCAATCTTGAGATCCTCCGTGGTGAGGAACTTCCCGCCGTTAGCCATGGTTGGAGTTGCAGTCGTCGAAAGTCAAGGCAAAGTCAGGAGAAGGAGGCGCGCCTCACCTGGCGAAAGCGGAAATGAAAATGAATCGCGAGCAAGTCCGGTGCACCGAGGCCGCGGACTGAAAAGGGAGAGCCGAGATGGCCCTGTCGTGAGGCATCACTGAGTGCGAGCGGTCCAGCATTGAAAAGTATGCGGAGTACACTATGGGGGATGCGCTTTTGTGAATACGTTCATGGATCCCGGCCACCTGAATGAAAGTTCGATTCAGAACTCGCGAACGAATCGCACCCTGAGACCATACGCATGCATGTGTGCTCTTGCAAGGTCCTTAGTGGTTGTGCAGAAACAACGAAGGCGCTTACATTTCGGATAATCCACTTTCAGGACGCTTTCAAGTTGCTTGAGTACACTCCAACACCCGAGTTAATAACGCCGTGCGTGTGAAGCTGTTTAACACGTGATCGATCACTGAATCAGTGACTGATCGAAGATCCCTTTAGATTAGTCCTGGCTCACAACTTCATTCAAAATGACACATGGGTTTCGGAGAATCTAATTCGAGGACACTCGACGAAATTGAATAGGTCTCCGGTGGCAACCTATCTCCATCAACAACAATTCGTTATCAAGCAACAAATCCACTTCAAGGCAGAGCCAGCGGCGAGCTTGGCGGTATCTACATGATGTAGAGTCTACATTGTGAGCTACACGCAGCTGTACACGCAGCGCACGTGCACCGTGACGAGAATGAGCAAACGCACTAACTTAGCTCAGCAATAATCGTGACCACTTCTCGGATTTCCTCGAGTTCGTGGGCGCGTCGTGCATCACGCTTATCAGCACCCTGCCGCCCATTGTCTTCCTGCTGAAGAAGCTGTGGAACGAGATCCCGATCTGGGAGAAGGTGCCGGCGCCGATCGTGGTCATCATCTGCAGCTTCCTGGGCTGCTACGTGACGTACACGTCGGGCAAGGCCCTGTTCGCGCCGACGACCTCGGACACGTCGTTCCCCTACTGCGACAGCGAATACGAGAACGAGGTGTACTACAATTACACCGCCGTTCACGGCGCGTGAGCGATCGAGCAAGTAAGCCAGCGATAGCCCTGTTACTACAGAGCAGTGCGTGCATGCGTGCGTAGTTCCGCAGCATCCAAAATACACATTCTTTGTTGAGATCAGTGAAAGCCATGTCGTTGACGGAGCTGGCCGTTCACAGTTGATCAGAGCAGTTTTGGTCGGTGCGCAAAAGGCAAGTTGAAGGCCATACTGCTGGCAGCACTCAACGGGCGTCAGACACGGTACTGTTTGGCGACCTTCGCGCAACCTGTCGATCGTATGGGCGTATTTTTCCGTCGCGTGCATGTGACGGTGCGACGATCTTGGCGTGCATGCAGGCTTTGGTATCCGTGTGGAGAGACGGTACTTCAGCGTGTCCGCGTGGCCTAATGGATAAGGCATCGCCCTCCGAAGGCGGGGATTGGGGGTTCGAGTCCCCTCGAGGACGCTCTTTTCCGACAAAGCTTTTGGTCGCCCAGGCCCAACTTTCGGTCCGCTCGTGTGCCGAACACCACGCGGCCAAGGTGAAGTTGACGTGCTGCAGCGCATTGCGCACTTCGATGCTGACCTGCAAGCCGGCCGACCGCCTTCCCCCCGCTGCGTACCTTGTTCTCTTGCATGCACGCACGCATGCATGCGCGCACGCGAAACCGAAGAAAAGTGAGGAGCTGCCTCACCCAGATCAATCGCTGCCCAGCAAATAATAGACCAACCTCCACGCGACGCTGCCGTCTTCAATCGCATCGCTCCGCACTCGCTCGGACAGTCTCAGGAGGAAGAACAGAATATTTCGCTCGTGCAGCAGTGGCCTTGCGGTTGCGGGCCGACTTGCTGCTGTGCGTCATAGTCCCCACCCGCCCCGCAGACGCACACTGCCCGTGTGGAGCGCAAGCTGCGCGCTTTTGGCAGCGCCACCGCTCCGTTATACAATGCTCGGCGCCGCTCGATCCATGACTGCTTCTGTGTTCCTTGCCTTGCACGATGTCGGGGCCGCCATGATGGCCGGTCAGAACTGCACTAGCGGCTTGCTCTGACAACGGTAGCAACAACTGCACCGCCAAAATAGGGTTTAGCGTTAATTTGCCATACATTTTCATACCGGTAGTCGAAACAACACAGGCAATAATGACCGACTCGGGCGAAAAAGAGCCCCCGTCGTCGCCGTCGCAGCCACGACGCTCCTCTCGTCGCCTCGATAAGCGCACCCCGCCTTCTCTGCGCGTGCTAGTGCGCCTCTTCTCAGCGCTGGAGTTCGGGCTCGGCGCCTTGACGCTGTACCAGCACACGCCCGACTTCGCGGCCGTCAAGCGCGCCGTCGAGAGCTCGTGCCAGCTCAGCTTCACGCCTGCGCACCTGCAGCAGATCCTGCACCTGCTGCCGGGCGCATACACTCTCGAATGGAAGAAGAACACGCGCACGGCGCGCCGCCAAGCGCAGGAAGAGGGAGGCGACTCGCTTCAGGCCCAGCGCCAACGGCTCAAGCAGCAGCCGCCAGTGCTTACTCTGCGCAAGCAGCAGCTGCCACCGCCTGACAGCGACTGCGAGAGCCTCGAGGCTCGCATCACTCTATTCTTCAGTAAGGCTAATACCTACTTGGAGGCGCACGTGGAGACGATCAAGAAGGAGTTCCCCGACATGACGGACGACGAGTTGAAGGAGGCTCTGAAGCTCATTGAGATCGAGAAGGCCCCGCTGCCCAAGGTGCCAGCGGAGATTGCGAACGATGAGAGCCATGTCGTGTTGCTCGAGAAGAAGGAGAGCAACGAGCAGAAGGGCGACGCAGCAGGTGCCAAGGACAAGGAGAAGCTGGAGGAGGCGCTCGCGAAGCCCGTGCCGAAGGACCTCAAGACGCTACCGGAATGGCTCATCAACAAAGTTCGCAAGCAGGAGCTTGGCCGCAAGGACGTAGCAGAGAATAGTGCCAAGGCGTTGAAGAAGCGTCTGCTGTCGACGCTTCCGCAGCTCAGCGATCAGCTGCAGTCGCTCGTCATGGTCACGCGGAAATCCATTTTCCCCAAGTCCGAAGTGCTACGCAGACTCGCAGCTCGGGCTCCGATCAAGGGCAAAATCGAGGAGCAGCTGTATATGCTCGAGTCGCTGGTGCCGGAGTGGCTCACGGTGGTGATTGACGACGGCAAAGAGTATATCAAGCTGTCGACCGGGTGCAAGTACAACAGCATCAAGGCATCGCTGCGTCGGGCCATTTCCGTCGCGGCATAACCTCTTCGTTTTCTGACAAACTTTAACGCAAAGAAATACAAGCACATTTTTTTTACTGAATGAACTGAAACAATAGTATGGTATGCATAGCATTAGACCAAGGCCCTCATGATACCCCGGAGCATGGCGAATGCCCCACGGCAAAATTACCGCTCCAAACTTTTGCGTTAAAAGCGATGCCGACAACCGAGTGTGAGCTCAAAACTGATGTCGAAGCTGCCCCGACAGATCGAACCGGTTGACATGATCAAAGGTCGTGGACTTACTTGTCTGAGTCGCTGATAGCATGGCATTCCTTCGCTGTCGAAAGCTTTTATAATCATCGTCTTCATTCTTTTTGGCTGCTTTCTCCCGAATGTATCATTATCATTCCACAGCGTGAGACTGCGCCGAACGTATCTCGCGCGGCGGTTGTAAATCGCAGCGAAGAGTATGGAGAGCACGACTTGTGCCTATGCGCACCTTGTGATCAAGGCCCCTTTGCTGAAGACACTTCACCTGGAACCCGACATTGATGAGCTCTTGCTGGGCGGGCTTCTGCGGTTCTTCAATGCCGAACAACACCACTTGCCAATGACAAGTTGTCATTAGCGGAACTTCCGTTTCCCGTCGGGCCTGCTTGTCGAAACCTCCACACTTGCGTCGTCCACTGCTAGCCCACGCTGCAGACTGCCTTTTTAACAGTCCAGAAGCGCATGCTGCCAACGCCAAAGCCCAAAAGAGCTCCACTCTTCCAGATCTCGTTTTTGCCTCCATCATCACGCGCTGATCTAAATAGTGGATCCTTGACACACTTGATAAATGAGACCCCCAACGCGCGGATGCAGCATCAGAGACTCAAGAGTGCGCACAGCATTGAGTCCAACAAAGCCACAGTAGCTTAGCCCGTCACTGGCCAGCAGTCCCAGTTTATTCCGCGATCCTTCTTGCTTTCATCACTGGCGCCCGTGGTCAAGTATGTGACGCTGCGCATGGTGAAGTTCGTTTCAAGGTTCAATGGCGCCATTGCCGTGTCCTTCGAGCATCAACTTAGACATGCCAGCACGGGATCGCGAGCCACGGCAGGCCTCGCCAGCAGCTGCAGACCAGGACGCCAAGCAGCGTTGTTATCAGACTCGAGGCGTTTGATTGGTCGACCCAGCGGCTGTTATCCAGTTTCGCAGGGGACGGGGACAGCAGCCACATCAATCCCGGCGCACACATCTTGGCACCGAAGGTGAACCCATACTTCGCCAGCGAGACCTCTTGGTTTCTGTATGTGGTGGATCGATCGAGGTTTTTGCCGAAAAACCTCGCCCCGCGATTTGACTTGGATTCAGTATGTGCGCAGACTGGTGGAGGACGTGAGTTTCGCGACTCCCATTCGCTGCCCCGCGCCCGATAGTCGGTAAAGTTCCCTTCGCGCACGCAACTTAGACAAGATGGTACGTTGATATACATGTCTGCAGAGCCGCGGCCGGCGCCGCGCCCCACCGAACGCGATCCCACGACCCTCGACCTCCTCCCCTGCTTCTTTCCGCGCCCAACGGCAGCCTCCGAGAGGATAAATGAGCCCGGACGCGCACCAAACTGAGTAAAATGAAGCCAAGTTGCGATCTATCACTGCAGCGACCGCCGTAGCAACAGGACGGACCTAGGAACTTTTATACAGGCGGGGCAGAGCAGGGAGAAGACCATTTAAGGGACTGAAGGAACAGGGGGCGGCGCCGGACCGCACTAATAGGCTTTTTCACAGGACGCAGAGCCAGCTTAACTGACAGGACTTGATGCACACTTTCAGGCCCAGAACGTCCCGGAATTCAAGCTCATCCTCGTGGGTGACGGTGGTGTCGGCAAGACCACCTTCGTGAAGCGCCACCTGACGGGCGAGTTCGAGAAGAAGTACGTGGCCACGCTCGGCGTGGAGGTGCACCCGCTGACCTTCCACACCAACTTCGGCCCCATCCGCTTCAACTGCTGGGACACGGCCGGCCAGGAGAAGTTCGGCGGCCTGCGCGACGGCTACTACATCCAGGGCCAGTGCGCTATCATCATGTTCGACGTGACGTCGCGTATCACCTACAAGAACGTCCCCAACTGGCACAGAGACCTGTTCCGCGTTTGCGAGAACATCCCCATCGTGCTGTGCGGTAACAAGGTCGAGGTGAAGGACCGTAAGGTTAAGGCCAAGCAGATCACGTTCCACCGCAAGAAAAACCTGCAGTACTTCGACATCTCGGCCAAGTCCAACTACCAGTTCGAGAAGCCGTTCCTGTGGCTGGCCCGCAAGCTTGTTGGGTACGTGTTTATTATTGGAACCTTTGGCATGCGTATGACCCGATCTTGTTTATTGACATTGTTTTGTGTTTTCGTTACTTGCAGTGACAACAACCTGACCTTCGTCGAGGCCCCCGCTCTTCGCCCGCCTGAGGTTACCATCACCCAGGAACAGATTGCCCAGATTGAGGCGGACGCTAGCTCTGCTGCCGCCGCTGTGCCCCTTCCGGATGAGGACGAGGACCTGTAAGCTGGAAATGGTGTGCTGTCCTATCACGCCTCGACCTGCACTTTTCGCTTAGAACTCAAGGAGGAGAAACGAAGAAGGTCGACGCAGACGGAGTTGCTGCGATGTTGAAGCTGAGCTTGATCGCGCGCGTCCCTGCTGCATCGGCCGACTGGTTTGCTGCCGCTGAGGTGATGGAACGCTGAGTTCCTTTGAAACGATTGACAACCAGGAGACGAAGAAGAGGAAATAGTCGCGGTTGAATGCATGTTGCTCTATTTTTGATTGCTTTACGACTAGCCCAGCTCACAATCCGATTTCGTTACAGAGTAGCGGCAATAAGAAAGGGTCAACAACTTATAATTCTGACAACACATAAATATTGAATTACACAGGGCCTCTATTTAGGTACTGAGTTTGTCAAAGTGATGTGGCACACACACAGCAGTCAAGGTTCCCGCGCATTTTTCAAACTCCAAGGACGGAGCCGGCCCGATGGACGATGGACTTCGACGCTACAGGCTCGTCGTACTCGTCTTCCTGAGGCGCGCGACCTTCAAATACACTGGCTGCGACTCACTACGACGCCCTACTTGTCCATGGCCACCGCACATTACTGTAGCTACGTCTCGGCGGTGTGCTTGCTGAGCTTGTGCAAACCCAACATATGCACGTAGGACAACACCTCCGCATCAACCTGCAGGCGCTCATGGTCTTCCTTAGCGGCAGTTTTCGGGGCAATGTGGGCGAGAAAGTAAGTGTGACGGGAGCACTGGGGCGCTGAAGCAGAACGGTCGTTGATGCACACGCAGTGGTTGAGCCACTGCGTGTACACGGAGCCACTGTAAATAATAACGTACCTAACGTGTTTCATTTATTTCGTTAAGTCAATACGTTTAACGCAAGATTTGATTTGACTTGATTATTGTAAATACCTTCAGTACTTTAATCGTTGAACCCCTTCTTATTGCCGCTACTCTCTGTAGTTAGATAAACCTTGCAAGATCACCTTGCTTGCCTGTCTGTCAGAGTGTGCTAGGTCTTGTTGAAGTAAAGGATTGCCAAATGTTGTAGTCAAGCATCAAGCACGGCATGCAGATAGCTTTCCGGCGTATTGTGACAAGAAACATTTGACCTATGATTCGATACGCGATAAGAGGCATTCGTGCTATACATTAGCTGTATAGAAGTGGATCGGCGACGTATAACGATTCGCAGGTAATATAGAGACTTTTGCTAAGGTCGCAAGAAATACTGGAGAGCCTAGCTCAACTGTCAAACAGTTATTTTCTCGAGGCGCGCGATGGCCGGCGAATGCTCGCTGCACTTGCGGCCTCTACACGACGACGGCAATAGCGAGGACTCGGGTGCATACGTGCACTGCGTCTCTCCAGGCGACGCGGAGCGTCTACCGACTGACGCGTCATGCAACGAGCGAGACGGAGAAGAAAGCAGCGCTGCTGAGCTCAAGCTGGTGCGATTCGCGCCAGGAAGCACAGATGAAGTTGTAGTCGATGTTGGCGACGAACAGAGCAGAACCGACCTTGGCCACGACAGACTCGGCAGCATTCTTCACGCGCCAGACATCCAGTGGACACTGAAGACGCGCGCGTTTCGCACGTGTCTTGTGTTGGCCATGCCCTGGGCTGCCTACGCAATTCTTGGTACGCCTAAGGAGCTAGAACTTTTGCAGTTGATGCTGTTGGGTGCTGACTATTGCTTACTACAGACACAGTCTTCACGAATACGCGGATGTCGTACTTGGAGTCCATGGGCATCTCTGACTTTGTGCCGCGATTTGTGCCGAGTCTCATCCAGTTTTTCCTTGGACCAATCCTTGGCGCCATGTCGGATCGCTCTCTGTCGAAGTATGGAAGACGCAATGCCTTTTTGATGGCGGCTGCAGTCATCGTCACTGTGACAGGGTTGCTGTATGGGTCAGCCAATGTGTTGTTCCCCAATTTCCAAGACTTGACGAAACTGCTTCTTGTGCTGCTCACCGTTGGTGTGCTGCTATTGAATGTAGGTCTCGGGAATGATGCATACTTACGCTGTTGGAGGTTTCCACTAACTATTGATTCTATTTGCTTCTAGATCGGATTGCGAGCTCGCATTATGGATATGGTGCCGATCGAGTTTCAGGTTCATGCCCAAGCCACGCTCGCGATGTATGAAGGCGTGGGTGCTCTGCTCGGGTCGCTTCTGTTTAGGAGCACGTCCGACGCAGTGGTCTTTGCGAGTGCTATCAGCGGCAAGGAGATATTGAAAGCCTTTGGATTCGCCATGGCCGCCATCTTCATTACCACTACAGTGTGTATTTACTTGCGGCCAGAGCATCCTCAGGACAAACCCATATTTCAACCTCGGCTCACCCGCGTCGGCCGTGAAGCGTGGCAGCAAGTTGTGCACGCGCCGAAAGTCTTTCGGTTTTTATGCGTCGTGTACTTTGTGCTGTCTTTCGCTTGGTTAAGTTTTTCGGATGGAGTTTACCAATGGTGGGGCGCGAACGTATACGGAGGCTGCAAAGCTGCAGGTACTGTACGACAGCTTTTGCTCTCTTTCAGTGTGCACAAGAAATATGACGGGGTGTTTATGATATTGTGCAATGTAGACTGCGACGATAACAGCCAAATTGCTTACAAGAGAGGACTCAACACAGCGAACACAGCGCTTATCTCTCAGAATGGCCTCATGGCGGTGATTTGCTTCATTGTGCTACTGATCATGCCACGAGTTCCCGATGCAAGCTACCTCAAACGCTTCACCGTGCTAGGACTCGCGATCGGAAGTACGTCCTACCGCATCTCGACAACATTTTTCAGGCGGGCATGCGTCACTAACTAGTATTTGTGTCTCCTGCTTGCTTTCGTAATGCAGCCTGCGCGCTCGTGGTTGCAGTTTCAGTGGGGAGCTTCTCCAAGGAGGTGGCGTTTGCCAGCTTCGTCATTACAGCCTTTTACCAAACGGTTGCGAACATCTTTCCCTTTTCGATCGTTGGAATCATGGGCAAGGAGCTGCAGACTTCGGTTCATGGATTCAACAACAACGGACTCTACGTCGGAGTGCTCATGCTGTTCGAAGCAGCGTCAGACTTGACCGTACAAGTCTATGGTACCGAGAGCTTGTCGCCGCTGGGCGCGGGAAATGTGCTCACACTCCCGTGCATCCTGTTCGGGGTCGGAATTGCGTGTACGGCCAGCTTCGTGGCAATGCTTGATCGTCGTTGACGCACCTACATGTACACCTTTAGGAACATAGTATCGAGTACTCGTAGGCAAGGTAATTCTTATCTCTATCTATATGGCGGATCTCTTTTTTAGAGACCAGCTCATCTGTCTGCTGAGTGTCCACCTACTTCCCCACCGTCCTGATCAAAGAACGGCAGCTCGTCCTCGATGCAGGCGCGAGAACGCCACCACAGACGCAGCGACACTGAAAATGGAGACCGCTAGGCCACGCCCGGAGCTGCCGCATGAGCTGGCGGTGGCCCACGACGATCGGCACAGCTACATGCAGCGCATGCACTCGCTGGCAGGACCCGGTGCGTACAGCATCCCGTCGACCTTCGAGCGGCCGACGCCCAACCTGCTGCTGCGCGTGGTGCAACGCGAGCAATACGGCCGCGAGTTCTCCAGGTGCGCTATCTGCACCCACCTCCGAGGTGCGCCTGCATCAGCGGTGCTAACGGCGACCGCATGCTTTTGCAGACAGAAGCGTCTCTCGACAGCAGGTTCCCCTGCGGCGGTGGAGTCTACGGCCGAGTACGTGGCCGCAGTCCAAGCGGACCTGCATAAACGCCGCTCCGAGGTCTCCGTTTGCTGGATGCACTAACCGTGATTGGTCCCGCGCCCAAATAGGCCTCCGTGCCAGCTCTGCCTCGTCACTGCGGCCGACACGCATCGAGCGCGCAGGGACGAGCTGCGCAGGCTGCTGCTACTCGCACCGGTACGATGCATCGGACCATTATTGCGTTCGCACCGGACTGCTTCTCACTCACACTTGGTATTGGCGTCTTGCGTCTCTGGGTTTGCTTCTGTTGCAGGTCAACCGCTGGTGCGAAGACGCGTCGTCTTCGTCGTCGGAGCAGCAGCTCGCCGCGGCGGACGGCAAGCAGCGAAGCTGCAGCCCGAGAGCCTCGCCGAGACCGCGCACCGAGTCCCCGTCGCGGCGGAAATGGGTTTCCGACGAGCTTGCCGACATCGTGGCGGACTTCGGCGAGCAGCCCGCAGACGAACAGGACGAAGAAGAAGAGAACGGTGCCGCCGCCCTCGCAGCTCGCATGCAGCAACAGGTAAGCAAGCGGAGCGGAGGAGGCGGTGTTCAGCGCGAAGAGGAGGGGTCTTGTCTTGTATACACGTCGGAACTGACGCCGCGGGGATGCGCCGTGTGCTTCCATTTGACGCAAGCAGCTCGGGTCCTTCCGCGCGCCGTTGACGTACCAGCACTTCCTCATGAGCACGAGCTACCTGGAGCGGCTCCGCAGGCAGCAGCAGCGCCGGCAGCAACAGCTAAGGCAGCAGGAACACCACTAGCAGCTCGGCCATCGCCACGTGTGCAGGCAACTTGCAGGCAATCTGAAGGATTGGATGAGGAGCAGCGCTGCTGCTGCAAACGGCAAGTTGAAGCTGGGCGTCCAGCAATGCTGGCGTGTTGTACGGCTTTTTGCGTCATGGGCCTGATTTCGCCGGTGCGCGGCCGCGTCACAGGCACGGCAACTCAACTGTGCTGGGGAGATCATGCTACGTACCCGCCATTTGGTCCAGTTTGGCTACGTATGGCAAAAGTGGACCACACGATGGACTAAAATTGTAAATATCAATAAATCAGTAGATGCGGTAAATAAGCCCAGGTAATGCAGCAAATCGAGAGATAATTCTACTGCGTTAGGGTACAAACGTACTGAGGCTGACGCGCCGGCGTCACTTCATGACGTCATTCGTGCCCCTTCGCCCGCCAATGGGTCCCTTCAGCTTTGCCCATCCCCCCCGATCCAACGCATCACTTACAAAACCCAAGTCAATTCTGAACCGCTGACGCGGCGCCCCAAGCAGCGGGCACGGACCATTTCGGACTATTTTGCCGGGCCCGGACTATTTTGCCGAGGCGATCCGCATCCGGCCCAGCAGAGGGCATTTGCGATTTTGCGGCGTCCCAGTCACCGGCCCCTCTTCCTCGAGAGCTCTCGACCCCCGCGCACACAGAACCATGTCGGCCAAGGCGATCCGCGAGTTCGACGGCAAGCGCATCCTGTCCACGAGCCTGCCGGCCTTCAACCTCAACAAGCGCTTCGCGCAGGTGGCCGTGAGCAAGAGCTTCGCCGGCCAGAGCCGCGAGGAGTTCTTCGGCGCCATCGAGGCCGCCAGCCCGTGGCTCACATCGCTGGGCGAGACCAAGCTCGTGGTCAAGCCCGACCAGCTCATCAAGCGCCGCGGCAAGGCTAACCTGCTGCTGCTCAACGCCTCGTGGGCCGAGGTGCAGGACTGGGTCTGGGAGCGCATCAACAAGCCCATCCAGGTGGAGACCGTCACGGGCGTGCTCACGCATTTCATCGTCGAGCCCTTCGTCAAGCACTCGGCCGCCGACGAGCACTACGTGTGCATCGTGTCCAACCGCGACGGCGAGGAGATCCTCTTCCACCACGAGGGCGGCGTGGACGTCGGCGATGTCGACGCCAAGGCCAAGCGCCTGCAGGTCGGCATCGAGTCCGTGGCCTCCGAGGAGGAGGTCACCGCCGCGCTGCTCTCCTCGGTCGAGGAGGCGCGCAAGCCCATCCTGGCCAAGTTCCTCGTGGGCATGCTGACCAAGTTCCGCGAGCTGCACTTCGTGTACATGGAGATCAACCCCATCGTGCTCGTGGGCGACGAGATCTCCGTGCTCGACATGGCCGCCAAGCTCGACGAGACCGCCAACTTCCTCGTGGGCGACCGCTGGGGCGAGATCGAGTTCCCCCCGGCCTTCGGCCGCGCCAAGTTCCCCGAGGAGGAGTTCATCCAGGACCTCGACTCCAAGACGGGCGCCTCGCTCAAGCTCACGATCCTCAACCACACCGGCCGCATCTGGACCATGGTTGCCGGCGGCGGCGCCTCGGTCGTGTACGCTGACACGATCGCCGACCTGGGCTACGGCCACGAGCTGGCCAACTACGGCGAGTACTCGGGCGCGCCCAGCGAGACCCACACCTACCACTACGCCAAGACCATCCTGGACCTCATGACGCGCAACTTCGACGAGCGCGGAAAGGTGCTGATCATCGGCGGTGGTATTGCCAACTTCACGGACGTCGCGCTGACGTTCAAGGGCATCATCCGTGCCATCAAGGAGTACCAGCAGAAGCTCAAGGACAACAAGGTGCACATCTGGGTGCGTCGTGGTGGCCCCAACTACCAGGAGGGATTGGCTCTCTTGCGCGACGTGGGTGAGGCTACGGGCGTGCCCATTGAGGTCTTCGGCCCGGAGACGCACATCACGGCTGTCGTCCCCATGGCCCTCGGCCTCGTGGAGAAGCCCTCGGCGGAGTCGGTCCAGGCCGCTGCTGCCAAGGCCATCAGCGCCACCAAGCCGAGCAAGCAGACCTCGGAGGCCAACAGTGCTGTCAACAGCGACAACGAGGATGGCGAGAGCGCCGATGAGTCGGAGAGCAAGGCCGCTGCCAAGAAGCAGGCGCCGGTGGTGATCCAGGACGAGGGCATCGTGCGCATGACCGACAACACCCGCTGCATCGTCTACGGCCTGCAGCAACGCGCCGTGCAGGGCATGCTCGACTTCGACTACCTTTGCAAGCGCAAGACCCCCAGCGTGGCGGCTCTGATCTTCCCGTTCTCGCCCAACCACTACCTCAAGTTCTACTGGGGCACCTCGGAGCGCCTGATCCCCGTGTTCCAGAAGCTGTCGGATGCCGTCAAGAAGTACCCGGACGTGAGCGTGCTGATCAACTTCTCGTCGTTCCGCTCCGTGTACCAGTCGACGATGGAGGGCTTCGAGCACAGCGACACTATCAAGACGCACGCCATCATTGCCGAGGGTGTGCCTGAGCAGCAGTCGCGCCTCATCTCGAAGAAGGCTCGCGAGCTGAACGTGGGCATCATTGGCCCCGCCACGGTCGGTGGCATCAAGCCCGGCTGCCTGCGTATCGGTAACACCGGTGGCATGCTGGACAACATCGTGCAGTCGAAGCTGTACCGCCCCGGCAGCGTGGCGTACGTGTCCAAGTCGGGCGGTATGTCCAACGAGCTGAACAACATTGTGTCCCAGACGACGGACGGCGTGTACGAGGGTGTGGCCATCGGTGGCGACAAGTACCCGGGCTCCACGTTCATCCAGCACCTGCTGCGTTACGAGGCGAACCCGGAGGTCAAGATGATGGTGCTTCTCGGCGAGGTCGGCGGCACTGACGAGTTCGCTGTCTGCCGCGCCATCCAGTCGGGCGCCATCAAGAAGCCGCTGGTTGCCTGGTGCATTGGTACGTGCGCCAAGATCTTCCCCTTCGAGGTGCAGTTCGGCCACGCCGGTGCTTGCGCTACGGGCGAGTCCGAGACCGCCTCGGCCAAGAACGCTGCTCTGGCTGCTGCCGGTGCCATCGTCCCGGAGAACTTCGACCAGTTCGGCAACGCTATCCGCAAGCAGTTCGACTCGATGGTCGCGTCGGGTGCGATTGTGCCGCACCCGGAGGTGCCGGTGCCCAAGGTGCCCATGGACTACGCCTGGGCCAAGAACCTCGGCCTCATCCGTAAGCCGGCCAACTTCATCTCGTCCATCTCGGACGACCGTGGTGAGGAGCTGCGTTACGCTGGCACCCCCATCTCGAAGGTGTTCGAGCAGGACATGGGCGTCGGCGGCGTCATCGGTCTGCTGTGGTTCAAGCGCAACCTGCCGGCCTACGCCTCCAAGTTCATCGAGATGGTGCTCATGGTCACCGCCGACCACGGTCCGGCCGTGTCGGGTGCCCACAACACGATCGTTACCGCCCGTGCCGGCAAGGACCTGATCTCGTCGCTGATCTCGGGTCTCGTGACGATTGGACCCCGTTTCGGTGGTGCTCTGGACAAGGCCGCCGAGATGTTCGCGAGCGCGCACGACTCGGGCCTGTCGGCCGCTGACTTCGTGGTGGACATGCGCCGCCAGAACAAGCTCATCATGGGTATTGGCCACCGCATCAAGTCGCTGTCGAACCCGGACAAGCGTGTGACCATCATCAAGGAGTTCGCCAAGGCCAACTTCCCGTCCACGGACGTGCTGGACTTCGCCCTGGAGGTGGAGCAGGTGACCACGAAGAAGCGCAGCAACCTGATCCTGAACGTGGACGGCTGCATTGCTGTCTGCTTCGTCGACCTGCTGCGCAACTGCGGTGTCTTCACGCTGGAGGAGGCCAACGAGCAGATCGAGCACGGCTGCCTCAACGGTCTGTTCGTGCTCGGCCGCAGCATTGGTTTCATCGGCCACTTCCTCGACCAGAAGCGCCTCAAGCAGCCGCTGTACCGCCACCCGTGGGATGACATCTCGTACCTGAACGAGGACTTCTAGATGGACGGCCGGGCATTGCAATGCGCAGCAAGCAGTACATTCCGCGCAGCAAGTAGTAGATGCTAAGTAGTAACTTCTGAATGTTTTCTTCATAACTATCCGCTCTTCTCCTTTCGCCTTCCGTCTCTCCTCTTCATGCGCTAGCAGCAACAGTAGCCGTAGCAACGGCAGGGCTGCTCTCCTCGGACGAGTGTAGCCGCTGAATGGCCTTCCTGATGCGCAACCGGTGTGCAAACTTGGCGATGCCGACCTCGCTCATGGCATTATCCACGTCGTCGTCGCTCTCTAGCTGCGCCAGGTCCTCTAACGTCAGGAATCCATGCTCCTCTAATTGCTTGGCGTACACGCAGTATTCCTCCGGCCGAGAGGTGTCGATCCCCGCGAGCCACTCTCGCAGGAGGCCGCCGTCGCAGCTCCCGTCGTCGTCTTGAAGGTCCAGCAGCACGCTCTCGCCCCCCGTCTTCTCTGGAGAGATGGCACCAGCCTTCTCACTTGCACCGTGGGCGAGTAGCTCGTCCACGCTGAGTCGTCTCACGGTCTCTACGTCGAGCGTCTCGCTGCTCTTGAAGTGCTTCCTCGTGGTTTTAGTCGACTCGAGGATCTGATCCAGCGCCTTCTCTGTGTCGGACGCCAGCGTCGTGAACGCTTCCTGCTCCTTCTCGGGACTCGCCCTCTTCCAGTGTGGGGCTGGGTTGCTTTTGGCTCGCGCGCGCTCCGCTCGCTCTTGCATCTTGCGCTGCTTCCAGCGCGACGGCCGCGGCGCCTGGTCGTTCGCCATCGCCGGCCCCCACCTCATGACGGGATTCGCCATCGCGCCGCCCTCCATCACGCGGCGACGCAGCTCCATCATGGCGGCCTCGGAAAAGCGCTCGTCTTCTGTCAGCAGGGCCTCCTTCTGCTCTTCATTGAACTGCGGGCGGCGCTGGCGCAGGCGGCTGAAGCACGTGGTGAAGGCCGCCGCCACGTTGGAAACGGCCTCGCTCGCCACCTCGCGCGGGCTCAGCACGAACGGCAGACTCAGCGCCACCACCGTCTTAACCACGGCGCGCGCGCAGCCCGTGGGCGCGTCGCTGGTCGCGTCCATCGTGGCGAAGCGGGCGTCCATCGCTGCTGCTGCTGCTGCTGCTGTGTCACGAAGTGACTGAGTGAGTCGCGCCGGTTCAAGATCCAAGATCCAAGATTCTATGGAAGGTGGATACTTATGTAAAATGGCTACATTGTACCCATGACTCAAATTATAGACCAGGTGAAATTGGTGCATACTCAATTGATCTATTTTTGCTCCCGCGAATGACTGGCGCAAACGCGCCTCAAAACCAATTCCTCCGCATATTCGTCTCCGACCCGTGATCCGCAGACCAAGTCACCATGCACCTCATGTACTACCTCGGCGAGGACGGCAAGCGCGTCTACACGCTCAAGGTGCGCCGCTGTCTATAACGTCTTCCGCACTGCTTGTGCGCTAACGTTGTACTATTGGTTTGTACTCTGCCGTGCAGAAGGAGACCCCGGCCGGCGCCCCCACGTGCTCGGCGCACCCGGCGCGCTTCTCGCCCGACGACAAGTTCTCCAAGGAGCGCATCACCACCAAGAAGCGCTTCGGCCTGCTGCCCACGCAGTCGCCCGACCCGATCTTCCAGTAAGAGCTGCCGACGACCATGTTGTGGGGTGGCGACGCCCTCGAAGAGGAGGGAGGTATGCCCCTGCCTTCCCCTTTGAAGCGCGACCACTTGCAGTGCTGTAGATTTATAGACCTAACGTAATAACACCCAGTGACCTCAACGATGGACGTCTGCAGCTTCGGTGCGTGCAGGGACTGTAACCCCTTCTACCCTTATACTGTATCAACATAAGCAGGTTCTCGACTCCAATAATCAGAGACACAATAGTCCGGCAACGATGGAGTTGATGTCGAGCAGCGAGGATGAAGGCGACTCGCCCACGTCGCTGTCCACGGCGTCTCCATCGCGCCCGAAGCCTCCGCCAGCGGCCGGCAGCCAAGACAGCCTCGAGGACGAGCTGCTGAGCCCCACAACGCGCACCAAAGTCAGCAGCAGCAGCGCAGAGCGGAGGAAGGTCCGGGACCAACCTGTCGGCCACAAGCCCGTGATCTCTGCGCGCGAGCTGCTGCTGAACTTCCTGCCGGCTTCGAAGCGCAAGCAGCAGGCCGCGTCACCCGCTAAAAGCGCCAAAGTCGCGGCCGTGGACGCCGCAGTGGCTGCGTACTCGCTGGTCACGCCCAAGAAGGCTGCTCCTGCTGCACCCAGAGCGGAGCAGAAGGAGGAGCGGGAGCTCACAGCCAGCGAGCGCATTGCAAGGAAGTACGGGCTGGCCGCAGCCAAGACGGCGTCCAAGGACGCGCCCACACGTGACCGCAGTGCGTCGTCCAGCTCGACAGCTTCCCGTCCGACGGCTGCAAGTCGCTCCATTGGGTCTGGTGGCGGTGCAACGCCGAGGAAAGAGGCCGCAGCGTCGCCCGTGCAGCAGCCAGTGGAGAAGTCGAAGAAGAGGTCCTTCTGGGACGCCCAGACTGCTGGCGTGGACTCCGAGCAGCCAGCGCAGAAGCCGACCTACGTTTCGCCGTTCAGCGACCCGAATGGGTTCATGAACATGAAGAAGCGGAGGCAACGGAGGCAGCAACCGACCGAGGAAATGAGCGAGGAAGAGATGAAATCGGCCCGTGACGCTTTCTACGACGACTCGAAGAGCAAGGCGCAGGATGTCGGACCACGTCCGCGACACATTATCGGTTCGGCCATCCCCGAGCTCGACGACGCAGACGACTGGATGTCGGATTCGAAGGAAATGGTGTCGGACGATGAAGAAGTTGCGAGAAAAGTGGTCGCAGCGGTGGATACAGAGACGCTGCCTTCTCCTCGTCGGGCTGGCGTGACATTGAGTCGGCAGACAACTCGAGAGAAACGAGCGCCTTCCAAGCGACCAACGCGGAAGCGACTACCAAAGGAGGAAAGCGATTCAAGCGAGGACGAGAAAGAGGCCTACACGAGCGAGCGATGGCCGCAGCTTGATCCTCCGACGGTGCGATCTCCTCATTTTTACCTTTCGTGCACCACGACGTTGAGTAACGTTTTGCTATCTGTTTGGTCAGGTTGACGCTGGTCCCATGATTCTGTCAGGTTCAGAGGAAGCAGGAGGTAAACCTCTTGAAGTGTGTGCGAACCTAAACAGCTATTTGTTCGACTATCAGCGTGAAGGAGTGGAGTTTCTCTACAGCGCCTATCAGCGCGACACTGGCGCAATTCTGGGTGACGACATGGGTCTGGGCAAGACCATTCAGGTTATCGCGTTCCTGTCGGCCGTTTTGGGCAAGCACGGTGATTACCGCGATAAAGACGCATGGAAGGCGTTGCTGCACCAGCGCCGGGAACGGTATAGCAACACCAGTGGTGGCCATCCTGAAGATACCGGCTTCAGCTTTGCTGGAGAGGTTGCACCGATATTTATTGTGATGCCAGCATCCCTGCTTCAAAATTGGGAGCACGAACTACACACGTGGATGAGCTGCAGCACTATCATTCTGCGAGGGAAGCCCAGCGACCGTAACGCAATGATTGACCAGATTGCAAGGTTTGGTTGAAATTCTCTACAGATGTGGCTTGCTGCAAGGTTGGAGCTCACACTGAAGTGTTTCGTGTTTTGTGTTGTGCAGGGGCGAATACGAGATCGTCATTTGCAGCTACGATATTTTGAAGATGTATCTGGCCCGGCTGCATAAAATCCCGTGGGAAATGGTGATTTTAGACGAGATGCACTGCTTGAAAAACCCTGAGGCACAGCTGACTAAAGCTGTCAAAGCAATCAAGTGTAAACGGAAGCTTGGACTCACCGGCACACTGATGCAGAACAACGAGAAAGAGCTGCATTGCTTGGTAGATACAATAGCTCCGGGGGCGATTGGGTCCTGGGCGGAGTTCAGGATGTACTATGGAGATGATATCAAGTACGGAAGAAAGAAGTCTGCTGCCCCTGAAGCCGTCAAGCGGAGTCACCAGAAAGAAAAGGAACTCCGCAAAAAGCTGCGGCCATATTACTTCCGCCGAGAGAAGGAGATCAATCCAACATTCCAAGAGGTTAAAAAGAGTGACCAAGTGGTGTTCTGCGACCTCACCCCACTTCAAATGGCTGCATACGAGCGAGTGCTAGCCATGCCTGAGTTTGAGCTGCTTCGGCGAGGAGAGGAACAGTGCGATTGTCGTCGTGATAGTAAGGAGAAGCGAAAGAAATGCTGCTACAAGACTCCCATGGACTTAGGTGATGCTCCTGGGTTGCTATACGAACGCTTTCACGAGGATGGAGCGTGCAAGAACTGCCCAAATTGCATGGGTCTTCCGTGTGTTGCCATGCTGTTGAAGCTATCTAATCACTTGGAGCTGCTCAAGGTGAATCCGCACGACGCACCGGAGCTTCAGCATTATCAAGCTGAGTTTGCAAGAACAGCATTTGGAAGCGACCTTGACGTTGTTGGAGGTGTGAACCAGGTGTCAAGTTTTCAGGAAATGTGCGCGATTTCTACAAAAACTTGCGGGAAAATGATCGTACTGGAAAAACTGTTGGCGGTATGGAAGAAGCGTAAGGAGAGGACGCTGATTTTCAGTCGAAGCACTCGAATGCTGGACATCATCCAGCTCTTTTTGATCACGAAGGCAACCAGGTACAGCAGGCTGGATGGAAACACCAAGGTGGAGGAGCGTCTGCAGATGGTGAACGATTTTAACAACCCTGGCAGCAATACGACCGTGTTCCTGATCAGTACGAGAGCTGGCGGTGTGGGACTTAATCTACAGAGTGCCACAAATGTCGTGATTTTTGACCCTAGCTGGAACCCATCCCACGACTGCCAGGCCCAGGATCGGGCGTACCGTATCGGGCAAACGAAGGATGTACAAGTCTACAGACTAATTACCTTGGGAACAATCGAAGAGATGATCTACGTCCGGCAGATTTACAAGCAGCAGCTCAGCGACACGACTTTGAAGGGCGCCAATGCACCGCGATACTTCGAGGGCGTTCAGGGCAACCCTCAGCAGCGTGGAGAGCTCTTTGGTATTGCGAACCTGATCTGCTGGAAGCCTGGTGGTGTACTCAAAGGTATTCAAGATGCGTACCAGCGTAGCCGCGACGGCTTGATAATTCAGCAGAACAGAGTCCGATACGATGGTACTGCGATGAGAAAACCCACGAAGAAGTCGACCCCGAAGAAGCAACCCAACGTTGTGGATGATGACGAAGGGGAGATGATCGAAGTGGCGGACGAGTTGGTTTCCGATATGCTCTCGGCCGATGAGCCGCCTACACAACCCACTCCCGAAGGAAAACCTGCTGCTGTAAGCAGTGACAGCGGTGATGATGATGACATGGACGCGTTACTGAATGGAGCCACGACATTTCGCCACGAAGAGATCGTCGGTGAACAGGACGATGAGCATGAAGCATATCACTTGGAAGGCGACACGGCAGTGATCGGCGAATCGGAATCGGAGCAAGATGTGGCAGCTCCGAGAGAAGCCCCCGATCAAGATGTCTCTGGCCAACAAGCAGCACCAGCTCATTCAACTCCCGTGAAGTCGCGTGGCAGCATTTTATCACGCATGAAGGACATGAAAAGTCCCAACGGCGACTCGACTCCAGACGAACCCGGTCAAAAGAGAGTCTACGTGCCGACATATCTGTAAGTTCAATGAGATGCTACTGCGATAACACCTCATCGAAGTTGGAAAGTGCTCGGGTGTTGTTGTGATACACTTATTTGTATGAACTACAGAGCGAGTTATACGAGCACTACGACAACGTGTTAACTGGACCTGGCGCGTGTGTGGTGGCGACGCGAGTTTCGCGAGTGTGCAGACTTTCGTGACACTGAAGGGTTCATAGCTGCGTGCTCTTGGCAGATCTCCCTCGCTCGACCCATGAACGAAGTGGTGGTGATTGGCACCATCCCGAGCGAGATCATCCTCGTGATGACGCTCGAAAGCCCCAGCATGAGCTCCGGTGTCACGGCACCGAACATCCAGCCCAGAGCTGCGAATTGGTACAAGAAGGCCAAGCTGAACGCCACGATGAGGCAGCACTTCTGACTGCGCGAAAAGCCGACCCATAGCGGAATCGAGCGCACCAAATACCCGATGAACGCCACAAAGCAGCAGCTCTGTCGTCACGAACACGAACGAACCGGATCAGTGCTATCGAATACCAAGAGAAGCTGAACGGGAGACGGCGTGTAGTACCAGCTCGGCGAAGATGACAGAGCCGTAAACTCCTGGAAGATTACTGCCCTCGGTCATAGCCAGCGTGACCCATGACATGGATGGTGCTGTTTCCTGGGAACGAGAAGGGAGAGCGGTGCAATCCACATGACTGTAAGTGCGAGGAAAAACTACGTTGAGGAACGTGGGAGTGGCCTACGCACCTGGAGAATTGCAGTGCTTGAGAACTCGTCCTCGTCTACCCCCTGCGGACAAAACCATCGCGATATGAGCGCCCAAACAACAACAGCAACCGTAACGGATGGTTGCGTTACCTGGATGCCCGAGTCAAGGTATTTCGTCGGGGATAACAGGGAGCGTGGCCAGCGGTAGCTCCTCCGATTCAGCTTGCTTTGGGTCGTGAAGCTCCGAGTCAAACTCGACGAGACGTGAAGGTTGCTCGCTCTCAAGTTGGTCGTGGTCGCGGTAGATCTGCGTCTTGGCCGTTCGGAAGTACAGACTCGGGTCGGCACCTACGACAACCGTGCCGTCGGTACCCAGCACCACGTGCCGCGGGTTGTACGACGTCGCCATCGTCACCGAAGCTGCCAGGAGGCCTTGCAGAGCGTACGCCACACGCATCTCAACTGTTGTTTCGTCGACTGCTGCTCGATTCTTGCGTTATGAGGTGGTTCGAGGCGCTGGGCGTTGTCTCGGGGGGAGGCCATGAATACTCGAAGCGTTACTCGGCTCAAGAGTATCGAAAGGTCGATGGGCTTTGCGTCCCTCGAGCACTCTCCGATCTTTTCCTGATCATTCATCGAGCAGGATAAAGCCCACGATCTATCACCTAACGAGCGATGCGTCTGCAGCACTTGCAGTTGCCTGTGAACCACCACACGGAGATCGTGACGGCGTGTTGCTGGACGCCCGAGAACGACGCGATCACGTGCAGCGATGACAACTCCATCGTGCGCTGGCGAATGGACGGCGAAGTGGCTGGCGCCGTCGCCAAGATGGACGCGTTCGTCACCTCGGTGCACTGGGTCCCGTCGGTGGGCAAGCAGAGCGCCGATACCTTCGCTGTATCGTGCACCGACGGCACCTTCCGGCTGATCTCCAAGAGCGGACGCGAGGAGAAGCGCGTGCAAGCCTGCGACGCTGGTGCAGTCATCGCATTGAAGTGGAACTACGACGGTACGGCACTTGTCACTGCGGGCGAGGACGGCACACTCAAGATCTGGTCACGCAGCGGCAATCTCCGGTCAACTTTGGCGACCACGGGTCGGTCAGTGTACGACGTTTGCTGGGGGCCCGACAGCGACCAGCTACTGTTCACACACGGCAACAACATGGTCATCAAGACCGTGCAACTCGGTCGTAAGGATATTCAGTGGAAGGCCCACGACGGCTCCATCCTGTGCTTGGACTGGAATCCGATCAACAACCGCATCATTTCAGGGGGCGAGGATCGCATCTTCAGAGTCTGGGACGCCTTCGGGCGTCAACTGTACCAAAGTCCGGCGGGCGAGCACGTCGTCACCTCCGTGGCCTGGTGTCCCAACGGTAGCTGCTTCGCTGTGGGCTCCTACAACATGCTGAGACTGTGTGACCAGACGGGATGGTCGTACTGCCGCCAACGCCCTCAGAGCGGCTCACTCATGGACTTGGCATGGGCCTCGGACTCGACGCAGCTTATCGCTGCCGGCGGCAACGGCGCGACTGTGTTCGCCCAAGTGGTGGGGCGTATGCTGCCTTGGAAGAAGGTGGAGGTGACGCTTGTAGACCCACGCAAAATCCACGTACACGACGTCGTCAACGAGACGCTGGAAGAGCTCGACTTCGCCCGGGATCGCGTGGTGGAGATGTCCTTCGCTCACGGATTCCTCGTGGTCTGTACCGCTACTCAGTGCTTCATCTACGACGCTCAGAGCTGGAATACGCCGCACATCTTCGACCTGCGCGCGGCCGTGAGTCTCCTTGTCCAGAGCGAGAGCCACTTCTTGACCGTGGACAACTTCAACGGCATTCAGGTCTACTCGTACGAAGGCAAAACTGTGAGCAACCCGAGATTCCCGGGTCTTCACGTCGAGTTCCTGAGCCATCGCACCATCTCGCTCAGCAGCGACACGCTGGCCATCCTAGACCATTCGGACCGTAAAACGATCCGGTGCTTCGACTTGAACACGGGCAAGCAGCTACCGGTGGTGATAACGCACTCGCTGGAGATCCTCGAGCTGTCGCTCAGTCGCTTTGGCCCCATGGAGGACCGCAAACTCTTCTTCATCGACCGGAACCGCGATATGTACATCTCTCGCGTGGCTAGCAAGGGCAACTTCAAGCTGCACGCGCAGGTGGACTCTGCGGCGTGGAATGACGCATCGGAGCTGCTCATCGCCATCGCCGACTCCAAGTTGCTCACCTGGACGTACCCCAACATGGTGTATGTGGACCGTACGCTGCTTGCAGACATCGTCGAGTCTCGAGACGCCGCCGACTTCTTGAAGATGGCGGCCATCACCAGCTTTGTGGGCTCCAGTGTGACTGTGCGGCGCGCTGACGGCACTACACTCGCTGCCAGTGTATCGCCCTATGCCCCCATGCTGTACGAGTTCACAACTTCGGGTGACTGGGACAAAGCTGTCCGACTTTGCCGGTTCGTGAAGAGCAAGAGCCTGTGGACCTGCTTGGCCGGCATGGCACTGCATCGACGCCACCTTGAGACTGCAGAGATCGCACTCGCCTCCATCGATTGTGTGGACAAGCTCTATTTCGTGCTGCACGTCAAGAGTCTGGCCTCCGACGAGCGTCGCAATGCTGAGTTGGCTTTGTACTCCGGCAACGTCGACGAAGCCGAGGCCATCCTGCTGCAAGCGCACCCCACTCCGCTCGTGTATCGAGCTATCAAGCTGAATCTGAGGCTATTCCGCTGGGAACGAGCGCTGGACCTGGCCATCAAGCACACGACGGACGCTGGGACTCATGTGGACACGGTGCTTGCCTATCGGGAGCGATTCCTAGCGGCAAACAAACTCCAGGAGACCGACAAGAAGTTCCTGCAGTACTCGAAGCAAGTCGCCATCGACTGGGAGACCATTTCCAAGAAGAAAGAGCTCGAGAGGGAGAAGGAGCAGCAAAGCGGTGGCGGCAGTCGCCGCAAGTAGGATGGTCCTCTTTCTTGTTGCGATGCCAGCTAGCTCCTTTCCATCTACTGCGTGCCTAAAAGTGAAGACCAACAAGACTAGCACAACATATTAAAAAAAGAGGAAATAGGCCTACATGCATACTCCCTTCCTGCTTGACAAAAGAACGCGCCGAGGCGAGGAAGATAGCGAAGCAGCGCGCGATCCGCAGCTGAGGCAGCGTGCTCTCCCACTTGGCTCTGATGGCCCCCTCGCGTGCCTCCTGCTCTTGCTCGCTTATACGTGTGTAGTCGTAACTGGCTTGCTTGCACCTTGTCTTGCCATCTACGAGGCCCTCCCCTGTGGCACTCATCTACCGACTCTGTCGCCCCTCTCAGCAATTGCACTGCTCTGCGGTGTTTTCCTTCGGTGGCGGTGCCGCCGTCAGCTTAATATCAATCACTGCCGTCACAAAAACCACCACGCCGGTCAGTAAAGCTGATCCGATAAGCAATGCAGGCAGAGTGAGGGCCACGTACGGTTAGAGTCTCCGCTAATCATGGTGTTCTCCATGCCGGGCAGCACCGTCGCGAGCTTGCGGAAGAGCGCCTTGATGTTGTATCCGGCCTTGGCGCTCGTCTCGATGAACATGACGTTCTCCTCCTTGGCCTTGTCCGAGCCCTCCTCGATCGACACCTGGCGCCGGTCCGAGATGTCCGTCTTGTTGCCCACGAGCATGATCACCACGTCCTGCCCACGCTCCGTGCGGACGTCCTCGATCCACTTGCTCGTGTTTAGGAACGACGCGCGGTCTGTCAGCAACAAACAGCAGCAATAGCCACAACAGCATCAGCACGCCGCAATAGATCCTCTTGAGTCGCAGAGCCCTCACTTGTGATGTCGTAGACCACTACAGCCACCGACGAGTCGCGGATGTAGCTGGGGATGAGGCTCCGGAACCGTCTGCGCAACATACACACACAGCAGCAACGTAAAGGGTCAGAGCAGGGCATTGGATCGCGCGTGTATCGTATCCCCCAATTGACTCACTCCTGGCCGGCCGTGTCCCAGAGCTGCAGCCGCACGGTGCGGTCCTCCATGTACATGGTCTTGGAGAGGAAGTCGATGCCGATGGTGGCCTGGTACGCGTTGTCGAACGTGTCGTACATGAAGCGCGTGATCATGGACGTCTTGCCCACGCCCTGGTCGCCCAGGAAGACCAGCTTGTACTTGGCCAGCGGCGCGATCTGCGGCACGTTCACGTTGGCGTCCGACACTTCGGTGTCCGCGGCGTCGCAGGCGGCGGGGGCCGCGGCCGCGGACGCTTCGGCGGCCGGCGCCTTGTCCTCCTTGTCCGTCGCCTCGGCCGTCGTCATCTTGCTCTAACTATGCCTTCTTCGATAGGTATCACCACAACCCCGGGCCGCGCGAACGACGACACATGGCGCTGGTGTGCACCACACCAACATCTATATTTGTGTGATTTGTACCGGACTATTTTCTGTCAGCCAATCACATGACAGAGTACACAAAAATGACAGTCGCACTCTGTGTCCATGTTACAATCGGCTTTCAGTACCCGAACAGCCTCAAGCTCAAGGCCAAAGCAGCGATACCATGGAGGAAGCTGCTGCTGCGCGCCGCGGGGCCGCGCGCGCCACGCGATCCACCGCCAAACCATCGCGGCGTGACATCGTAAAGCCTGCCAATGGTGGCGGCGGTGGCGGATCGTCCGCGGACGAGGAAGACGAAGAAGAAGAGGAAGAAGAAGAGGAGGAGGAGATCGAGGAGGAGGAGGAAGAGGAGGAGCCCCCAGTGGACGAGGCGGACGAGGCGGAGCTGGACGCCATCGACGCCGCCTACCGCATCTCGCCCACGGCCCGGGAGCTGCACACGCTGGAGCAGGGCACGCTCGTGCGCGTGCTCAAGACGCCCGACGTGGAGCAGCGCGTGCCCCACACAGTGCACAAGGTCGGCGTGGTGGAGGAGGTGCCGCTGCACCCCAACACGTGGTTCAAGGTGCGCATCCGCGACGGCGACGTGGTGTACAAGTACCGTCCGTCGGCGCTGGAGGTGCTGGAGGACGGCGACGACATCAGCAGTCCGGCTGCGTCGCCTCACCACAGCCCCGTGCTGCATCACGAGGCGGAAGAAGAGGAGGAGGGAGAATTCGAGGAGAGAAGAGAAGATCGCCGTCATCACGACGACGACGAAGAAGAAGAAAACGAACAGAAAGAGGAGGAGCACCTTGAGCCGGGCACGCGCGTCCATTTGAAGTTGGACGAGCTGTTCCGAGGCGAGCGTCATCTCAAGAAGTACGAGGGGAAGGAAGGCGTGGTGACCGGATACGACGAGGGGGTGATCGTGCAGCTGGACGGCAGTGAGGACATCTCTTTGACGGTGCGTCAGACGCATTTGGCGGTGGTGCCGGACGAACCTGATGACGAAGACGAAGAAGAGGGGGAGGAGGGACGCCAGGCCGACGGCGAAGAAGAAGAAGAGGAGGAAGCGAAGGAAGAAAAGAAGAAGCCGGCCAAGGTCCATAAGAAGAGGAGGGGCAAGGGAAAGCTGCTCTCCGTGCTGGATCCGGACATGTGGATCGACCGCAAGTGCCGCATCAACGTCGGCAAGTTCAAGGGCCAGCACGGCCGCGTGCTGCGCTCTGGCAACGGCTGGGTGCAGCTGAAGCTGGAGAACTCGAGCGAAAACACGGCCAAGCGCGCGTACGAGCTGACTCTTCTGGAGGACATGGAGACCATCAAGGTACTGCACGCCAAGACTCTCGAGAAGGAGCGCAAGCGCCGCGCTGAAAGTCGAGCCAACGGAACTAGCAGTCGCCATGACGACGCTGACGAGGAAGGTGATGACGACGAAGATGGCCACAGCGGTACTGATGATCCGATGGTTGGCGAACAAACGGAGGATTCGCAGGGAGAAGACAACGGCCAACGCTCTCGCCGTGTTTCAACGCGCGGAAACTACGGCATCTCGTGGATCGAGAAGAAGGTGAACCTGCCGAACCGCAAGGGCTTTGGAATTGTAAAGAAGGCGGACCGCGATACGTGTACGGTGGAGATTCAGACCACGAAGGTTATGCAAGTGTTCAAGAAGAAGGATCTGGAGCTTGCCGCTGACAGTCACGCCAAGACTGCTCGTCAAAACAGCCGCAATCGCAACAATGCCAAGGCCCGCGAGAAGCTGGGATTGGAGGAGGACGCCGTGCTCATGGGCACGACGCCGTCGCGCTACATTGCGTTCCAAGACCTCGTGAAGCGGTTCGCTATGCGCCGTCGTGAGAAGCTGAAGAAGCGCCCGAACTTGATCGAGTGGCAGGCCCGACTGAACGTGAACTATCTGGAAAACGGGTTTTGGGACAAAAGCAACCCTGCGGTGGTTGATCTGATTGTGACTCCTCAGTGCGAGATTTGTGGTGTCGAGAAAGAGGTATGGTGTGGCGTAGGATGCTTCCTTGTGCTCAATATCTCTAATGTGTGTGCGTGTTTCCATTCGTAGGACATTGATGGTCACTGCTGGAACAACGAGTGCCCCAGATGCCCCGCATTTGATGTGGATGGATTCGACCCCAAGGATGAAAATGCTTTGATGCGAGTCCCGGTGGCGCCATTCGTGAACGACAGTATCACCAGTTCGCTGTGCCTCAAGAAGGAGGAATTGTCAAGGAAGCGGAAGCGCAAGTCCCTGGACGCAACGCCCACCGCAAGGGGCCAAGCTGATGCAGAACAAGTCGCGTCACCTACTGAAGAGCCCAAGAAGTCAAAGAGGGATGCTGGAAAGACCAAGAAAACCCGAGCGTCATCTACGGACAAGGATGCGAAGAACGGCGAGAAGGGTGGGAGAAAGAAAGCGGGAAAATCGTCGACTGAGCAAGGTGACATGAAGCGAAGCAAGGGAGCTGCAAAGAAAGCCAAGGGTGAAAAGAGTCCCAGGACAGCCGAATCCGCTGAGACGGGAGAAGCGTCACCATCCAGCGCCTTCCGTCCTCACTACGACAGCGTGTTCTCGCGGTAGGAACCTCATATGAGACAGAACCTCCAGCGGGTAAGTGCCGCTGCTCCTGAAATAGGTTTGGGAAAACGTTTGAGCGCGATGTGAATGCATATTTCATGTTTTGTGTAATACGCTGCCCTGCCGACTTCGTGCTGTCTAACCGATCGAAATTGAAGCCGTCCGCATGTTTTGTACGCAGCTCCACGTATCTTATCGATGCTCCTTGAGCTCTGATCCCCAACCAAAAGTGTATTATTATCTGGTGGTGACGAAGGTGATTTCTTACAGGGGCAATCACAATTGTGGCAGAGCTGACACGAACGCATGCTGGCCCCGCTGGCGGGAGTAGTTGAGATTGGAACAACTCGGCTCCACTTGGGCACGGCCTCATCGGCTTCATGGCGCCGAAGCGCAAACAATCGCTTCCGTCGCACTCTGAGGGCAAGAATGGGCTTCCACCAGTCACACCCCCGCCCATGCTCAAGCGCAAGAGCAGCAGCGTGAGCGTGTTGGACATTTCCGGCGGTGCCTCTGGCAAGGGGGCAGAGCAGAAGGGAGAACTCCCACGAGTGAATCGGAATACCAGCAGCCTTCAAGATCTTCGAACGGATGGAAACAATAGCAACGCGGCTAGTAGGGCGCACAGTGCAACAGGGGGCAAACAAGGAGACAAGAAGAAGAACAAACCACCAAAGAACGGGTGGTCAAATGAGACTGGAAACTCGCTGCCAATGGTAGCGAAAACTTCAGGCTCCCAAGACGGCTCGGCGAAAAAGGAGCGTACGCGTACGCGACGGCGGCGTGCCGGGGATATTACTCTCACTAGGCCAGCCACCATCGCTGTTGTGGTGAAATACCAGTGTACGTTGATGTTCTTGTATCAGCTTGCCAATTCAAAGCTGACACGCCAGTACATGTACGTATTCTGATGATGCAGTAGGACAGCACGAGCTCAAGAAGTTCAAAGCGTGCTTCAGACAGATCGATCTCGAGTACGTCCCAGCTGCAGTTTTGCATGAATGAGGAAGTGGCTAACGTGCGTGTGTTGTTCCATGACAGCTCGAGTGGTGTGATCGACTACGATGAGTTTTTCGAGTTCATTGACGAAACGAAGACACCGTTCTCTGAAGGGCTCTTCCGTATGATTGACTCCGATAGCAATGGAACGGTAAGCAACGGAGCTTCTTGCGTGAACGTGGACCCACTGCTCATATTACTATGTTCTCCTTGCAGATTGATTTCGAGGAGTTTGTCCACGCAACGGTCTTGTATTGCATGTACACTCGCGATGAAATTCTCCACTGTAAGTCTAATGCTCTTGATTCTGGGCCTCGATGAGATAACAAACTCATTCACTACCTCCTGCGCCTAGTCGCTTTTGACACCTTCGATCCTGCGGCCACGGGGTCCATCGGCGACAAGGAGCTTCGGCGTCTTGTCAGCATGGTGAACGATGGCCAATCCAAATTCTCGGGCAACATCAACAATGCATTGGCAGAGTTCGATCGCAACAAAGATGGTGTCATCGACTTCGAAGAGTTCAAGAACATGAACAAGCGCTTCCCGATGCTACTGTTCCCTTGCTTCCGACTCCAGGACCGCATGCAGAAAGCCACGCTGGGCGACAGCCACTGGCTCCAGCTTCACAAGCGCTTGTACGAACGCCTCAAACTGGAGAACTACCAGGTACAGACGACAGACAAGACTGCTTCTATTCACGATACTTGCTCACTTGACTGACAAACCTGCTCCGCTTTCCGGCTTGATTAACAGCGAAAACACAACGGTGCTCTACCAGCGCTCACTCTGGTCGGTGCCATCGTCAAGTTCCTCCGACTAGACACCCGCGACGTCTACCAGCCTTAAGCCGAGACTACGTTGAAGACGATGTCATGTGGATGAGCTCAAGCGGGTAGATCGGCCCGCCGGAGGCGATATGGTTAAAATAAGTGACAGGCTCGGACCCTCGCAGCGGCAACGAGGCGACTTGGTCGGCGCGACACCAAGTGGCTCCCGCGCTCTCGTAGTCTGGAATCGACTTAGGCGGCTGGTCGCAGTCCAGCGGCTCGGCGTAGAAGATGAAGCGCATGCGCACGTACTGACTGCCGTTGCGGTCCTGTTTCGGATGGTACTCGAGCTTGATCAGGCCCGTGAGACGGATGTCGATGCCGGCCTCCTCCTTCGTCTCGCGGATCGCTGCCTGCGCCGGGTTCTCGCCACTGTCGATGCGTCCGCCCGGCAGCCAGAAGCCCGAGTTGGCGAACTCCTGCACGAGCAAGAAGCTGTTGTACTTTTTGTTGTGGCACACCACGAGCGCGAACGAGTAGAGCGTGCTGTCGGCCATGTTGAACTCGCTCGCCATCTCGTGTCGTCCCGGCGGGCCGTGGGCGTTGTGCATGTGCACCTGGAACGGGCCGCGCGGGGTCTCTCGACAGATCGGGCACTTGATATTGTCCGTGTTCTTCTCGTTGATATGGTACATGGGGCAGTGGCGCCAGAGCTGGTCTTCGTCCATGCCGTTCTTGCCGCAAAACGGGCACGTGAAGCCGTCGCGTCCGCCGGATCTGCCTCGGCTCTTCCGTCTCGAATGGGAATGCGAGTCGTAGCCGTTGGGCTCCTCTCCGCAGGAGGCGATGAAGGCCAGCACGTCCCGCACCGCGTCCAGCGAGTCCGTGACCATGGACGCGCCCTCCTGGAAGCACTGGTAGCGCCCCATGGGGTGCTCGGCCAGCTGCGGACTGAAGACGCAGAGGAAGATCTGCTTGCTGATGGTGCGGATCATGCGCAGCAGCGGGTACAGGTGGTGCTCCGACAGCCCCGAGGCGCGGAACAGCACGGCGTCGAAGGGAACGGGCGAATACATGGGCGGCGTCTGCTGGTACGCCACGCGCCGGTCGTGGTGGGCGCTGGCGCGCGCGTGCGTCTGCATGAGTTGGTGCCGGATGTCGTCCTCGTGGTTCACCGCCAGCTCCGTGATGAAGCCCTGCGCCGTGCAGGCGTGCACGCACGCGTTGTCCAGGCTGTCCAGGGGCATGTCGTGGCTCGAGACGTTGCGGATCACCAGCGCCCGCTTCATGATCATGCCTCGACGCCTGTATTTGTCGACAATAATTGGTAACTCAATTTTAGATACTTTGTGTGTCAAAATAATCCGACCAAATTCTGAGCTGTCCACGAAAGGACACAAATTGTTGAAGTGGCCAAAAAGATGGGAGAGCGAGACTGGCCCAAGAGTCTGAGGACGATACTCGAGCGTGAAGTACACTCACTGCCTTCGTGTGCACGTCTTATCATCAATTGTTGCTGCCCTTTACATACTGAACCATCTTGAGTATTGCAGTGCTCAGCGATTTTTTGTAAAAAGCGAGAGGTGACTCTGACTTGCTGAGCACTCACACAAGCGCGACTTGGCATTGGCCTTACGCCAAGAGGGTCATCATACCCAGCACCGAACTTTACGCAACTTGGTCATTGTTTACAATGCGACACAGCGATATGTTGATGCGACTCCTCTCGATACAGTAGCAGGACCGAGTCGAGTCTGTGCCGAATAGGAAAAATACAAATTTCAAGCTGGTAAAACAGACAAAGAGCGATCATATTTAGCTCCTTCTAATGCACGTGCTACTCAAGGTGTTGCGGAAGTATCTTAGTTGTCGGTAAGGTCGTCGTTCAGGTTCACGCCGAGCACGTTGGCGACCTGCAGCATGTCCTTATCGCCGCGGCCACTGATGTTAATGACTACAACCTGGTCCGGCGCCAATGTGGACGCGAGCTTCACGCCGTAGTGCACAGCGTGGGAACTCTCGAGTGCCGGAATTATGCCCTCGTGAAGCGAGATGAGCTGGAAGGCCTCCAGCGCTTCCTTGTCCGTAACACTCACGTACTTGGCACGGCCCGAGTCCTTCAGGAACGCGTGTTCGGGGCCCACGCCAGCGTAGTCCAGACCAGCGGACACCGAGTGAGTCTCCAGCACCTGACCAGCGTCGTCCTGCATGATGTACGTCTTCGTGCCGTGTAGCACACCCGGTCGGCCGCCCAGAAGCGTGGACGAGTGGCGGGGCGTGTCCACGCCGTCGCCACCAGCCTCAACACCGTAGATGGCCACGTCGTTGTCCTTCACGAAGGGGTGGAACATGCCGATGGCGTTGCTGCCACCGCCCACGCAGGCCACGATAGCATCGGGCAGACGGCCGATCTCCTCCTGCAGCTGGGCCTTGATCTCACGGCCGATGATGGCCTGGAAGTCGCGCACAATGGTCGGGAACGGGTGCGGGCCGATGGCCGAGCCGATGATGTAGTGCGTGTTGTCCACGTTGGTGACCCAGTCACGGATGGCCTCGTTAACCGCGTCCTTGAGCGTCTGCGAGCCGCTCTTGACGGCGATCACCTTGGCGCCGAGCATCTTCATGCGGAACACGTTGAGCGACTGGCGCTGGGTGTCCACGTAGCCCATGTAGACGACGCAGTCCAGCCCCAGCAGGGCACAGGCCGTGGCCGTGGCCACGCCGTGCTGGCCGGCCCCGGTCTCGGCGATGATGCGCGTCTTGCCCAGACGCTTGGCCAGCACGGCCTGGCCCAGCGCGTTGTTGATCTTGTGCGCGCCCGTGTGCGCCAGGTCCTCGCGCTTGAGCCAGATCTGCGCGCCCTTGGCGTGGGCCGTCAGGCGTTTGGCGTGGTACAGCGGCGTGGGGCGGCCGATGTAGTCGCGGCCCAGGTGCTCGAGCTCCTCGCGGAACTTGGGGTCCTGCGTGGCCTTGACGTACTCGTCGATGAGGTTGTGGTGCGCCTGGATGAGCGTCTCGGCCACGAAGCAGCCGCCGAACTCGCCGAAGTACGCGTTCAGCTCGTCGGCGGAGGTGTACACGGGCGGCGCGTTGGACACGTCCAGGTACTTCTTGTAGCTGGTGGCGGGGCTGTCGGAGGTCATCGTCGTGGAAGGCAGGCGGCGAATTGGCAAGTGTGTGCGGAAGAGTTCAAGCGGTGCCGCCGGTCGGCCTGACGTACTCGCTGCGAAGATGACTTGGTGTTTGTATAGGTGGATGCTGCCACCGGATTTTGGCGTCAACATGAGCCACCGAATGAGCCGATGTTGATGCGCATTTGTACACGCCACCGAACAGGTGATGTAGCCATGTGGTGCGCAACAACAGGGCTGCGAGTTCAAGCACTCAAGCACACGTCAGGGCCGCCGAAAATAGCATGGCCATAAAAATAATGGGCCATCATAACATAAATAAATTTATTGTGGACTGAATACCTAGCACATATCATAATTTATGCAGCGAATCTACCCAATGTCATAATTTATGACTACAATTTATACCCTACTATATATCATTTTTTTAATCTGAAATCCTACTAAGTATCATCGTTTTACCTTAAAAAATTATTGGCCTTTCAAAACCAACCGTTGTAGTGGCTGGTGGCAGCCTCTAAGGGCGTTCAAATGCCTGTTGTTGTCATTGTTCATTTTGCAAACCCCCCAGCAGCCCACACCCCAGCAACTCAGTCTTCCCAGCTATGGTCTTTGTGTCCCGCCCGCCGCGCCCAACGTTCACGCTGGCCCAGGTCACAGGGTTCTTTTTCCAACCGTGCCGCGACGACTTTGACGAAGTTATCCCTGAGTACTTCCGTTATCGCTGCGGCACGGTTCGAAGCAGACCCGCCGCAACGGGTTTACCAACCTCATGCAGCACGTGAGGCGTGAGCATCCGAACTTCGAGGCCGAGATGCTTGAGGCCACCACAGCAGAGACGGGGTCATTGCTGAGCTACGTGCGCCGCTCCTCGCAAAACCTCTACGGGTGGCTAGTCTGGGTTGTCATGAGCAACCTCCCGTTTGCCTTTTGCGAGAATCGAACGACACGGCGGTACGTTAGAAGCAATTTGATTTACCCTGATTAACTATCCCGATTTAACTCCATATTTCTGTTTATCTGTAGCTACACGAACTTGGACCCTGTCTGTATCGAGACGCTGCGTGCCGTACTGGAGGGGGTCTCGCTGGTAGTCGAGAGGTCGATTGCGGCAGAAATTCCTCCGCAATTTGGCCTGATCCTGGATGGGTGGACCCACTTGGGCGAGCACTACCTCGCGGTCTTTGCCCGCTTCGAGGTTAACGGTCAGGTAATGACCCCACTGCTTTGCATGGCGCCTCTTCTCCAAGAGGAAGACGATGATCTCTCTGCCGTGGCACATAGAGAATTTCTAGCCAACATGCTCCCGCGCGACTTTGGTAAGCAGCTGGACCAGTGTGTCTACATTGTGGGCGGCAACTGCCGCGCGAACAGGCGCCTTGCGACTTCGGTCGGTGTCACTCTTATTGGGTGTGCCTCGCATTGACTCAACCGTGCGGTGCAGAAAGAACTGGAAGATCACGAGGCGGATCTTTCAGATGTGCAGAACCTGATGACCAAGCTTCGAACGCTGACTCAATCTGTTAAACTCCGGTACGATTTACTTGTTTCGGCGTAATATTTTTTCTAACTCTTTTTACTTATTATTTTTACTAATTCGCGTCAGACTCAAAACAAAGCTCCGACCGGTAATTCGGCAGGACACCCGGTGGAGCTCTACTTTCACCATGCTGCACCGATACTTCGAGCTTTTGGAGCACCTAGATGCCCACGACGATGACATTGCAGATCTTCTCCCCGCCCCAGCCAGTAACCGTCGCCTCCGTGCCCTTCTCAAAGAGCTCACGGACGTGGAGTCGGTCTCAAAGGCACTTCAAGGGGAGGATGCGGACCTTCTTGATGTGCGCGAGTGGTTTGACGGGCTCATTGCCGTCAAGCTCGACTACGCCAACTATCTCGGTAAGCTCTTGCCGGAATCTGATTTTGCTAATTGGAATACTCACAATGACTATTATGTACTATAACAGGGCCAAGAGCGGACATCGTCCACAGCCCCGACTTCGAGTCGGGTTGTGTGCGTGTGCTACTCGGCAACACCAACCGACTCATCAGGGCTGAGAAAGCCGTACTTCGGCCGTTCGCCGCGAATATGACGCCGGATCCATCGACTGACGACGACTCTCAAGGCTCCTTCGTGGAGCGTTTGCAGAAACGCAGACGTCTCGCTCAGCACCAGCAGTAGTATAAACTGCTTCGCAGTATCCCTCCGACGTCCAATGTCGTCTAGCGGTTCTTCAGTGCTGCCCGAATCACGCTTGGGCACGAGCGCAACGGACTGCACCCGATTACGCAGGAACAAAATTTGTTCCAGCGTCAGAACGCGAGCTATTGGAACGTATGTACTGTAGGTGGTCTGCGTAACTAAGTTAATACAAAGTTGCGCACTTACACAACGCCGTTATTTATGCATGGATGATACTCATGTCATTATTTATGCAGTGGGTTTTTCTTGCAAGCGACATTATTTATTTGACGATTCTGTCATCGTAAATATAAATGCCATAATCGGCGGCCCTGGCACTCGTCGAGATGGTGGGAACTGCTTAACAACCGCAGATGGTGAGCTTGCAGTTGGATGCTCGGTCGGTGCGACGGCGTTGACAGCACACAAAAACTCCGTGCGGACTCAAGAAAATACTCGTGAATGGGCTTCACCGGCGAGCACCACGGACCGTGGTGGTCCACGGTTTGGTGCCACCAATTCATTATTTGAATGAATGATGCGTGTTCGCGTAGCCATATTATACCTGCGCTAGGCTTAACTTAGCTATTCGGCGGCATAGTGAATTCATTATTTGCAGCGGTCAATTTGAAGTGTGAATTCTCGAAGCGATCCACACATTACCACCTCCGCAAAACAGACCGGCATTGAGACGAACCGGCAAGTTTTTTGGAATAAATTGACTTGGGGAAACATAACGTTGCGTATCACCAGGGCGCTGGCGAACCAGCGCGCACTTCATGATCATGCCTCGATCGGGAAGGAGCAATAATGCCTTTCCTGACAGTATTTGTCGACAATAATTGGTCACTCAAATTTATATACTTTTGCGTGGCAAAATAGTCCGACCAAATTCTGAGCTATCCACGAAAGGACGCGAGCAGATCAATATTGAAGTGGCCGAAGATGAACGACGAGGATGAACTGGACGACTTGGAGGCGAAGGTGCCGTGCCTTCAAAGCAATGGATACACCTCTCTGCATTGCATACTAACGCACTTGTTGCTCGGCTTTGCAGCTGGACGACTTGACGCACCAGAACGACGTGCTGCGGCAGGAGAACGAGCTGCTCGAGTCGTATCTGCAGCGCAACGGGCAGCCAACGACCGGCAGCGACGATGAGGAGAAGCAGAACGACCGGGACAAGAAGACGGGGCTGGGTTCCAGACAGCGCCGCGTGCGCGCGCAGGTGATGCTCACGATCGAGCAGAAGAACGACATCTGCAGCACGGAGCTCGAGGCGGCGCAGAAGGAGCTGGAGGAGACCAAGCGCTCGTCCGAGCGGCTCATCGACACGCTGCGCGCCGTGCTGGAGGAGACGGACATCCGCATCGCGGAGCTCAAGAAGGACGCGTACGAGTTCAAGCGCGACATCGTCGTGGGCGCCGAGAACTTCCGCACGGGCAAGACCATCGCCGAGAAGATGATCCGCTACATGGACGAGAAGTTGCGCCAGAAGGACGCCATCGTGGAGAAGCTGCGGCTCAAGAACGCGACGCTCAAGAGCCAAGCGCAGAAGATCGACGCGCAGCTCCGGCACAAGGAGGAAATGGGCGATGCGCTGCACTACATCGACTTCCATCAGCTGCAAATCGAGAACAAGCAGTACGTGGCCAAGATCGAGGAGCGCAACGAAGAGCTGCTGCGACTTAAGCAGACCACGGGGAGCACCGTGCAAGTGCTCAACAACCTGAAGAAGCGGCTGCACGAGCTGCTGGAGGAGAGTGCGTGGCTGCAAGGAGAGATTCGCACGCGCACCGAGCTGAATGAGAAGATCGTGAAGGAGATCGCGCTGGTGGAGGAGAAGAACCAGAAGGACATGCGCCGCCTCCAGTCGCTGCAGATCCAGCAGTCGGCTGAGCCAAGCAAGGACATGCCGCAGATTCTGGACTACGTCGGGCAGAAGGCGAAGATGTACGAGCTGCAACAAGAAGTCAAGAACTACGAGCGCAAGGTGGAGATCGCAGAGCGAGCTGTCAAGTTAAGCCGCGCCAAGGAGGCCAAGCGTTTGCAGGCGCAAGGGTAGCGAATATGTATACTACGAAAGTACACGACTAGGACGCATTTGTAGGCTTGATCGGGCTAACCGTTTGAATACAGCCTTGCCTATTCAAACGACGCGACCCAACGAAGGCTGTTTCTTTACTTGACCATGGAGAGAGCACGCATTCGACGACGTCGCCAGCAGTTCCAAGCGCAGCTTGAAGTCCAGTCTCGAGAGCTGCGCGATGCACTGGCAGCTCAGCTTTCGGACGGGGCCAAGAATGCATCCGTCCACACGCGACTCGTGTTGAAGTTGCAGTATCAATTAGGCGAGTTGTGTGCGGAGTACGACGAGTTCGGGCTTGCAAGCATGTACTTCCAGCAAGTGCTGACCGGCGTCGAAGCTTCTCATTCAAACGGTGAACAACTGAATGAGGAGACTGCAGAACTCACCACGCTGCGAACAAATACGCTCAATTGGCTTGCTGTGATGAACTTTCGATCTGGAAACCAAAGCGAAGCGATGGAATTCCTGCTCCAAGCCAAGAAACTCACTCGAGGTGATGCCTCCCCGACTGAGTTAGCCAGTCCACCGGTGGACAAGTCTTTGACAGCCAACTACGCCATCTTCTTGCACGCCAAAGGCAACACCGCAGACGCAGAGAGCGCAGCCCAATTGGTGGTGAACGAGGGAGCGTCCGACTCCAGTGAGGAATCTGAGGATGATACTCGAGCGCGAAGTACTGCCTCCATGTGTACGTTTTCTCATCAATTGCTGTTGCACTTTACATACTGAACGAGATTGTGTACTGCAGTGCTAGCGAGTATCTTCAAAGCTCGAGGTGACTCTGAACGAGCTTTGAAGAATGCCGAACGGGCAGTCGCCCTGGCTGATCGTGTGCAAGATCCTCGACTAATTTCTCGTGCGCACAACAACCTCGGTATCTACTGCCTCGAGCAAAGCGACGTGGAGCGAGCGTTCAATCTCTTCGCAAGCGCGTATCGAGCTGCTTTGGAAACAAAGGATTTCCAGCATCAAGCGATCGTCAAATACCACTTAGGTATCGCTCTGTCATATCTCGGTCGAAATATGAATGGGAAGCAGGAGATCGGCGAGGACGACGAGGATGAAGAGGTCTTAGCGGAAATACGACAGAAGCAAGAGCAGGAACAACCGACTGCACCAGAAAACAATGAGAAGCTCGACGTTGAGCTACCGGCTGAATGCGCTAACGCTGAAGCTGAACCCGCGTCCGATGTACCAACCCCTGCAGTCTCAGTGTCACCGCCTACCAAGGGGCCTAAAGATTTATTTCTTGAGAGTGAAAACCTAACAGGGGCTTTACCTGAGCCGGACAACCCTCTCCGCGTGTTAGCACAGAGCTGTCGTGGCGAGGAGGAATATTACGCGGGTGAGTTCCACACTGCCGAAGCTGAGTTTTCGATCGCCCTGGGTCAATTGAAAGAATTTACGGGGATCGACCTCGAGGAGAACCAGAGTTCGGATGTAGCGGTAAATGATAATGTGCCACCAACCGAGAATGAAGAAGTTGTGAAGGATGCAGACGCTGAAGAAGAGGAAGAAGATATTCCACTACCTCCTATTGAACCGGAGCTGGCGAAGCTGCATGGTCTTCTATTTAGCTACACTGGATGTACACAACTAGTGGAGGGTAAATTCGCCCTTGCTGAGCACTCACACAAACGCGACTTAGCGTTGGCGCTACGTCAAGAGGATCTTTATGCCCAGCACCGAGCTTTGCGCAACTTGGCCATTACTTATAATGCCACGCAGCGATATGTTGAAGCAATCCCTCTTTGGCGTGAAGCGCTTGAGCTGGCAGTCGTTCTCGACTTCAAAGGAGAGCAACTCATGGCGTATTCCGGTCTAGGATCAGCACTTCGAGAGCTGTTGATTCTCGAGGGTCCTAGTGCGGCTGCAGTAGCGGGACTTGGATCCAGGCAGCCACTGCAAGTGTTCTTGAAGCAACGAGCTCTAGCAGAGCAAACAGGTGACCTCCACCAACAGATTTTGGCTCAAAGACACATTGTCAGCGTGTATGAAAGTCCCATCTCAAAGCCCCAAAGCGACGCTGAGGCTACGGAGGCACTGGAACGCAGACTATCGGAATGCGACGTGCTGGTTCGGCTGTGTGAGAAGTACGATAACTTGCAGTATCGCGCAGACGCGTATCGATCTCTGGCCAATGCTCTGACGTCGCAACTCGCGCGACTGCGAGCTCGAGCAAATGGCGATGGGACTTCCCCACCGCAGTACGGTCTGGCCGATGCAATTGCCGTGTTGTCTCAAAAGCGCAATAGCGTCTGCGCCAGCTACCAAGAAGCCAATGTTGCACTCTCAACCGCAGCTGCTCTCATGTTCCAAGACGTCTATCAAGAAGGCGTGGATGACGAAGAGAAAGTGCCCAAGCCGAAGCCTGATGAGCGTCACGCTCGCCCACCTCTAACTAGACTCGAAATCTTGCAACGCCGATAAGCAACGCTAAGATAAACGCAGTAAGAAATCTAGGGATGTTGTTATTCGCATAGTTCAGTTAGTAGCTATCTGGTTCAGTTCCTTACTCCTCGCCTAAACTTTCTTCGCTGGCTTACGTTTGTCGCTGGAGGCGAGGACTTTGAAAGTGCAGCGGAGACTCTCGTCCACGACCAGCATGGCGCCAGCGTTGTCGAACTCGTTGCAGTAGTTGGGCGCGGAGAAAATGGTCACGAGTTTGCGGCCGGCGAAGAACTCGTACCCGTCCGAGACGACCTGGTGCGCTCGGCAGACCAGGTCCAGATCGTGGGTCTTCAGGAACTGGTCCACGACGTCAGTGCCGAAGATGTAGGACACGCCGCGGTCGCTCTCGGTCCAGCCTTGACTGTCGGGATCAGGGTCAGACCACAGGAGATCGCACAGCAGACCTTCGTCCGGCACGTCCGTCGGACGTCGAATGTTCTTGATCTGGTCGAGCGTGTACAGATCCGGTGACAGGCCTCCATGCGTGCAGAAGATCTAACAGAAATACAGCGTTAGAGAGTTTGTCCTGCCATAGCATTGTATTGGGAATCTCTCACCTTTCCAGCAACCACAGCCGAGATCGGCATGCAGTTGAAGCAGTCGCCGAACGTGCGCCACACCTTGACCGAGTATCGGCGCTTGCATTCGTCGTAAAACCCGTAGATGCGGTTGATCGAGGCGCACTCGTGGTTCCCCCTCAAGAGATAGAGCTGCTCCGGGTACTTGATCTTGTACGCGAAAAGCAGACAGATTGTCTCGATGCTCTGCATGGCGCGGTCGACGTAGTCCCCCAGGAAGAGATACCTCCGTTCATCCGGGAACCCGCCCATCTCAAACAGCCGCAACAAGTCGGAGTACTGCCCGTGGGTGTCACCGCAAATGTTAATTGGCGAGGGGACTTCCACGAGCGGAGGCTGCTCCAGGAAAATCTGTAAGCAACAAGGAAACGTGGTTAGACAAAGTTTACTTCCGATAAAGAGGCGGTGGAAATATACGAACCGTGCGGATTTTACGACACAGCAGCAGCACTTCGTCTGTGGTGATGTCGGTAACTTCAGTCTGGGTGGGTTTATCCTGCACACTGAGCAGCTTGCGGATGACCCCGTCGACTATCTGGATGCTCGGGTCTGCCATGGTCAGGTGTTAAATACTCTATCTGCCACGTCGTCCGTCAGATGAACGATTCCGAGTGCTGCAACGGAACAGGCCAGCACTCAGTCGGGCAAGAAGGCGAGTCAGCGAAGCCGAAGAAAGTGATACCATGCAACCAACGAATGCCGAGGCTATTTTAGCAGGAATGTCTGTTGCCATGAATAGCTGCGAGCGATAGAACCTAGGTGGACACTACTACTACGTGTATATACCAAAGTTGAAATTAGTATCAGTAGTACATTACGCAGTCAGTTTTTTTTCTCCCCGTAATTTACCAACGAGAATCGTAGAACGTTCTCCGCGAAAGAGGGAAAAGGAGGTAATTTTCGACGATGGAACCAATAAGTACCTTCTGGTGCGAAGGAGGTCTCCTCCTCACCTACAAGCACCACATATAGCAACACCAACCTCACACGCATCAAATGATCATTTCAACGACAACACCTCTCGACTGCTGAGAGTGAAAGGACGCATCCGATGCAGCTCAAGTAGGTTTCAAGTCCTCTCGGTATTGGAATAGGGCTCTTTTGTGACACCGCTTCACCACGCCTTCGTTTCCCGCTTAGGTACGGTACCAAAATCTCTCCCTCCCCTTCTCTCTCATTCGAGAATCTGCCGCCTGGTGGAAAGATGGTCAAGCTTTTTTGTGCTATCGTTGGCGTGGCTGGAAGCGCGTTCTCGGTGCGAGTGGACGAGAGTGACTCGGTGGATGACTTGAAGGACGCGATTAAGGCGAAGAACCCGGCGACGATCACGGGCGACGCCAAGGACCTGCAGCTCTTCCTGGCGAAGAAGGACGGCGCGTGGCTGAAGTCGAAGGATCTGCTCCGGATGCGGAAGGGGGAGATCTCCGATGAAGTTGAGAGTCTCTACATGAAGGAGGAATTGGACGATCCGACGGACAAGATCTGCGCAAAATTTCCCAGCACAATCCCCGACGGAACGATTCACGTGCTGGTGGTGGTTCCGGTTGGTGCAGTTGGTTCAGCGAGCGAGACTTCCAGGATGGATCAAGTGGTCCAAGAGGTGCACGAAATTCATGCGCAAACTGTGCTGACCAAGCGCAAGACATATGTCCACTCGAAGGTGGGTTCGACCGAGTACAAGGAACTTCTGGACGCCTTCAACATTAAGGTGCAACCTGTGCGTAAAGCTGCTGCTAAGTGGGGTGAAGTCAAGGGGTTCACATGGGACATGAAACTCAGCGAGGAGAAGCAGAAAGATGAATATCGCGAGTATGTTGACAGCAACATTGGCGAGCTTCTCCAGGAGGAGAAGCTTTGCGTGTTCGGTGTGGAAAATACGACAGATATTCTCCGAGTTGTTGTCAACGGCTCCAACATTGAGCTCCGGGGTCGCACCGATCTTCTCATACTCAGTGATATCGTCATGGAGAGCGCGGATTATGCGCTGGACTTGCCTGAAGTGAAGATGCTGATTGATGTGAAGAAAAAGGTTGAAAGACAATCTGTCTTCCAGGCGATGTCAGAGCTAATTGCTCTGGCTCTGCTTGCCGACGACCCAGTGGTTGCACTGCTTACTGACTTCAACGGCGATTGGCGATTCTTCTGGGTCGCCGGGAAGGAAAACAATACCACTTGCGTCAACAAAGTGAACATTACGAATCCAGGTGAAGCTTTCGAGTTGATCAGGCAGCTACTGAAGCCTACGGATATCATGACCCCAGTGCTTCAAGACCCTGTGAAGCGCCAGAAGTTATCCCGGGTGTTGCCGTCCATCAGCGAGGCCAGTGAAAGTGGCGGGATTCGTGAGAGCATCGAACGATACTATGACATCGCCAGTTGTTTAGGCCCCGACTTGGACATGGCGCGTGCTGTGGCTAGACAGGTCACTCGATCTATTCCCACGTTGAGTTATTTCAGCTAATTCTTGCTTTGGCATGCTGCATTAATAATTTTTTTATTCTGATATATAAAGTTAGTAATATATAAAGATGACTTACTCTCATGAGAAATACCAAGCTAACAAAGAGCGCATCAAAGCAGCTCAAAAGCGATACTACCTGAAGACGAGAGAAACTCGTATCGCTAAGCAGAAGGAGTACGATGACAAGAATCATGAGCAAATTCGTACCCAAAAGCGTAAATCATACGCGGCGAAGAAACAAAGCGAACCTAATCAAACCGAAAGCGAACCTAAGAGTGAAACCGAACTTAGCTAATTAATTAATTAATTTTTTTGAATTTTGTATCAGGGTATGATATAAAGTCCTATTCTGACATAAGATCCATAAATTATAAAGTCAATATATTCTGATATTATATCGTCGGATATATATAGCAATGTTCGCATACGAGTTAGAAGGACTAAAGCGATTAAATATTCACCCAATCAAATGGGGGAGTAGCTATCGAGTCAAGATCCGGGGTAAAACCGGTAGAATGACATATATTAGCAATCTATCGCGCCCCAGCAATCCGAATTTGATTGCGAAACAGTACAAAGTTTCCATTGAAGATCTTAAAAAGCATATGTCGCCTGAGTATAAGGCTGATCCTAAGTATCGCTTTTATAACGGTAAGCAGATGGATTCTCACCTATATGAAGGAATCCAACCAGCTGAGTTCTACGACAAGCTTGAGAACGTACTTACCAGTCAAAAGAATGCCTTCAAGGTTAATATCGCTCTCGGCTACGACCTTGTGAGCTTAACCGATGATTTGACACAGTATTGGCATCCGAATATATCCAATACGAGTGTATTTAACACCCCTATTGCTATCAATAGCAAGGCTGACATCCGTAAGAAAGTAATCTCTGAGATTCGTTCAATGGAGTTGGCAAACAAGCTCAACTATCCAAGCTCTGGATACAAGCTCAAGTCTATCACTGGCTTTAGAATTTACATCTATCATCGCAACCATGCTCTTGGGGATAGTGATGCGGTCATCCCTAAGATTATTCGTAAAAACCATCACGTTATCAATTTCCCCAAGACTAATAACAAATGTGTCTTCCACTGCATTGCTTATCACAAGCAGGAGGGAGCCAAGAAGGATCCTCGCAGAATCCAGGCTCTGGTGAAACAAGCCTTCAAGCAGTACTGTTCGTACAAGGAGATCACCTACACTCTGGGTCTGTTCCGCAACTTCAAACCTATTGATATGCTCCAGCTGGATGACGTTGAGGAATGCTTCACACTTAGTATTAATGTCTATACTACGGATATTGAATCTGGAAACGTTGAATGCCTTCGTCGCTCAGACAAAGAGTATGAAACTATGAATATCCTGTCACACGAGAATCATGCTCTATATATCAAGAATGTTGATATGCTCCAAAGCAAGTATCAATGTCCGAAGTGTGAAATGATTTTCGTCAGCTCTGACAAGCTTCGAAGCCACAAGAGGAACCAATGCGAACGAGTAAATATTGAAAGCTTCCCAGCTTAGCCAACGATCTACCAACCTGCTCAGAACACTACCAGATCACTACTGACGAAGTACTCCATTAAAGAGGTGGATCACTATATCGACCACTTCATCGTTTATGACTTTGAAGCTATTCTAAAGCCTACCGCTACTCAACACGGTAAAAGCACTGTCTTTACTAACGAGCACATTCCTGTGTCAGTATCAATAGCCGATAGTTTAACTGAGGAGGTATGTTGCTTTGTAAATGATGACCCAAAAGCATTGCTTACGGATATGTTCAAATACATCGCCAATGTATCGGTAAAGATCCAACAGTACAATGTCAATAAGTATAAGGCGCTTCTTAAAAAAATCATCAATGCTCACGGTCTCACGGGTATGGAGATTCCAGACACCCCTCTCGGTAAGGCATACAAGATGTTTGACGTGGATAGTTGGATTGGAGAAGGAAAATATTGAAGTTTCTACGATTTCCATAGCAAAATTGGATTCGGTAAGCAGAGATCAGATTATGGTAAGATCAAGCAGCAGCTTGATCAGGTACCAGTATTTGGCTTCAATTCTGGTCGATACGATATCAACCTGATCAAGAGCGAGTTGTTCGCTGTGATTGGTACCAACAATATCAAATCTGTCATCAAGAACCCCAGCTACATGTGCATAGCAACTTGGAACATGAAGATACTTGATATCAGTAACTACGTTCCGGCTTGCACCAGCTATGGCAAGTACTTGACGACGCATCTCGGCGGATGCAAGTGCGAGGACAAGATTAGCTGTGTTTGTGGGCTTGGTAAGGGTCTTTTCCCGTACGAGTACATTACCAGTTTCAACGTTCTAAACGAGACTCAAGTCCCGCCTAAGTCAGCTTTTGACAGTAAGCTCCGAGGAACAAGCATCAGCGGTGATGAATACGAACGAGTAAAGTGGGTTTGGAAGCACTACGAGATGAAATCAATCAAGGATCTACTCATCTGGTACAATAATCTCGATGTAGTTCCATTCATCAAGGCTATCCAAGCTCAGCGTGAGTTGTTTAAACGTTTTGATCTTGATATGTTTGTCGATGGTGTGTCTCTACCTGGTCTATCGGAGAAAGTCATGTACCAGACTTGCTTCAAAAATCTTCAATACCCCAGCAAGAAGCCTGCTAAATCGTTCAAATTCCCGGTAAAGCGTATGAGCGGATACAAGAGCCAGGACGCTGATGCTAAGCGCGAGTTCAATTTGAGTCTCAATCACCTCAATAAGTTGCTATATCAGCAGAAGTATCTTTGCGGACTGTGCTACAAACAATTGACCGTCGATACTGCTTCTGCCGATAGAATCAACAATAAGCTTGGGCACATTGACGGCAATGTCTTAATTAGTTGTATCGAGTGCAACGTTGCTCGAAAGGATATGTCTCTCGGGGGGTTTCGATACAAGAAACTGCTCGAGTTCAATTCGAACAGATTGGTTTATTCGATTGACAAGGAGGAATCTGAGATATACGGTAAGATGAAGGCCAACATCGCCGGTGGGCCATCCATTATCTTCAATCGCTACGCCAAGCGGAACGAGACAAAGATCCGTGGTGGTAAGCTCTGTAAAAAGATTATCGGTTATGATGCTAACGCTTTGTACCTATGGGCCCTTGGTAATGAGATGCCGTGTGGTCGATTAACTACAGTTGAAGCTTATCCTGGTATCATTGATGACATCAAGGCAGATAAGATATTCGGCTTCCTCGAGTGTGATATTCGTACCCCAGACCACCTAAAAGGCTACTTCAGTGAGATGACCCCCATTTTCAAGAATGTGCTAATCGATTGTACTGATGAGAGTGTCATTGGCAAGCATATGTTTGATTACAACCAGTCTCGCGAAGCAAATCGTTCTAAGCCTGCTCGCAAGTTGATTGGTAGCTACTTTGGTGAAAAGATCCTTATCTATGCACCGCTACTCAAGTGGTACCTTTCTCATGGTATGGAGATCACCAATACATACAGCTTTATCAAGGCCAGCTCCCACAAAGCATTTGCCCCGTTTATGGAAGCTGTGTCAAATGCTCGACGAGAGGGTGATGAGGGGACCTCAGGGGCGCAGTCCCTGGGAATCTCCGACTCCAAGCAACAGCTTGACGCTGATAAGTCAAAATCTATGATTGCTGAGATGATGAAACTTGTAGGCAACAGCGCATTCGGTCGATCTGGCATGGATATGAGCAAGCATAAGGAGGTCAAGTATGAGTCGAACCAGAAGGCAATTGAGGCAAAGATCGAACATTTCACGTTCCATGGTCTGGAGGAACTAAACGATGCTTGTGAAATCACCATGAAGAAGAGACGAATTAAGAACAAGAACCCGATTCATCTATCGATTGCTATCTATCAGCTTGCCAAGCTACGTATGCTCCAGTTCTACTATGACTGCATTGACTACGACTTCGAACGAAGCGATTTCCAGTATCAGGAGATGGATACCGATTCAGCGTATATTGCTTTCAGCTGTAAGAATCCTTTCAAGGATTGCATCAAGCCTGATCTACGCGAACATTTCGAGCAGCACAAGTACGATTGGTTCCCTCGAGACTATAACAACAAAGTAGCTAAGTTTGATCGACACACACCAGGTCTATTCAAGGATGAATGGTCAGGTGATGCCATGGTCTCACTATCGTCCAAGAACTATATTTGCTATCTACCCGACGAATCCTACAAGGTCAAGGTTTCAGCGAAGGGTGTCCAGCAGGGGCGAGGTCGCAACGATGATGTATTGAACCCCCAAGGATTTGAGACCGTTGTTCGGGATCGAATCACACTCCAAGGTACGAACAAAGGATTCACACTATCGAAGGAATCTAAGTCAATCATCACATATACTCAAACGAAAACAGCTCTCAACTACTATTACGACAAGCGCCAAGTTCTCTCGGACGGTATTTCGACTACCCCTCTACAAATTTAAGTACTACAATATATCATGTTTGAGCTACTAAAAAAACTCTATTATGACCCAAAAACAGGATTCATAGGAGCTCAAGCACTTTATCAGAAGGCTCACGAGTTAGATCCTAACATAACACTAAAATATGTAAAGGATTGGTATGCTACCCAATCAGATATTCAACGATTTCAGGAGCAGAAGAAGCGATTTGATGGGTTCAAGATTGCTTCACATAGTCCCAACTCATGGCAGATAGATCTCGCGTTCTGGGACAAGAAACCAATATTGACTGCTATCAACATCAACTCTCGACTCGGTTATGCAAAAGCCTTGTCAAACAAGACTGCATCAACTGTGTTAGCAGCGCTTAAAGCGTTTGTCCGCCTCCATAAGGTGGATATCATTACAAGCGATAATGGCAGCGAGTTCATGAACTCACAGACTCAAGAATTCTTCAAAAGCAAAAAGATTGAGCACTTCAACAACGAGCCTGGTGATCATCGGACGATGGGTAAAATCGAGAGATTCAATCGAACTATAAAGCAGAGACTAACCAAAATGTCTCCGAAGAGGCTCACACAGAAAATTATAGCTGATGTTATCGATAACTACAACAGCACATTTCATCGCTCGATTGGTATGACCCCGAACGAGGCAAGAGGTAAAGTAATGATGGCGGATCTGAACCATAATCAAGCTGAAGCTGATAAGGTCGAAAACGCGTTTGATGTTGGGTCGAATGTACTGTATCGTCTCAAAAAGAAAACATTTGATAAGGAAGCTGCTCACTGGAGCAAGGGTATTTACTCGGTTATCGGCATTGATGGTTATCGGGTTGAGATCCGTTCCAGAAATGGGCATACGCTCTACAAAGCCCCGAACGATTTAAAGATTGTGAAAGCAGATACTACAGATGCTACTATCAACCGTGGCGATATTCTCGAAGCTGAGAAGATATTAGCCCATAAAAAAATGAATAATGGCAAATATAAATACCTAATCCGATGGGTAGTAGGCAGTGAGCCCGACTCATGGAAGCCTCAAGATAACCTACGCTTCATCAATAAAAATAGGAGAAGCAAGCTTGAAGAAGATTATTTATCTCACATAGCCAATATATAGGCTATATATATAGACACCATATTCAATATGGCTTGCCAAGCAACGACCAAGTCCAACAAACCTTGCTCGAGAGATGCTCTACCTTGTGGTTATTGTACTCAGCACTCAAAGGACTACGAGATTGCAATGTATAAGAAAGAACTCAAAAAGATGCATCAGCGAATGAGATTCTACAGCGATAAGGTCAATCAAATCAATCATATGCTCAACGATATCTACAGGCTCGACTATATCAAGTATCATCTTCACCAACTCGACCCCAATCGTCCATATCGTTATGTATGCTCTGATCCGAAATACAGGGATCAGGTCGAAGATCTATTTGGTTTGCCTATAGATGAATGTAAAAACGCGTACGTCAGATTGCTCCAAAGGCGTAATTCGATCGTTCATAAATTTACTATGAAACTTTGGGAGTCGCGGGAAGATATACCTAACATTGAATATAAGCCAAAACTTCGTAAATAATATCGAGTTTGATATATATACTAATCGATATGTTCCCTTCATTCACGAGTCTATCCGATCGCGAGCAGAAGCGGCTCGATCTACTCGAACGCACCAAGCTTCGGATTAAACAGAAAGATGAAGCTCGCCGTATGTATGCTGAAGCTTCATGGGCCACAAACGCCGATAAAACCATCTCCCTCGAGAAGAAATCCGCACCACAGGTGGAGTCGCAGTCGCAGACTGCCGGCTTCGCCTCACGCCTGAGCGACCGCTCAGCACAAGATTCTTCTAATCAAGCTGGAGATGGTGATTTAAAAAAAAACTCTGAAGTAGATGCTACAATCCCTGTAGTTAGCGATACCGCGACAGAAGATAGAACAAACTCTCAGGAAGTCCCTGAAGTTAAAACTGATGGTTGGTCGAAGACCGCCCGGGAGGGACTACACCCGCTCCCTGATAAAACTGAAGAATTCATTGCAAAAAAATGGATCAAGAAACTCTATCAGTCTAATCCAAACTGGATCGCTGTTAAATTTAATCCAATCAAAACCAATAAAACCCAAGATATGAGGCGATATATTGGAAAAATGGAAACCTGTTCAGTCTCAAGACAAATAAGAGGTCAGATTCTAAGTACATTGACTGGGTACTAACCGCAACTGAACTGATGAATATTAGATCCGATGGAGAATCGAACAGTATTGATGAAGTCAGCTTGATGCGCATGGAAGATACCGATACTCCGAATCAATTATACGATATAACTGGTAGTAAGAGGCATAGATTTACTACTTCAACCAAAACGGCTAACAAAATTCATGTTCAACCAACATGGTTTCACGATGCTTCTTCATCGACTACAATAGATGAGGAACAAGCTAAATCAAAGCTCCTATTCATGCTGAAGGCTTACAAGAAGAAACTGATTGGCTCTAACATCGTCATAAGGCCTGTTTTAAAAGATGGAGAAGTTCTAGACAAATACGAACTAATCATCGACTCTAAGGGGGATCTCAATGTTAGAAACCAAGAAACGAATAGGAATAAGCAATCTCGACTATCTGATATCTCTTGGGTATCAACTCTGTCATTGTTTATTGAGACGGTTAAATCACGAGGATTGACTTTTGAATTTGAACCATCACCAGACACTGTTTTAGATAGTGATCCTGACCGGTTCAAATCCACGCAAGGTATTTGGTATAAGGGGAAGCTGTCAGGACCAGATGTCATGGAGGACCTATCTATCCCAGAGACTGAGGCGAAGGCAATTATCAGCGACTACTATATCGAAGCGGGTAAATCAGATAGCATCTTCCCAATTCATTTGCTTACGATCGTAAGTGGGAATCCAAATAAAAAAATACTATTTCGCCGTTATTGATGGCAACCTACGACTTAGAAAACTGGACTGTAAGTCAAATGCACCCCTATCTGGTAAAGCTCATACCAGCTTTTTCAAGCGTATCCAATGGCCAGAAACATTGAATCTATTAATGGATTACCTTAGAGAGATGGAATCGTTTATCCACTCTGATCACGACGTTGATAATGCAACCAAAGAGCCAATAATGAATGCTCTCAAGCTGTATATGTACGTTTTGAAGGCACATGGGGTTAAGATTAAAGAGCCAACCGTTGGCGGTAAGCTCAAGGGTAGGCCTTCGCGGGGCTGGCATCCAGCCTCTCGAAGGTGTTTTACGAAAAACAAATCAAACTTACAACTTGAATGATATTCAAGGTAAAGCAACTCCTTCCGCTTACATATATAGGAAGCTTGGCAGTAAGTTTATCAGACTACCAGATCTCGACAAGAGAACTCTCACGATCGTTCAGCCAAATCGACGAAAAGTAGGCCCAATGCGTGAGATCAGTGATCCTCTACAAGCCATGATCAAGGATCTTGTCTTCAGAAACGATATCAGTCAGGAGAAGTATGATAAGCTATCTATTGATGATAAGAAATTGTTCAAGGAAATCCTTGAGATGACACATTTGCAATACAGCTTCGATCATAATTTAGAGGATCCTCTTGATTCCCTACGCATGGAGTACGATAAGCTCAAGGGCGAGCTGATGCTTGGAAATGATAATCCAACGATTCTAAAGGAGTTGAAGGTGGTCTGTGTCGACATGTATAGCAATCGATTGATTTCAGATTCTGAATTCAAATCAATTATCACGAGACTATTATAAGATGTTGATTCTTGATCCGCGACTGATTTCCAAGAGCGCAGGTATCTATCAGCTCAATGCCGATAGGAACCTCACTGAGCTTAAGCACCTGATGAAGGATCTCATTATCATGGAAGCTCCTCACCAAGATAGACCAACTGTTTGGGCGAGCGACTCAAAGCCATTCTCCACTAAGTAAGTAGCTACGCAAACCGAAGCAGATGGAGGTCGTATGTGGGCATACAAACCAAAGAAAAAAATGAGCAAGCAGCCAAAGACGTTTGCTCTGTAAGCCTCCTGAATATCTGAGCTCCAAGGGAGCGATTTGACCGAAGGCCAAGAGCTCTCACCTCGAGACCAAGGTCTCTTGCTTTCAATCAATAGAATATCTGAGCTTTTTCAAAGCGATTTGACCGAAGGCCAAGAGCTCTCAGCTCGAGACCAAGGTCTCTTGCTTTCAAGCAATAGAATAAAGTTTTTTTGCCCGAAGGGAGCCGCTACGCGGGCTCATTGATGCCCCTTATCCTCTAGAGCGTCTAAACGATTTAGGACAGATTGGAGGCATTTATGGAGTAAGCAAGCGATCTTATCGTAATCGAGAGTTAATTGATACCCAGCCATGTCTCCTGCCTGCTCTATCTGCAAAGAATCATTTTGAATGAATGAGATACACTCGACTGCATATTTGGCTACATCCTGAGCTATATAGCCGAGTTCTTGTCTCTCTGAATTTGGTTTATACGCGAAGAGTTTCGGGCTAACGTTTCGAATGAATGCAGTGGTATCATCGATATCTTGGATATTGGTCTTTAATCGCCTATCACTGGTTGTATAATAGGACCCACTACTTACAAGAATGCTGTTAGAGCTCTTGATTGAAACGGCGACGCTGCTCACTGGACCAACGGTAAATGTCGTACTGGTTTTAGACAATTGACCATAGCCTAAACCACCGCTATCGATAGTTTGGCTCACGGAGCCGGATACATCTAATTGCGCTGCTGGGGAAGTTGTACCGATACCGACCCTTCCAGCGTTCGTTCCTCCCAGAATAGTCATTCGTGTGCTATCGTTTGTCCCCAATCTCAAATCGTTATTGGTCATCGAGCCAAAGAATACAGAATTTGTAGAAGTAGCTGAAGTTGAGTTATGACATTGGATAGCTGCTCTAACGCCTGAGTTGCCATAGAAGTCGGCAAGGAGACTAAAGCTGCCATCGAGCCATGTAGTGTTATCACTTTGTATCGATAACCAACTACTTTGATTAGCCAGAGTCTGATTGATAGTGCCTCCGCTCACTAAATGAACACTATCGGCATTTAGAGTGCCTCCCAACCCCATATCTCCAGATACAACTAAAGTGCCATTGGTTTGTGTAGTTGATGAAATAGCCGCATCAAATAAGACCTTTCCATTAGGAATCCAAAGTGAATAAGCATTGGTAATTGTCATATTAGTTCCTGCTGTAGGAGCATTAGCAATATATACTGTTGCCGCATTTGTAGTAGTTACTGTAGCATTAGAAGCTGCAATAGTTGGTTGAGCAAATGAAGTAATAGTAGCACTTGTCGCTGTCCCAGAAGAAGCTGTGCTTGTGTTTGTATAGGTAGTAGCTAATGAGTTGTATTGAATACCTGAAGTAGTCCAAGATGCAGCTGATACAGCTGTTCCTCCAATAGTAATATTTTTAGCTATACCCAGACCACCACTAAGCACTAAGCCACCAGTGCTTGCTGATGTAGATAATGTGTTATTAGTTAAAGAAACTATTCCAGAAGCATTAATAGTAGTACCATTAAGTGTTCCACCAATACCAATACCACCAGTTACTACTAATGCTCCTGTTGAAGTAGAACTCGAGGCAGTATTATTGGTAAAGGTAACTAACCCAGATGCACCAATAGTAGTTGCGCCAGAAATACCTCCTCCAAGATCTAATGATGTAACAGTGCCCACAGAAGTAATATTACCTTGAGCTGCAGTAGTCAATGTACCAGTAAGGTTAGTAGCTGTTAGATTTCTAATAGTAGCAATATCCTTGTTGGCATCCAAAACAACTGCCTTGGAAGCAGCAGCAGTACCAGGAGTTACGCTATCCAATACTCCAATTTCAGACTCCGAAATAGTAGTGGATCCCATAGTTAGTGTACCACTTGTAGTAATTGAAGTAAGAGTGCCCACAGAAGTAATATTACCTTGAGCTGCAGTAGTCAATGTACCTGTTTAGTCATCTTCATATCATTGCTCGAAACCCTCATCAGGATCTATATGACTATTTACGCGATAAGCTTGAGGGATTTATATCATTTTACGAACCTGATCAACCGCCTAAGGTAGATGCCATCCGACGGACTCCTGGCGATAAGCCAGAGCTTGTCATCATCGACGACTATAGCAACGATAAAAACCTTCAGAAGAATGTATTCAGTCATTACTTTACCAGAGGTCGGCATTTCAAATTGAGTACCATATTCCTAAGCCACAGCTGGTTTGCAACGGACAAGATGATTAGATTGAATACGGAATACGTCGCGCTCCTCCGAGCAAACTCTCGTCGGGATTTGAAGCTACTTATCACCGACTTTAATATACCAGGTCTGACTGAGGAAGGCATCCTTCATTATTATAACCGGGCGATTTCTCGAGGAAAAGGCCAGATGCTCTTTATCGATAGTGTCAAGGGTCAAATACGCTATAACTTTGATACACCAATTAAAATTGGTGAAAATTATTAAATTGATAATATAAGCGATGAGTTCATTCGTTAAGATAGACCAAACCTGTTTGGTTCAAGATGGGCTCAACAGTCGATGGGCCTATACGTTCCCCGGATCAGCGTGCAATTTTCAGGATGTTGAGGCTTCTATCCAGTCGATCAGTCTGTATAACTCGGAATTCAATGTCGATTCGATTCAGTTCGCCAATACATCGTTTCAGATAGAAGTACCTACCGCTGCAACGACAAGTGTCATTAGTGTCAATCTCGTTGATGGATACTATCTTTACACAGACAATAATAGAAATATTCAAACGGCTCTCGTCAATGCTGGGGCCTATCTAATCGACTCTAATGGGAATAATGTTTTCTATTTACAAATCGAAGAGAACAGTACGTATTACGCATGTCAGCTCGATTGCTCGCCAACTCCAACGTCGCTGCCTACCGGTTATACGAGACCAACTACTGGTTTATACTCGAGTGGTGGTACTGGATTGCCTACTACGACTCGTGTTCCTCGCTTGATCATCAATAATGCTGCGTTTGGAAACCTGTTAGGCTTTACGTCGGGGACGTATCCAACTTCGCCTACAACGTCAGCTACGAGTCTGCTAAGCAATACTATTCCCCAGATCTCGCCAACGTCTTCATACGTTGTTAGGTGCGATCTTATCAAGAATGATTTCGTTGCATCAGGTGATATCATGAGTGTATTTGATAAAGGGGATTCAACGATTGGTAAGCAGATTCAATACTTCCCAAGTCATGAGACTTGGTGTCGTACCCACGATGGACCAAGGAGTACTGTAAGCATCAGCATCTGGAATCAGAATGATCAAAGAGTCCATTTCCACGATACGAGCGTTAATATTATGCTACTCCTACGCAAGCGTCGAGCATAAAAAAATGAAGTTTTTTTCAGCCTTTACATTGTGAAAGATCCCCCGTCCTTGTTCTTACGCATAGCACGAAGCTTAGCCATATGAGCCTTTGCTTCAGGAGAGCCCTTTGCGAATTTGGCCTTACGACGCTTGCCAGCTACACCTACACCGAAACGGGTTTTGATACCTCTACGAACACTATGAATCATTTCGTGATGCTCTGGTCGATCAGACTTGCTGACAAGATATTTCTCACCTTCGTCGATTAGATCAGTGATGATTCCTCTTTTCTTAGCATAGCGAAGAGCATTGCCTGCATGTCGTTTTACATCTGAGAAACTGATACGTCCTCCTTCTTCATCGCTCTCATAACCGTCCAATCCTACTCCAGTAAGCGATTTAAGACCAGCTCTGGCTGCAATCCCAGCTTCAGGAGCACCAAATGCAGTAGCAACAGCTGGAACAGCTACGTCAGCTGCCTTCGATAGCAACCCACTATCCTTAGCGAACTTAAATCCAGATTTAATTCCATGCCAAATTTTTGACCAAATAGATCCACCCTGAGCTCGCTTGTAGCCCTTTTTGATTTCATGCTTAGTTATGTGGAGTCGAACTCCACGTCCGGCCTTCTTAGCTTTGAGAGCTTTCTCATGCGATTCAGGATGTAAATAGATCTTAGCTCCTGACCCTTGTAGCTCTGCTGCTGTAAGGGATAGCTTACCAGTATTGGCAGCCTTTCGTAATTTATGGGCGGGAACACCGCTCGAGATGATAAGTTCGATATACATAATTTGTTGATTGGGGACAACGTTTGCGTGGTAGTATAGATTAACTCAGAACTAATCTGCAACAAAAATATTTAAATCTTTGAATTTATTGAATAGATCCATCCGATTGATCTGCTTTGCATATAACCATAGCAGCGACCAAATACCACAATAAGAGCCGTGAGCTGATTGAGTTTGAATCTCGTTGTATTTGCTGATGCCGTATTTCTTCGGTGGCCCTTCTCCCATTGAATCGAAATATTCATGGTTATATACACCTATCCAATGACCTATGTCTTGGCTCGGCTTACGTAGTAGAATCAGGAACGATCCTTTCCTTGGAAGAGGCTTTTTGATCTCGCTTGACTCACAAATGTGGTCAATATGAACATTGAGCTTCTTAGCTAAAGCTATTAGATCGTGATCTGATGATATTGGTTTTACAAGATTCATTTAATTATTTTTCACCAAAGCTATATTGGAGTGTATATAACTGAATCAACTATGTCCGATACTCAGCTCGCTGATCAATTCCTATACCAATCTTCGCTTAAGAGCGATCCGGCCGTTAAGGTCAGCTCTCGAAAGCGTGTGCCGTACGTCATCGATCTAAACCAGGGTTCGTATGCGAATGGTATTATTACGATTGATGCTACAGCTCAGCTTAATGGGGCTGAGGGATTTGCCTGCCTTAGAGATGCCTACGTTGTCATTCCGTACAAGGTGAGTATGAAGAATACTCATGCTTCTACTGCGCTTGCTGCGGCTGCCAACCGACTGAGCGTTGGTCTCAAATGCGGTGTATGGAATGTTATCGATGGTATGTCGCTGGAGCTTAATGGTAAGAGCTTGATTTCGATGAGTGAGTATAAGCTGTTTGCTAACAACCTTCGTGCTCAAGCAGAGACCTCACTCGACTATGTAAATAAGCATGGTGCTGAGGATTTCTTATTCCCCGATAGCTCTGGCTCGTTGTTATTCTCGTCTGCTACAAGCAGCCTGTATGGTGATGGTTATTCGAATACGGCTTCGGATATCACTCCTGCTTTGGGTACGGCTTCTACAGGTGCTGGAGTTCTTGCATCCAACGAAGGCTTCGTAAAGCGTCTTCTATCCAATCCACCTACAGCAGGCAGTCAGAACACTAACGGTTGGGTTAGTATCGCTTCTGGAGCTGCGAACACTATTGCTAACCAGTTTGGGCGAGGGGCCTTCGTCCCCGGTGGAACTGCTGCTGCTGCTATCGCAGGAACGTGGAATTACATGCTCAAGATCAAGTTAGTTGATCTCCACCCGATCTTCAAGGAGCTTGATCTCATGGCTAATCCTCAGATCAAGCTTCGTTTCCGCGTAAATCAGGGATCGGCCGTAATCAACCTTAGCACTACTAAAGCTATGTCGCTTTCATCGACTACGCTTGTTTCTGGTCAATCATGCCCGATCATGGTAGCCTCTTCGGCTGGGTCTGCTCCTAATAGTGGAGTATTTAATGCTACGACCGCAGGTCAGATCTCGGTGGCATGGGGTGCTATTACCAATTCTCTTGAGCCAACCATTGATAGCACCTATTTCCCTTTTACTACTACTCGTCTGTACGTACCATTCCTTGATCTCGAAAATCCTCAAGCTCTGATCAGCAAGCCTAACAAGACTGTCCGATACATGGATTACTATGCGCAATGGTTCTACCAACGCGCAGGTACTGGCGTCAGCTCTACTCAGCTGAACACTGCATTCGATCTACAGCTGTCTGCCAGTCTTAAGAATGCCAAGGTAGTTGCTCTTCTACCGTTTGCTGAGACTTCGTCTGGAAATTTCAATAGCTCTACTATTCAGCAGTTCCAGTCGTGTTTCGATAGTGCCCCTTGGACTGTTCAGCCTGGTTCGTCGATTCGCAACTTTAATGTTCGTATTGGTTCGCAGCAAGTATTTGATATCTCGTATGACTACGATTTCCAGGACTTCATCAATGAGTTCGCTAAGCTTGGATCGATTAATGGTGATCTAACTAAGGAACTATCGAATGGTCTGATCGATTACCAAACCTGGCAGCAAACCAATCGTGTGCTTGTAGCAGACGTATCTCGTCTGACCGAGAAGGATGTTCTACAGAGCATCCAGGTTATGGGAACGAATGCTTCGACACAGGGTTGCAACATGCTTGTACTGGTTGGCTTTGAAAATGAGATGACGTACAATCGATTGACTGGAGAGGTATTCGAATATACCTCTAACTAAGCTATCGTTTGTATGATCCGATAACTATATAATCACCACTCTTCAGCTTAATTCTACGATCATTGCTTTTTACTATGAGGAGTGTTTTTCCTATCCCACGAGCGACTTGCTTAACTTTTAGATTTATCTCAACCTGGGACACAAGTAATTCTAACTCTCCTCTATCTGTTAAACTGTTCAGACTTAAGCCAACGATTGATTCATTATTCCTTAGATCATAAATGGTCATCTTGTAGCTTGTATTCGAATTAATTAATTAAAATTCAAATATTTCCTGCTGGCTATGTATATAGATACAGTCGATAATAATCATGAATTTAGTTTTAAATTTTGGTAAGCATAAATCCAAGACGATTGAAGAAGTGTATGCTTCTGATCCAGGCTACTGTCGTTGGTTGTCGAATCAGAAGATTCTCATTGATTCCGAGCCTGGCATTAGTGATTTTCTCAAAGCTAAATTCATCAACGATGATGGGTCATTCTTAATGACTTGGGGCAAATTCAATGGTCGAACGATCAAACAAATCCAAGCAATCGATTCCAACTACATCGAATGGTTGAAGAAGAATGAATTCGTTAATCAGAAGATGTCTAAGCTGAAGGGTGCTCTTGATGAGCTCGCCTAAGCTGATGGTATTTTTTTCGAAAAAAAATATTCTGGAATTCGGATTAGCTTGAACGAGCTTGTACCCAGGTCAATTCTTCTACGGTTTTCGATCTCCATGAATGACCATGCAAAGATTCAGGCATTGATGTTGTCCACGATTTATGTCTCTTCGTTTGACAATGATGGGCATAGTTCCACCGTTTGCCTGCGTAGCCACAAGGACACGAAATGTCGTGGTGAAGTCTCGCTTTAAAAATGTTCGTCATCATTGCCTCTGCCTTTTCCACGTTTGATACTACTATCGAATGCTTCATACAACGAACTTTTGACGGAGCCTTACTACAAACATTTCCGTTTTTCAATACAAACATACACATTATCTTAGTTATGATGATATTATATACTTTGTAGTTTATTTGTCAGGATTAAACGTCATTTAAAGATTTGCCTCTGAACAGTTGAGCGGTTCCGAAACTATCCTCAGATCCTTTGAGTGCGTCCTTTCGTGCTAAGTTATCGAGAGTTGAAATGATCATTTGATGCGTGTGAGGTTGGTGTTGCTATATGTGGTGCGTGTAGGTGAGGAGGAGACCTCCTTCGCACCAGAAGGTACTTATTGGTTCCATCGTCGAAAATTACCTCCTGTTCCCTCTTTCGCGGAGAACGTTCTACGATTGTTCTCGTTGGTAAATTACGGGGAGAAAAAAAACTGACTGGGTTTTGTGCTGGATCCCACTACTAGTATCCAACCTTGATATTTTTGCCTCCATAAATTCCCTGAAAGTTTCGAATGCGACTTTGAACAAAAAGTAGCACCGCCAATATATTTATTCTTCGCGAGCATTAGTCGTCGAGGTCCAAGTTTGTACAACTTACAACAGTCTACGAACTGGGTAATGAACGCAATCTGCACCAGCTTCTTTTCAAGAAGAACAATGAGTCAGGCCATCGGCACGTTTTGGTCATATCTTCGCGATCTCTTCACTCAATATCTGCCTCCGGAAGACCCGAGCTGTCTAATTTCCTTTTGAGAAGATTGTGGTGCCGAGTTGACTGGGATGATAGGCAAACACGCCGGATGGGACGCCAACGTCCCATAAAACACCTCACTCTCGTTTCGGTTCAGGAAGAAGCAATTCCGAGGCATATCAGACGCCGCAATATTTACAGGGACGACCCAATTCATGACCCCCTGCACCGAACGAGCCCCTCGTGCCTCAGCAAACTCTGAGAAAATAGCCAACTTGCTAGCGTGAGGTCTGCCAAAACTCCGCGTTCTCTGGTCAATAAAAATAATAAGGTCGTCCGTGTCAGCATCCCTCAGAGCTAAGAAAATGTCGATTCCGCTACAGCAAAAGGCTGCAAAACGAATGCGTTGTTTGATTGGCAGTGCGCTTAGAGAAGTCAAAACGTAGCGGTTTCAGATTGTCGTGTAGCATTCCCTTATCGATTTCCCTCGAGCATTTCCCACCAACCGCAAGTACTCGACGGCCCACCGCAGAACTCCACCAAGAGACAGCAAATCGCGACAAATTTGAGGATCTTCAGGCAACTCAGCATACCCTGTATTCGGCTCCACCATACTGAACATTTGATCCATGCTCAGGAGAGTCACGGAAAGCCGCACTGAAAACGACGAGTCAGCCAACGATTGCCATTCTGTCGCGGCAAACATGGGCAACACAATCAGCTCTGCCGACGACTGGCTGCACAGGAAGTTGCCAACAATTTCCACAAGACTTTTGCCATGGTCCTTCTCGATTGATTGACACTTATCAATCCCGAGAAAGAGGTAGTGTGGTGTGTCTTGGTCGCGAGCGTTAAGCTTCAGCTTAATAGCGTTCACGGCTGTCGTAATTATCAATTGTTTTCCATTGGCCGGCATCCGCGACTGGAACCACTCGACAAACGAAAGCGAGCAATTGTGATGCAGAAAAACTCGGTACAGTAGTCGCCACGCGAGTGAAGCCTCAGTCGTCATCAATTTATCAGCTGGATTGGGGCCAAACTCATCGTAGAACGGGACAATTACACTGGTAATGCACTGCTCATCCAACCCCATGTAGTCCCGCAGTATCATGCCGCCTTCTTCCAGCATTCGGGTTTTGCCCATACCAGAGATACCCGAACAAATGGGGATTTGGTTGTAAATATGACTCCGGGTGTTGTTTTTGGCACTTCGGAAAATCTTCGATTCCGTTTGTTGAGGGAGAAGGCTTCTTTATCGCCTTCTCCCTCCCAACCAAACGGAATCGAAGATTTTCCTCTTTCAACACGCCAGGGTTTGTTAAGACCGTGTCCTTATCGGTCATTTCACCTACCAAGAACGCGAGGAGCTCTTTAGCCAAGGCAGGTCCTGCCAACCTACTCCAAAGGGCTACGTCAACCCGCTTCGGAGCCACCACCAGCACGTGAACTTGCCCAGATTTTGGTTGCCGAAGTATTCAGCCTCATTGATCCATAGCGAGGCCTTCATCTGCTCGAATCCAATTGGGTTTCCTTGCTGATCCAGCTTCACTGCTGCCAAGCCACGTCCACTCAACAACGAGTCTTTCCTTTTCGTAAGAAAGAGCCGCAGATCGCGCGCAAGGCACTCGAAATCTTCATTTTTCACGTGGATCGCGTCCTTCAACGCTGCCACCGTCTCACTCTCGCCAATGTCGACACATACGACGTTCCTGTCGGAAAGCTTTGCACAAGTCAGCCTCACCATCTTCTGTCGAAGCTGCAAATTCTGGAATGAGAGGCTGGTAAGGTTACCCTGGTTGTTAATATCTGTCTCCGCCGACACCTGGCTACCTGAGGTAGCCACCTTCAGCGCCAGTGAACCTCCACTGCCAAAGCTGCCAGAATTTGAACACTAAAAACTCAGCCGGGTCGAGACCACGAAAGTGCTGATCAATGAAGAACCTTAGTCGTCATGAAGTTTTCCGATTGAGATCGGACTCCCAATGCAACAAAAGACCCCCCCCCCCACACACACACACACCACCACCACCACCACCACCACTCTTACAATAAGATAGTCTTCCGATTGCACCTATGAAATACATTGCAGACTGCGGCGTTCGTTGCTCGCCGTTTTCCGACACCTGCTGCAGACAAATGTCGGAGACCCCGGGACACGCACGTGCACAGTAGCGGACCGCGAGGTCCAAAGGATGTCGCATCGGTGCCGGTGTTCGCGCCTCGACAATGCATGCTATAGGGCATATAACTCGCAGTGCGCTCCATCAGCCCGTACTCACCGGACTGTGTCAAGCTCCGGATCCAAGTGCTCCATTCGAGCAGTATCCGCTAGGAAAGCCGGTCACCGGACCAGCTCCGAAGTTGAACACGCTGCATCACTCGATCAATTTGATGCGAGCCTTCCGCCGACCAGCCCTCGCTATGATATGAATGGCGCTCGTGCATGTAACTTATTCGATGCTTGGAATGCAGCAAATTGCAGTGGCAATTGTTGCCGTAGACACTGCCCAAATGTGCGGTTGACCCGAGTGCGTGTTGCACGAAGCTCGGCACCTGATTAGTGTAGGTTCCATAAAAGCTGCCTAAATATCATACCTACCCCGCCCGCTACACCATAGTCAATCCCAGTCAATAATAGCCCGGGGGCCGTCCCGCTACTCTAGCCCGCGGGTGAGTGACGCGCCAGACGCGATCTTGCCTCAAATCGCTGCATACAAACTCCAAGATAACGCTTTCTCTCATTCCACCATTCTGGAAGCAGGTCATTTCTGGATCCGCCGGACCAAGGACTCACTTAACCACCCTCTTCCAGCCTCCGCTTCCGCCCCCACCCCACCGCCTCCAGGATGAAGTTCCACACCAAGGAGGTGCTCAATGACACGTGGACGCAGTTCCTGGCGCTGTGTCTGCTGCTCATGCTGGCCGTCGACTCGCTCAAGTGCGTGGCAATCTCTCTCTAACTCTCTCTAACCGTCTCTAACCACGAGCGTATACTTTCTCTATCCATGCGTATACTAACTATACATCTTTCTCTATCCATCGTTGCAGCCCCATCAAGGCCGTGAGCAAGTTCCTGGGCGTGCCGTCGTACTACTGGGGCCTGCTGGCCGTGGGCATGATGCTCGTGGTGCTGTTCCACAACCTGGCCGACGTCATCTACCGCTCCACGCGCGTCTTCCTCAACAGCATCCTCAGCATCTCGTTCAAGAGCGTGGACCTCATCGGCCTGGACAACGTCCCGACCGAGGGCCCCGTCATCTTCACGGGCAACCACGCCAACCAGTTCGTGGACGGCCTCGTCGTCATGATGACGAGTCCGCGCAAGGTGGGCTTCATGATCGCCGAGAAGTCGTGGCACCTGCCGGTCGTGGGCCACCTGGCCCGCATCATGGGCTGCATCCCCGTCGTGCGGCCGCAGGACTCGGTGGCCTCGGGCGTGGGCCACGTCAAGCTGGCCAGCGAGGATGCCGTCACGCCCGCCAGCTCGGCCAGCGGCGGGGCCAGCAGCGGCAAGCCCCAGTGGCTCGTCAAGGGCGAGGGCACGAGCTTCACCAAGCAGCTGACACCGGGCGACCAGATCCGCTACCAGGGCAAGAGCGTGCAGGACTCAGGATCGCCCGTCAAGGTCGTGCAGGTGCTGGACGAAGCGCAGCTGCTGCTGAGTGAGCCGCTGAAGGACGGAGCGGGGAAGCTCGTGCTGGAGAACGCCCCATTCGGCATCTTGAAGCGTGTGGACCAATCCGTGACGTTTGCCAAGGTGTACACGCACTTGAAGCGCGGCAACTGCATCGGTATCTTCCCCGAGGGAGGATCGCACGACCGCACGGACCTGCTGCCGCTCAAGGCCGGTGTTGCCATCATGGCGCTCGGTGTCAAGGACAAGTACAACATCAACGTGCCGGTGGTGCCCGTGGGGCTCAACTACTTCCGTGGCCACCGCTTCCGTGGACGCGTGACGGTGGAGTTCGGCACGCCGATTACCGTGGACCAGGCGCTAATGGAGAAGTACGAGGAGGACAAGCGCGTCGCTTGCAACACCTTCTTGCACCGCGTGGAGGAGAGCATGCGCTCGGTGATTGTGACTACACCAAGCTACGGCGTCATGCAGGAGGTGCTCACTGCGCGTCGTCTGTTCCAGCGCTCGGGTGTGCGTCTGTCGGCGAAGGAAACGCAGGACCTCAACCGCCGCTTCGCCGAGGGCTACAAGGTGTTGCAGGATGTCCCCCAGGCGCACGAAGACCTCGCTGCTCTGCAGCACAAGCTGGATACGTACTACAAGACGCTGCAGAAGATGGGTCTCAAGGACCACCAGGTTCCTTACATCCCTTGGTGGACTATTCACGACGTGCTCGGCTCGGCGCTTTACGGCACGCTGATTCTGCTTCTGGCGTCGATCCCGTCCTTCATTCTGAACGCGCCCGTGGGCATTTTGGCTCGCTACGTGGCCAACACGGCGCAGAAGAAGGCGCTCGAGGGCTCCAAGGTCAAGGTGATGGCGCGCGACGTCGTTCTGAGCAAGAAGATTCAGTTTTCGATCGTGGCTGTGCCGCTGCTGTGGTTCATGTACCTCGCTGCTGCTGTGGCCTTCACGGACTGGTACTGGTCGTCGATTGCGCTGCTCATGGTCTCGTTCCCGCTGTTCTCCTTCTTCGGCGTGCGCTCTGTTGAGGCTGGAATGATCGAGTTGAAGACCGTGCGCCCGCTGTTCTACCGTCTCCTGCCCACGTACAAGGCGACGCAGGATGAGCTCCCGCGTCAGCGTGCTGAGCTGCAGAAGGAGGTTCGCGAGTTCGTCAGGAAGTACGCGCCGTTCCTGGGCAAGCTGGCCGAGCCGAAGAAGCTGGACTGGAGCGAGTACATGCACGAGCGCTCGTTGGTGGCTGCTGAAAAGGCCGAGCTGCAGGCCGAGTCGGCCCCGCCGCCGCCTCCGGCGCACGAAGAGGAAAACGACGAAGAGCCCCGCGAGGGTGAGGCCGAGGATCAGATGGGCTCCCCCGTGCCCACGATCACAAAGTTCCACGACATCAGCATCCTCGGCAAGTCCGAGAAGTCGGTAGCAGACTTGGCGGGCCTTGAACGCTCCATGTCGTGCCCGCCCGGATACCAGGAGCTGGCTGAGGAGGTGGCCAGGCAACGTCAGGGATCCGCCTTCAGCTAGATTGTTCAAAGAGAAGGGTGCGCTTGGTAGTCGTCGCGCCATAGTCAAGTATCGCCGCTCTTCATCCCCTTTAGCTTTTTGTGTTGCTCAAGGTGAAGACACGAACGGTTCCAACCCATAAATTTCATGAAGCGATACATATTCATTCACGTCTTCCCTGTCTACTAACTCATGCACTGCACGACACCTGCAAAACTATCAACGCCTCCAGCTTACTTGTGGAAGATGGATCCGCGGCGCAGCGCGGCCACAGCCTCCTCGCGGTCCTTGTCACTCAGCAGGTTGAGCACCTCCAGGATGCCGGCCACAGCGGCCTTGGGGTCCTTGCGACCGATCTCCACGACCTGCGAGGCCATCTGCTCCTGGCGGAGCTCGGCCACGCGCGAAGCGATCCACTCCTTGTCGCTCGACAGCCACACGAGCACGTCCGAGTCGCCGTGCGACCAGAGCTCGGACACCGACACGTTCTGCTGACGCGGCACACGGCCGCCGTTCACGGCCTCCGTGAACCAGCCCTTGATCACCTGCTCCGAACCCAAGAAGGTCGTCGCGCGCGGGCCGCCGGCGCTGGCAGCCACCACCTGGCGGCGTAGCGTGAACTCGGCGAGTTGACGCTTGAGGCGCCAGTAGAAGAACTTGCGCGAGTTCGACCAGGGCACAACCTGGCGGATGCAGCCCACGGACTTCATGCGGCCAGGCGTGTCGTGCAGGTCGCCGAACTCCGTGGCCACCTGCACGTAGATCGGCAGCAGCGTTTCCTCGCGGGTCTTGATCTCGGCCGCGATCTTGGCGCCCTCGGTTTCCTTCTCCTCGGGCGACAGCTCGGCAAGACGCGCGGTGAGCTGCTTGAGCTTGTCGTCGAGACGGTGCATGGTCTGCAGGAGCTGCTTCTTGCGGTACTTGATCTCAATGAGACCGGCCGGCTCGAGCACACCACCGCGGCCCTGAGGGTCGGCGTACATCTCCATGATGCCCTCGTTGATGGTGGGGTCCACCACGGCCCACGCGCCACCACGCAGCTCGGCGAACGGCGGGATGTACACGAACACGGGCTGCTCGTAGTTGACGAGGCCGTCCACGATGGCAGCGCCGAACTTGAGCACCTCGTCGAACATATCGCGCTGGCCGCCGGAGAAACCACGCCAGTTGGCCAGGATGAACAGCGGCAGGTCCTCGCCCTTGAAGTCCTTGATGGCAGTCGCCGTCTTGTGGGCCGAGTCGGGGAACCACACCTGGCCAGCCTGCTGCATCAGGTTCTCCTGCGAGGCAGGCGCCGCCGGGTCGGCAGGGATGACCTTCTCGGACGTGCGCACCTCCGTGACGACCACACCGCACGGGATGCCACCAAGGCGACCGCGGCCGACGATCACGCTCTTGGCCCAGCCGTCAAGCGTCTCGCGGAACGAGTCCTTGTCCATGAGGCCCGATACCCACTTGCCCGTGGCCTCGTCGACCTTACCAGCCAGCAGCGCTCGCGGGTCGTACTGCGTGCTCTTGTCGGCAGGGCAGAAGTCCACCGTGCGCTCGATCTCGTCCACGCCCGTCAGGTCGCGGATCGGCAGCGGGCCGCGGCGAACCGCCGGCACGAAGGCCAGCCACTCGAGGATCGAGTAGATGCCCGAAAGGTGGTTCTTGGCCGTCAGGTGCGTCACACCGTTCGTGTGCATGATCTTCACGCCACCCAGCTGGTCGTTCGAGGTGTACACCTCCTTGCCCATGAGCTTGTTCAGCGCCTGGTAACCGGTCAGGATGATCGGCGAGTGCGTGGCGTTCTGCACCGTACGGTGACCCAGACGCACCAGGTAGGCACCGATACCGACACTGCGGCCGCAGGCGTACGTCAGCGTGAACACGTCCTGGTAGGCGCGCGAAGTCTCACCAGCAATGGTACCACTGCCGCGCAGGCACTCGACACCGAGGTCGATCTCGCGGCCCACGATGTCGTTCAGCACGTAGCGCTCCTCGCCCGTGCTGGTGACCAGCAGCTCGGCGTTCACAGAGCCCTCGGCCGAGGCAACCTTGTAGTCCTCGGGGGTCAGGTACAGGTACTCGAAGCCCTTGGTCGGGTTGGTCTCGTCCTTCCAGCACACCTTGTACAGGGCCTTGATGGACTCGGCCATGCCGATGCGGGCACCAGCGTTGGCCGAGAAGAAGAAGCGCGGGATGCCCTTCGAGCGAGCCAGCTTCGACGCGAGGTCGAACAGCGTGTCCTCTCGGGTACCGAAGGAACCGGCCTTGAACGTGATGTCGTTGGCGATGATGATGATCTCACGTCCATCCGGGAACTCCGGCGTGTACAGCGTCAGCAGCCACGCCACCATACCGATGTCGTTCTGGCCACGCGGGCGCGTCGTCCCCGTCAGAGACTTGCCCGTGGCGTCCAGGATCAGCTCGCGCGTCTCCATCAGCAGGTTCGGGATGGTGATCTTGGCACCGCCACCGCGCGTACGCTGCTGCACGTATTTACGCCACTGGCGCAGCAGGTTGTACTCGATTAGCTCCAGGAAGTCGTACACGTACACCGTGTTCGACATGGCCTTGGCCATCTGACGCTTCTTGTCGAACGGGAACACCACCGGGTATGGCGTCGTCACCGGCATGCCGTCAAGCTCGCCGTGGGTCTCGTCGCCGATGGAGGTGAAGATAGGCTCGTCGTGGCCAGCGGCCTCGACGTACGCCTGCACGCGGACCACGTAGCCCGTGGGGTTCTCAGCCACAAGACGCACAGGGATGGCCGGGGCCTCGCTGTTGAAGCGCGCAATGATCTTGAGCTCCACCGTCGACACGCGCAGCTGCTCCAGACGCTCGGCGTAGCGGTAGGCCAGAATGCGGATCACACCCTCGAGGTACTGCGGGTCCACGATAGCCTGGGGCAGGATGTTCAGGTACACGTGGTTGTTCTTGGTCGGCAGCGACGACTTCTTGACCAGAGGGTTGGCAAGGTTCACCTCCAGGGCATTCAGAGCGTCAACCAGCGAGCGCTCGGGGCCCGGGTAGGCGTCGTACTGCGAGCGAGAGCCGCTGCCATCATGGTCCAGCTGACGCACCACAGCGCGCACGAAGATGCGCTGGAAGCGGTCGGTCACGATGTGCGAGTCGGACTCCTTCATCTTGGCCAGGTACAGGTGAACGTTCTTGTTCTCCGACGTCAGCGGCGTGACGCTGTAGTTCTGGAGGCGACGCAGCTCCAGCTTGTAGGCCAGAGGCGCCTCCATGTGGCGCAGGATCTTGTCCTCGCTGTAGTTCAGGCGGCCGGGGAACGTGTAGATGTTCGGGTACAGCGCCATGTCGGCGTTGTGCACCGAGACGTTCTCGATGTTCTGCGGGCGGACCGAGAACGTCACACGACGGATGTTGTGCGCACGCAGGTCCTGGTCCACCGTCTTGAGATAAGCCTCAGCCTGCTCCAGAAGCACGGCCTCCTCCGTGTGCTCGTCCACAAGAATGACGTGCAGCACGTTCACGAGCGGGTCCTTGCGCACCGACAGCGTCTTCTTGGCCAGCGGGAACAGGGTCATGACGTCCGTGAACGCCTTCTGGAAAGTCTCCAGGTTGGCAAGACGGATGATGGCACCGTGACGCTCGAAGTCCGCCGAGATCTTCTGGTAGCTCTCGACCGGCTTGGCCAGCGGCTTCTCCACAACCTCCTCCTGGTCCTCGCTGCTTTCCTCCGAGTTGTGCTCACCCAGGTCCAGCGAGCTGGCAGAGCTGTTGCGACGCAGCAGACTCGCCAGGTCGTCGTAACTCTCGGCAGGGGCGACGCCGACCGCAAGCGCGTCGACGACAGGCGACTTGAACTGGAACGTCTTGGCGAAGATGTCGTTGAAGCTCATGGTCTCCATCGACTCGATCAGGTACGAGCGGTACACGCGCAGAGCGTACAGCTCCAGAGCGAGCTCGCGGATCTTCTCGTCCTCGTGGTCAAGGAGCGAGATGAGCAGGTCGAACAGCGGCTGCGACTGGTCCAGCAAGTTGTCGCACGCGGCAGCAAGGTCGGTCGACGAGCCGTCGGCGATGTAATCCTTGAGCACCTTCTCGACCTGGCTGAGGCGGTCGCGGTAGGACGGCATCTTGTTGTCGATCAGGAGCTGACGGGCCTCGAGGGCCACCAGCGAGTACTGGTTCTCCTTGAACGTCGCGAGCTTCTCGAGGAGCGGCACAAAGGCGGCAGTCTTCATCGACTTGCGAGGAGCCACGGCGTTGCCGCGCGCCATCTGGGCCAGGAGCTGCAGCAGCAGCTTGTTCTTGGACTCCAGAGCCTTGTGAGAGCGAGCGATGGCAAACACCTTATTGAGGTCGGCCGAGTTCTGCTGACGCAGGGCCATCACCACATCCTCGATGTTGTGCGAGTTGGCGTACACAGTCTCCACCGTGAAGTACTCGTTGATCAGCTCAGTCAGCACAGTCTCCTCGCCGGAGATCAGGCCGTGCTTGTACTTGGTGGCAATGTCACGAAGCGTCAGCACGGAGGCCTCGAAGTCCGAGCGCTGACGGTCCGTCGCGAGCGTCTTCTTGTACTCGTCCAGGATCTCAACCACCTCGGCGACGTTGAACTCGTGAGCAGCCGTGGGCTCCTCCGACACCGACTTTTTGAAGGTCTGGAGCTTGTCCGTGATCTTGGCGAACACATCGAGCGGGATGCGGCCGGCCAGCGACGACATGGCCTCCTTGATCTCCTCCACGGGCAGGAGCGGCTCGTTGAGCGCCTGGAACAGGTCGACCAGCGCCTTCTGCGTGAGGTCCTCCGGGGCAAAGTAACCCTGCAGCACGCTCTTGAGGACGGCCAGCGACTTGCGCATCTTGTGGACCGACTTGGTGCTGTTTCCGCTCGCGTTCTCGGCCGACGGGAGCTTGCCCATGTACACGTCCGACTTCTTGACGCACGACGGGTCATCGAGCTCCATGGTGGCAATGCAGTCACCAGGGGCCAGAACGGCGCCCTCGGACTTGAGCAGACGGATGACACCGGCCTCCGGGGTCAGCAGCGGCATGTACATCTTCATGACCTCGATCTCAGCGTACGGCATGCCGCGACGCAGGCTGGCGCCATCGTCCACGAGGTAGCGAGCGAGCTTACCGGCCGTGTTGGTCACCAGGCGCGTGGGGTCGTACTCCTTGGTGAACACACACGTGTGGCTGTCCACCACAAGACGCAGGCCCTGAGCCTCCTTGGTAGCGTACGCGACGTGCGACTTGCCGTTCAGCAGCACAAGGAAGCCGCCGTCCGACAGCGTGCGGATCTCCACCTGCACGTACGAGTCGTTGCAGAAGAGTGTGAACTGGATGGGGCCGCTGCGGCACGCCTTGATGTTGTACTTGATGCCCTCGTAGATGAGCTCGAGCGACTCCTGCTGGGACAGGAACTGGTTGTGGGGGAGCTGGCCGCGCTCGATCTGGCTCACGTACTCCTCCTGGAGCGTGTTGGACGCCTGGTACGCGCAGCACGTGGCGCCGACGAGCACCACCATGAGCGGGTCAGGGCGGCCCTGCAGACGCACCTCGTTGTGGTGCGAGATACGCTCGTCCAGCCACGACGTGGAGATGCGGTTGTGTTTGAAATCGTCGGACTCCATCATGTTGACGATGTACTCGACGGTGGTGTGGATGTCACCACGGATGGACAGCTCCTTGAGCGCGAGGATCATGTTCTTGCGGGCCTTCTCACGCGTGGGGCTCCACGAGAACAGGTGACCAATCTGCGAGTCAGCGAACTCGTGTACCTGGCCGGACGAGTCCACCGAGAAGTAGCCCCACACGTCGGGGGTGCTGCGGAAGTTGAGCTCCTGGATGGCACCGCTCGTGGGCTGGAAGCCGGCGTTCGGGTCCTCAGCCGTGATACGCGCGGCAATGACGTGGCCATGCGGGGGCTTCTGCTTCTCCGTGTCGAAGTCGATGGGGGTCGTCTCGAACGCATCCTTGTTGTACAGACGACGCACGTCGGGGATGCAGTGCAGCGGGATGCCCATGGCTACCTGCAGCTGCGCGGCCGGCAGGTTCACGTGGGTGATCATCTCCGTGACGGGGTGCTCCACCTGCAGACGCGGGTTGAGCTCGAGGAAGAAGAAGGCGTTGCCCTTGTCCTCGGGCAGCTCGCTGAAGAGGTACTCGACGGTACCGGCGTTCACGTACTCGACCTCCTTGGCGAGGCGCGTGGCGGCGCGCATCATCTGCTCCCAGACCTCCTCGGTGGGGGCGAGCACGGGGCCCTCCTCGACGATCTTCTGGTGGCGGCGCTGCACGGAGCAGTCGCGGCCGCTGAGCGCGATGGCGTTGCCGTACGTGTCGGCCAGCAGCTGCACCTCGAGGTGGCGCGACTTGGGCGCAAGCTTCATGACGAAGATGGGGGAGCCGGGGATCTCGCCGCGCACGGCCTCCCAGGCGCTGAGCACCTTGTCCTCCTCGTGCACCATGCGGATGCCCTTGCCGCCGCCGCCCTCGCTGGCCTTGATCATGACGGGGAAGCCGATGCGCTTGCACTCCTCGAGGCAGTGCTCGCCGTCGCGCAGCATGGCGGCGTTGTAGATCTCGTCGGGGATGCCGTCGTGGGCCTTGTAGTCGACCTCCATGCCGTCGCCGTTCCAGGCGATCGTGGGCACCTTGGCGCTCTGCGCGATGATGGTGGAGCCGATCTTGTCGCCGAGCGCGCGCATGGGCTTGCCGGGCGGGCCGATGAAGATGATCTTGCGCTCGGTCTGCGCGAGCGTGTCGGGCAGCGTGGGGTTCTCGCTGGCGTGGCCCCAGCCGGCCCAGACGGCGTCCACGTTGAAGCGCTCGGCGATCTCGATGATGAGCGCCACGTTGGCGTAGTTGTGGTTGTTGGAGCCGCCGGGCACCTCCACGACGTGCTCGGCCATGCGGATGTACTCGGCGTTGGCCTTAAGGTCCTCGGGCGTGGCCATGACCACGAACGTCACGACGTGCTCGTCCGCGAACATCTCGTAGCTCCAGCTGCGGATGCTGCGGATGGCCTTGACGGCCGAGATGCCGTTGTTGGCGATCAGCACGGACGTGATGGGGCGCGAGCCCTTCTGCAGCCGCACGTACTCCTCCATGCTGCTGTAGCTCAGCGGGTTGCTGTCGCTGCGCGGCGCGGCGTCGCCGGCAGCAGCGACCTCGGCGGCGGGGGGCGCTTCCTGGGCCACCATGTCTTGCGTCTCGGGCGTCGTCTCCCCTGCGGCTCCAGTTGTGGAATGGTCGGCCATGAGGGCTGCTTGCTGGTTGCTTCGTTCTTGGCGATATGCCCGCCTATCAATTTGCGGTGTGCATTCCAGCTCGCTCATTAAGTTGCGTCACTGCGACAAAGTTGCCATAACGTTGCGGCAAGCGATGACGCGTCGATCCACGCAACGTAAGGGGTGCCCCTACGTCACTGGCGAGCGCCCGCGTCACCGGGGGGGTAGGGTATGACGTCGCTTCTCTCGGGTTCTACGGCGCTTCGACTGACGTCACCGCAATGACGTCAGCCATTTACAACCAATGAGCGCGATGAATGAAGTTTCGACCAATCATTTGCTGGCTTATTTTTAGAGCATGGGTACATATAGAACACGGCTACGGAAATGGATACATACATACAACCCCCAGAATCGGAGTGCCGCTCTCGGAGCTCACATGGGCTGACCTCCTTGCTGGAAGCGCTGCTGGTTGTTGAAGCGCTGCTGGTTGTAGCGCTGCTGTCGCCATTCAAGCTGTTGGAGTTGCTGGAGCCACTGCGCTTCATCAGACTGAGGCTGTGGCTGAGTGGCTCTCTGACGTCTCCAGATAAGCTGGAACTGCTGGAACTGTAGGAACTCTTGGTATTGCTGCATTTGTGATGGCACTGGCTGCTGCAGTTGCAGCGATACTGGCCCGGGTGCAGGTTGCTGGTGGTGCTGTGTATGCTGAGTGGCGTCGGTGAACAAAGTTGCCGTCTGTTACTGAGACTGCGATGAGGGCCTCTTCGGCTGAGATGTTGGCGCCGCGGGTTCAGCAGGCTCGAGCTGCGGGTTCGGCTCCGCTTGTTTCTCTCGTGGGTTTGGCTTCTGCGGTCAGTGTTTCCACGGACAATATCTGCGCGCAGCTCTTTAAACTCGGCTCTCAGCGAATCCATGAGCGTCTCGCTCGACGCTTTGATAGTGGCCTTCACTTCTGCCTTAGCATCGTCAAGCATCTTCTGGGTAGAGGCCTTGATTTCGTCGAGAAGTTCTTCGCGCGGTGAGGTTGATCGAGGTGTAGTCTGTGATTCTGGGACAGGGTACTTCATTTCGAGCTCTGTGCTGTCAGCGTTGGGCACTGCCTCGGAGGTCGGATCGCTTTCGATGGTCGGCTCGGCGTCGGGCTGTGAATCATCGATGGAGAGTACCTGGATGCGCGAAGATTGAGATAACGCAAGGGCGTTGACAGGGCTGTTCTCGTCCTCCGTATCGTGGTACAGCTCTGGGTCTTGAGTCAGCTCTTCCTCGTCTGAGATGTGGGTTTCCTCACCCTCTGAGCTCTCGTCCTTCTCGAGATCGATTACCTCCTGGGACTCTGTGAACGTTATTGTTGGCGATTTGGACGAAGGGTGCTCAACGTACTCGTTGGCGATTTTCTCAGCCAACTCGACCTGGAACTTCTCGCTGGCGATGACGCTCTCATAGTTAGGCCTTCTCTCTGTACGCCATTTGAGACGGTAGTGAGCGAGAGCGTCCATGAAAGTCGCCACCAAGTTCCCGAAGACGTGCTTCCACCACATCGCCTTGTACCTCACGAACTCCTCAATCATGATCTTCTTCACAGGAGCCCAGTGCATCTTGTAATAGAACAGTTCTTTGAGGTCGCGCGGTTTGTCACCGGGAAATCTGGCACCGATGGCAAGCTTCGCCTTTACCAGCCTGGTGTAGATCGTCGCTTCCAAGTCCATGGCCCCTCGGTCAGTTAAGAACCCACGGATCGTCCCGAGGCAGACCATTGGCACGGCTGTCAACGAAGCGTAGCCAGGATCCTTGGAGCGCTTGCCTTTCTTCCACAGAGTCTCGACCCGGTATCTGCCATCCTCCGGTGAGCTGCCGAGTTTTCCGATTCGAGTATTGAACGCGAGGTCTTGCCCATCCTCTGGTGGTGTGAGGACGACCACGTCTTGAATCACGGCGAGTGGCTCGTTGTAGCGAATGCAGTACACCAGTGCCGTCGTCTCCATCTTGGTAAGTTTTTCCTCGTGGTGGTCGGTGAAGACGCACTCAGCGATGAATCCGGCGGTTGCTCGCATGAATATCACGCGAATGTGCTTCGGTATCGACAGTGCGAGGTCCGACGCCGCGAGCAGAGCTAGCTCAACTCTCCACGCTTGATCTCCTTCTTCGGTTAGACGGTGGCTCATCTTGGAGGAGGGAGGAGACGCGGGGAGGAGGGATGTGTGCGATGCCGTGCAAAACGTGAAATGAAGCAGCAGACCCAAGCTGTTGTTTGTTCACTAAGTAGTTTTGCATCAGGCGGATTTCATACAAACCTTATATGGTGAGTACATTGGCGATCTTAATGATCTACCTACCTTTATAGGCTGCCTAACACTTCATTCGTCATTCAAGCTTTCGCTGCCAGGTTTCTTGAGTCCACCACCAATGCCTCAATGGTCGATAGAAGCGTCAACTACTCAATCGGCACAGACTGCTTCTATGAAAGTGAACACAGATTTCTGTTTCACTGGAACAACTTCGATCGATATTACAGTATCATGGTACTGTGCAAGGATGATATCAAGATGATGAAGTGTACCGCCACCTTCATGGGGCACGACGCTTGCGAGGATTTGGCGGCCCGGAGTCTGGCTGGTAAGGTTGCTGCTGCTGCTGCTGCTGCAGTGGGCAAACCTAAGTTGGTCGTGTTTGCCTTGAGTAGGGTTGGTAGTTTTGGTTGTTCAGGAAGTCCAGGAAGTCTTGAAAGGTGAGTACAGGCTGCCCGGACGGGAGGAGCTCTTGCTCTGCGTACTGCGCCAGCGGCACTGGAGGCCCTGGCTGCGTGGAGGGGCTTGCAAGCGGTACTGGTCGGGTCGGGCTCCAACTGCGGCTGCGTGTTGGGCTGCGATGATGGCACCTCTCGCCCTCTTATCTCGGTGCGCACGCATTCAATCACTGCGGCATGATGTCTTGCGATTTCGGCTTTGATCTCAATCATGAACTCAGCGTTGGCCGCCTGGATCTCTTCAAGTGCTTTTGCATTGAGCGACTTGATATCCTCTGCAAACGACTGCATCATTGTGCCCACCGCGGCTTGAAGCTTCTCGATTTCATCTTTGACCTCAGCCTTGAACTCTGCAACCGATGCCTTCATCTCTTCAACTGATTGCGTGTAGACAGCTTTGGTCGCGATAGCTGCTTGCTCGTAGGCGGCAAGTGCTTGGTCGACATCAGCTTTGACTTGTCTGGCAGTCATGGCTGCAGCACGATCATCTACTGATGTCTCGGACGCTGGTTCGGGGCCGCTGAGCTCGTCGACATCGCTGTTGCCGACGGCTACAGCATCGTCAGCGTAGCTCACCAGCACTCGGCGGGCGCTCTCTGCGGCAGACAAGCTCGATTGGGTTCGCTGGGCCTTCGTGGTGCGGACGCCAGTCTTGGTTGGCATCGGGTCTTGGTGAGATGTGAGCACCAAAGAGCGGAACGAAAAGTGAGGGCTCTTAGCAAGAGCCTCTTGCAGCAAGACTGGCGTCCAATATGCATCATGGGCAAAGCAGCTAATAAGCAGAGATCACTACAGTAATTTCATTATAAGGCCGCAAAACTATCGACATGAAGTATGCCATCGAGCAATCTACGGTGGGCTCGGTGCCACACGAAGCTAGGTGCGGCGCTTCTTCGCCGGCGCCTTGCGGGGCGCCTTCTTGGCCGCAGCTGCTGGAGCCTTGCGCTTTGCGCCGCCGCGGGCTTTCTTCTGGAACTTGCTGACATCCAGGTCCTCCTCCTCGTGCTCGCTCTCGGCATCGGACGGCGGAGGCAGACCGTCATCCTCGTCCTTGACGGCGGCCTTTCCTCGCCCCTTCTTGATTGTCGTGGAACCCAGCACGGACTCCACCACCGCCTGCGACTTGTGCGACGCCTTGTTGTACCTGCAGCAGGGACCACATCAGCACACTTCCAGTGAGCATTTTACCGCTACCATGGTTAAATGCATAGACGCAGCGTACATTCGCGTGAAGGCCGTTTTCGCCTTGGTGTCGAGCTCTGAGTAGGAGTGGCGCTTCACGCCAGGGAACTTGAAGCTTTCCATGGACTCGGTTAAATCTTCGCGGGTGATCTCGCACTCATCGAGCAGCTCGATCACCTCCTGAATGTTCTGTTGATAGAGCAACCCATTAGATTCAGCCGATTTGCTTTGCAGCACAAAGCGAGCTGAACGTACATCCTCCCCTGACAACAGCTTCTTAAGCAGAATCTCCTTCATGTACGGCACGTAGTCGAGGCGAATGACTGCCAGCATCAGAGCAGCTCTGTGTTAGAATAAAGTACCAGCAGCACGAGAAACAAGGTAGCACGAACCTTCTCGGGAGCCCGACGCGTGTGACCGCATTCGGACGGATAGCTCACTTAGCAACCGCTTGGACTTGGAAGCCGACGAGTTCTTTCCCAACCACCTGTGCACACGCAAAAGCATATAAAGCGTTAGTTGGTGGGTGCAACCAAACAATCGAGCAATGAACTTGTGCAACATACTTGGAAAACTCAGGATGACCAATGAAGCCGGCCGAGTACACACAGGCACCGACGTTCATCGCAGCCTGTTTTGTGAGCAAGTCCCACCGCTGCTCCATCCGAACATACGTGTTCAACAAGTCGCTCTCCGAAATGAACTCAGAGGCGTGCATCGCCGCCTCGAGGTTCTCGTCCGACGACGTCCGGTTGTTCATGATGCTCTGAATGTAGTTTTCTTGGATCATCAGAGGCATCAAGTCGTAGTCGACGAAATAAGCCTCGTTCCTAGCCTCGAAAGAGAGCTCACGCTGGAAAATCTGTTGAGTTGCACTGAAGGGGTTCAGCCGCAAACTCTCATCCTTGTTGTGCTGAGAAGACGGGTTCACCATGTCTGCATAGGTGATTTTGGTGGTGGTTAGCCGCCATCGCTGCATCTGCGTGAGCAGCTGACGAATGTCGTTGCCGCATCGGTCAGCGGCCTCTTCGATCGCGTTCTTCTCGATGTGCAGTCCTTCCTTCAGGCCGATCTCCATCAGCCGCTTGCCGATTTGAATCTTCGTGGGGCGACGCATGCGCAAGTCGAACGAGTGGTTTGCCAGCGACCGCACCTTTTGGCTCTGGCGGTCATTGCAAATGCAAATGATTGGAGTCTTCGACTTTTTGATGAGCTGAATAAGCTCCGCCGTACCACCGCGGTCACCGCCGGACATACCGTCGACCTCGTCCATGATGATCACACGACGAGCGAGGTGCATCTTCTCCTTCGACTTCCCACTAGGTACGCCAAACTGGAGCGCCTGTGTGCCCAGCACGTCCTTGAGCCCAGTCTGCAGCATTTTCTTGCTGCGGGTGTCGCTTGCGTTCAGCTCGGTGCACTCAAAGCCGCACTCGCGCGCAACTAGGTTCGCAATGGTGGTCTTACCGATACCAGGAGGTCCCGACAGCAACACCGTCTTGGCTCCACGATTTTCCGACAGTTTTGTCGAGAATGGGATCTTCTTGGTGCCTTTGACGTGCATGGCCTCCCAGTCCAGCAGCCACGTCTTCAGTTTCCTGCCCAGCTCAATGTTGCCGATCATGTGGTCCAGTGTCTGCGGCTTGTACTTGTCCGTCCACAGCTCATCATTCACTGACGTGTTGAGCTTCTGCTTGCCCTTGGACGATGCGGTCTTGGCTCCTGCAATTTCCGCCTTGATCTTCGCCTTCTCGTCTGCCAGGTCCTGCGCCTGCTGCGCGGCTGCAGCCTCCGTGATCAAGTTGTAGAACTCGTTCTGGGTCAGGATGCGGACGTTCTTGGCCACCGCCTCCTTGTACTTGGATCCGTCCGTGATCTTGCCGCCCTGCTCCAGCGTGGCGCCGATCACCAAGTACTTGGTCGCGCGCGTGACGCTGTTGGCCACCGACCCGCCGCAGCATTTGACCAGGTGCACCGCGTCGTCCCGCGACAGATTCTCCAGCACGCCCGAGAACACGAACGTCTTGCCGTCTAGACAGCCCGAGCACGGCGCCGGCACCTTCTTCAGCGCGCCCTCCTGCTTCACAAAGCCCTCCAATTCATCGTCAGCGGACGCAGTCGAGGCCCTGCCGACCTCCGTCTTGATCTCGGTCTTGACTTCGGTCTTAACCGTCGGCTTGACCTCCTTCTTGACCTTCGACTTGACCTCGGGCATCTCCTCGTCCTCGTCACTGTCGTCCTTGGCCGCGCGTCGCAGTCTCTTGAGCTTGGCTGGCTCCTTCTTGGGCTTCACCTGCTCCTCGTCCTCCTCCATCTCAAGGTCCGAGTCGGAGTCCACGCGCTGCGCCTTCTTCTTGGCCGGAGCCTTGCGCTTGCTGCTGCTGGCGACTTCTTCTTCATCCTCGTCGCTGCCGTCCAGCACCACCACGTTCTGCTTGGCGGCGCGTCGGGCTGCAGGACGCGACGGAGGCGTCGGCTCGGGCTCCGCACGCTTGGCTGCTGCAGTGGACAGGAATGGCAGACGTTAGTGACGAGTCGGTCAGTCGAGGGACAGTTATATATGCGGCGTACGCTTGGCCGGGGTGGTCGCCTTCTTGCTGCCGGCGCCGTTACTGCTGCTCGGAGGCTTTTTCTGGAAGAAGGAGCGGATGTCCATGGCTGCTCTGGCAAGATGTGGGTGGATCTTCCTAGCCTTCAGCCGACGAAGGCTTCGCGCCAAAACTGGCGACAACTACGGCTGGTTCTTGTAGAGGAAGATTCGTCGGTGCTTCAAAATGTGGTGTGGTGCACAAAGAGCGTGGGATATCAGCGCCCCTTCAACAGCCAATCACATAACGTGTAGCCATCACTTTCGTCCAATCGTCCGTGTTAAAAGCACCCCCAGAGTCAGAGTCAGTCACTGTGCGTCGCCGCCTCGACACCTTCCTTCAGGCATCGCAGCGGCACCATGGAGCTCTCCCCGGCGGCACTCAAGTACGCGAGTCTGTGCGTGTTGTGCGTGCAGAACAGCCTGCTGGCCATCCTCATGCGGCTCTCGCGGGTCGGCACCTTCCCGCGCTTCAACCCGGCCACGGCCGTGTTCGTGGGGGAGGCGCTCAAGCTCGCCACGGCCTTCGCCGTGCTCTTCCACGTGCGTCTCCACTGCCTTCCTGCCCATAATACACTGTGCAATAGTGCCATGCGCCTCTGACTGTGTCCCCTCCTCATTGCAGGAGTTCAACTCGCTCAAGGAGCCGCAGCGCCGGAAGCGCATGGGCGAGTCCTTCCGCACCATCACCAACGTCAACGAGCTGCTGCGCGTGAGCGTGCCCGCCATGCTCTACGTGGTGCAGAACAACCTGCAGTACGTGGCCGTGTCCAACCTGGACGCGCCCACGTTCCAGGTCATGTACCAGCTCAAGATCCTCACCACCGCCATCTTCTCCGTCGTGATGCTGCGCAAGACGGTGCTGCCGACGCAATGGGGCGCCATCGTCACGCTCATGATGGGCGTCGCCCTGGTGCAGTTGGACGAGGACTCGTCCAGCGCCGCCGCTGCGACGGCTAAGACAGGCCAGAGCACCACCAAGGGCCTGCTGGCCGTGGTCGCTGCGTGCGTGTGCTCGGGCTTTGCCGGTGTGTACTTTGAAAAGATCCTCAAGGGGTCGGGGGCGAAGACGACTCTGTGGGAACGCAACGTGCAAATGTGCTTCCTCGGGCTGGCGCTGTCTGGCGGCGGACTGGTGTACAACGACCTGGAGTCGATCGTGAGTCTCGGCTTCTTCTACGGCTACCGCCCTGTGGTTTGGGCTGCGATCTGTATGAGCGCGTTCGGTGGCCTGCTCACTGCGGTTGTGGTCAAATACGCCGACAACATCTTGAAGGCCTTCGCCACGTCCATCGCCGTGGTGCTGTCGGTCATCTTGTCGGTGTTTGTGTTCGACAAGGTGCCCACGGGGCAGTTCGTCATCGGAGCCATTCTGGTCAACGGCTCCGTGTACGTGTACGGCAAGGCCCCGGAGTGGCGCAAAGACCACCTCGAGCCTATCTTGCCTCTGGCTGGCGGCAAAGACCCGAAAGACGTCGTCTAGAGCAGCGATACCGCCATTGAATTGCTACCTTTACCAACAAAAATGTGCCCTAGGGAGTACGAGGTACAGCAGCTAAATACTATAGATGCCATACAATACGAGCCAACTCAACGCTGTCGAGCTCGTCCAGAGCGAGGTTGTAACGCACCATACCTAGTGCGTCACTGTAGTACGACTAGCCAGCGCTGCGAATTTAGTTCGCCTGTCCCCAGAGCTGGTCACGAACACGCACATTAACGGTTTTGCGCTGCAAGCGCCACGTACGAAGATGAAGCTGCCTCTCCTCCTCTTGGGCGTCGTGCTGGTGCTGGCTCCGCAACAGTGTTTCTGCGTGGGTGCGGATGGTGGAGTTGGGAACGACTTCCGAGAAGTGGCCATCGACAGTGCTAGTGCTCGGGTCATTGACGACGGTCAACAGCGACACGAAACGCTCTGGAGCAAGGTATTAACGCTGCAACTGAGCTGTGTTATCGTTTTCTCACTCTCTTCTCTGCTGTTCAGGCTCGATCGGGACTCGTTGAACTCCAGTTTGGACTGTCGAGTGAGGCTCTTGTCGTAAGGAAACCTCAGCGTTTGAGTTCGTTCTGCCCATAAAAGGCTCACTAACGGATGCTGTTGCTTAGGATGCAACCGACGATACACTGGAGTTCCTACCGAGGGGGTGGATCGATTTCCTCACTAGCTCGCTGGACGAGTTCCTAGTGCAATGCGAACAAGATCCAGAGTTCAAGGCCGGGGTGACGCAGAACCTCAGCGCAATGCAAGCTGTGAGTAGCAGCAGCTCCGTTCGAATTACACTTCTTACCTTGCACACTCTAACTTGTACCTGTTCAGTTCGTAGCGTTCGTCTCGATCGGATACGCCGCCATCGCGATGTGGCTAGGCTCGATGAAGCTCACGCGCTGGCAGAGGCGAAGCGTCCTGGTCACGTACACCGCAGCAGGAACTGTTGAGGCAACTTTTCTCCTGCAAGCCTTTGGCCTTGTGTCCATCCACGTTGCGTACCATTTGACGCTGGCGTTGACGGCTATCTTCTTTGTTGCCTTCAACGTCACCAACGCGCTGCTAGTACTGGAATCCGAGGAACCCGATGCGGCAGCTGAGTCTGCAGAGTCAGTCCCGCGGATCATCGAGGCCACCCCAACACGTATTGTAACATCTCACCTAGCACCTTGTTGCTAACATGTACATGTAGCAACTTTTTTTCATTGTTCTAACGCGGAGTTAACATCAATTTCTCAATGTGGGGTTAGTTTTTGTTGGTACATGTAGCGCCGATGGGGTGCAAACACGAATGGTTTACTCTGTCGGTGCTCTCACTATATGCACCGCTGGTGGATCCTCAACCTTCCACCTCAAAACTACTGACAAGCACACTTCGAAACCTCTCTTTGACTTGGCGTCGCCGGATGCTTGAGCTTGAGCTTGTACCAAGATACTTTTCAACTCCTTGACGCATTTGCGCATCGTAATGTCTTGACATGGATTCCAGCCAATCGTCATATCCTCCACCAAGGCCTCAACGGCTTCCTTTAGTTTAAAGGCCTCCCTGGGGGTAATACTCCTTCCCCGCCACTTTTTCAATTCTCCAAGAACCTGCGTGGCATCTTTACCAAGCTTGATCAACTTTTTGTGGTTCTTTGAATTCGACGGATCTAAAATCGCCTCCGACATGTTCTCCAGAAGTCTGAAACAACAGATTATTGTTAGGTGACAACAACAACAACAAAATAACTAACACAACAACGCACGTACCCAATAATCCGATCCTTTGTCGATCGATCTGGTATCCGCTCTTCCGCAAACGCTCGCATTGCATTCACGATCATACGATACGCTGGCAATTGGCGAGCGTTGCCAAGATCGTAGCTTAGCCACCGAATCAGTCTGCCGATAGCCTTGATCATCCGAGTTGAAAAGGCGTTATCAACGTCGCGACCAGTTTCCTTTTTGAACCCCAGAAGCACATGAAGCAGCCGCTTGGTTTGCTTTTCAGGGGGGAGAGTATCAGGACCACCCATCATCGACGAAAACACCCCCTTCTTCTTGGCATATTCAATCGCCGCGATAGCTTTCTCCTTCTCCTTCGCAGGTAACACCAGGCCTTCAGCATTTTTGATCTTCAAAGACAGGGCCTCTACTAGCCTAGGAAGTAACAAGACACGCCCCGAATTAATGCACGCTAGTAAAACAACGTTTTGCTTGGTGTAAACCCACCTCTTTTGCCCACGCTTTCGTCTTGAACACCGAAACTGATTATAATACGATTGCACCACAGCAACGTACTCGTGATACAGTTCAGCATGCTGGGCCTCATATTCGCTGCCGTGGGTCCACCAACCAACCAGAACCTTCATAGAGCTCGTCACTCCAGATGAATACAAACCATTGACGTCCTCTTCAACCGACTCTTTCAAAGCAGCCAGCAAATCTGGCATTATAAACGACCGATCCACCCGAGACAACTTCTTCACCTCATCCACGATAACCTTTACGTACCACACCGTTCTGCTCAACCGTTTAACTGCGACTTTTGTGTCGGTATCAGCTTGCTTCTTTGCAGGACTTAGCTCGGGCTCCACTTCAGACGACGGATCGTCACTCTTGGTCATTAGCGCCCTCCAAGCTGCTTCACTGCCCTCCACGTCGTCTGCATCGTCGTCACTATTGTCTTCTCCATTGTTGTCACTCTCCGACTCGAATCCAGACGATACTGCTACTTTCCGCTTCATTATACCAAGAGAATCACCTCCCAATTTGCTTGACGGCCCTTGCGCGCTAATTTTCGTTTCTTCCTCTTCCTCTGAGCTCTCGGAGGCTGAGTCTGAGTCAACGTTAGTTCCCACCGTCTTCATCCTCTTGACTGCACTATTGCAACGCGTTCTCAGTCTAGTCTTCTCATCTGCACCACTCTTTCGCGCCGGATTGAGGGCAATTGGCACCGTCGCTGCTTTCTCCTCCACCCGCTTCCGCTTCCTCTCCTGCCGCGATACCTCCATCCCAGCTGCAAGTTTCTCCACTTCATGTTGCAAATGTTGCTGCAACTTCATCGTGTTGTCTGCCGACGCTATCAAACTGTCACTGCGGTCGCCGGTCGACGAGTCGTGGCTCTGCTGCAGCTTCGACACTGCACCGTGGACCTCCTCCAGCTTCGCGAAAGCTGCCAACACGTCGCTCAAAGTCTGCGCAACGGATGCAAACTCCTCGTACAGTATGTCGTTGTAGCTCTTGTGCAGCTGCGGCGTCGACACGTGCGCCAGGACGCGTTCGTACAGCTCCTCCATCGCAGGGATTGGTCACCACTTCGGTGGAGTGAACTGCTAGGATTTGGGTACAGTACCTAAAAAGTGGTGCCCATTTATGATTGACCAAACTGGATTCGATGGATGGCTACACCGTCAACAATTATCTTGGCCGCGGAGAGGAAGGTCCAAGTGTGTGACCTTCGAGTGCGCGTTGCTCGGAGCACACCGCAACACCTTCACCGTGAAGATCAAGAAGAATAAAAGAGGGAGTCGACTGTTGGAGGTGATCCAGAATCAATTGCTTCAGTTCCCTCCAAAGTACCTGAAAGTGTGGTTGCCACAAGGACCGACGGTGCGGAAGGGAAACTGGTATGGCTGCCGTCCGACGCAGAAACTCAACCTGGGGGAGATCCACCCACACATTGAGGCCTTGATCTCTGAAGCAGAGTTGGATACCACACGGGCCATCGAAACATTGCTCAACGAGAAGAAACTACCAGACCCCGAAGACGGCCAGATGCACGTGCTGGTGCACGTCCCTGGCCCTCGTCGCGACAGCTCGAAAGAGTGGCGTGACAAGTTCCTTGCCAGACAATTCGCGCACCACCAATTGCCGTCTATCGAGTCGCTCGGTGACTTTGTTGCTCAAGCTCTGCCCGAGAAGATCCGGGTCTGTTCACAGTATCTTTGGAGTTGGTGTCAGCTTTTCAGCCCGCAACTTCAGGAGAAACTTTTTGTAGTCGACAACGCGGCTCCATGCGAGGCGTTTACACTCAACGTGCTAAGTCGTCTGGTCAAATTGCCCCAATGCGGCGATACAGCGTGCGCTTTTCATTCGTTTTGGGACTCAATGTTTCACGACGTGCTGGATTTCGTGCTTCCACAAGCAAGCGCAATCCGCGACTCCGGCAACGAATCACCTGACTTTTTGTTAATCTTCAACGACGTTTATGTGTTTCGTGGTGAAGAGCAAGCGTTTGGTGTTGACCTCGGCTTGCCGGGTAATGAACTTACGGAAAAGCTGGTGTGGAACTATGGCAACATTCCGTATTGGCTTGGATACGCTGCTTCGGGCTACAGAGTAAACGTGTTCGCTCTACGAGCTGGTGGACGTGGGTCCTCGGAGGTGACCAAGCATCGGATCGAGTAGTTCAATTTGGAGAGCGTGGAAGAGCGTTTTCGAATGGTACTCGCCCTTTTGAACTTGTCGCTACTTTTCCCCGGTATCGCGGAAGCTCCAGACCAGGATGACGACGTCAAGACAATTCACCGCCCAAGTGGTGGTGTTGTGCGACTTTACCCAGCATTCGTTACAAAATATTATCCTGTTGGCGCCATCCTGTATCATCTAGCACGCGTGTACGGCGCTCTGCTGGAAGGTGACGTGCCCAATGTCGATCATCTTACGAAGCTGGATTTCAAACTGAATGTTGCAACCTTCGAGCCTTGTGGAGAGATCGCCGCATCACCTCCTCGTGATTTGCCCACGCTGTTCGCGGTTTTGAAGGATGTTCTTCAAGCGCTTGTGGCTCTGCATCGTGTGGGGTGGATCCATCGCGATATTCGCTGGCCGAACGTAGCGCGATCGTGATGCTTGGTTTTTGATTGATCTCGTCGATTCAGCCCCCAGCCCCCACGCGTCTTCGAGCCGCGATCACCTACGCGTAGAAGAACACTCCCCTGAAATGTTTGTTGATGGTATGCTTCACACGACGGCTGTCGATATCTGGGCAGTGGGCTATTTGATCGATTGTAGTGACATTGGATGGGATACTGACTCCAAAAGATCTGCGTTCCGTGAGTCGTTGATGCACCAAGACCCGGAAGCGCGACCCAGCGCAGAGCAACCATTGCGTGAGCTGACGGAGTTTCAACAAGAAGCGTTACCTGCGGAAGCCGACCAAGACCAATCTTGGTTGGGCAAGCGAAAGCACTCATAATGATGATAGTCGCAGCCCAAACGGCAACTGACTCATTTTTTTTTCAGGTTGGACTTTGTTATCTAAACGCGCTAGTAGCTGCAAAAAGGTGCTTAAGTGTACCCGGGTGGACTTCGCCTCTAAATGTACTCGAAGTAGAATGCTAGGTTTACTTCGTACTACGTACAGTTTTCTTCTGCTTACAGTTCATCAATCCCCCAGCTTGCAATATTGTTCAAGCACGCATCGAAACTTCTAGCTGACTTGGTGTCGCTGAGTGCTTGAGCCTCTACCATAACACTCTTCAGTTCCTTGACGCACCTACGCATAACAACGCTTTGGCATGGATTCCATCCCACCGTCGTATCCTTCACTAGGATGAAAAGGGTCTCCTTCAGCGTATGAGCTTCTTTGGTAGACATAGGTGTACGTTTCTGCTGCCATCTCTTCACTTCTCCGAAAAATTTATCTGCACGACGGCGGATATTCGCCAACTGATCAAGGTTCTTGGCGTTTGACGGGTCTGAAATTAGTTCCGACATGTTATCCAAAACTCTATTCACACCAGTTGCAAACAAAAAAATTAGGTGGTTAATGGCAAGGTCCAAGCAGTCTCGAAATAATACAACCGCCACCGCACGTACCCAACAATGTGATCTCTCGCGGATAGTTTTAGTATCCGCTTCGAAAACTCTTGCATTGCGTTCACGATCAAACGATACATAGCTAGGTGCGTAGGCTTACGACGGCCTTCAGCTATCCATCGAGACATTCTGGTGATAGCCTTGACAATTCGATCTCCACAGGTATCCTCAACATTCCCAGTTGTTTCCTTTTTGAATGCAACAAGCAGCAAAAGCAGCCGTCTGATTTGGTCGTCATGGGGTAGAATATCAGGCCCACCTGCCATCGACGAAATGGCCCCGTTCTGCTTTGCACGTGTGACTGCTGCGTCAACTTTTGCCTTGGTACTGCTGGGCATTTGTGGACCACCGAGACTCTCAATTGTAGAAGATATAGCCTCCTTCAACAACATCGTTAACCTGCACACAAGGAATTTAAAATACACAGGTTAATGCCCAGTATCAGTAGGTATGACACAATGCTACAGTAAACCAACCTCTTGAGCTTGGACTTGCAAGCTGAGCCCGATAGCCGATCCGCGTACGACTCCACCACAGCGGCATACTCGCGGTACAATCCAGCATACTGAGCTTGGTATTCGCCCTGGCGAACCCACCAACCAACTAGAATTTCCAAAGAGCAAGCCACATGAGCCTGCTGCTTAGCATCCACGTCCTCCTCCACCGATTCTTTCAACGCGGTCACCACATCTGGAATAATGAACGACATATTGATCGGACGGATGTCTTTGTTCACCAGTTCGACGATGGTCTTCAAGTACGTTGCCGACTTCCTCGGCACCGCTGCGTCCGTATTTGATTCCGTTGGCTTGGTAGTAGTCTTTGCCGAAGTGGGTGCAGCACTTGTGTTGGATGATGAAGCATTCAGATTACCCTTCGTCGTCAAGGCCCTCCACGCTGCTTCACTGCCTTCCACGTCATCACTGTCCGACTCGGACGATGAACTCGAATCATCATCGCTGTTAGATTCGGACGATGAACTTGACTCAGATCCTGACGCTGCTGCTACTTCTCCCTGGGAGCCCGATCCAACATCAGCCTTGGATCGTTTTGCATTGCTGGATGCACCATTGAAACCTGCTCTTCCGTTGTCCTCTCCACCACTATTGGGCACCGGAATGGCGACACTTGGCACCGTTGCCTCGTCCTCCTCCTCCACCACCCGCTTCCGCTTCCTCTCCACCGGCACCACTTCCATCCCAACTGCGAGTTTCTCCACTCGACGCAGCACCTGTTGCTGCAACTCCATCGTACTGTCTGCCGACGCCATCAAACTGTCACTGCGGCCGCCGGTCGACGAGTCGTGGCTCTGCTGCAGCTTCGAGACGGCATCGTGCACCTCCTCCAGCTTCGCGAAGGCTGCCGTCACGTCGCCCAATGTCTGTGCAACGGACGCAAACTCCTCGTGCAGCACGGCGTTGTAGTTCTCGTGCAGCTGCGGCTTCGGCACGAGCGCCAGGACGCGCTCGTACAGCGCCTCCATCACAGCAGCAGATTGGTGGAGTGAGTGAAATGCTAGAATTTGGGTCGATAGAATTTGGGTCCATGAAAATTGATGCCCATTATGATTGACCCATAAGTATGTGTGAAGCTTCGCTACCTTTTCACTGTCTAGGAGCCTGCTCAAGTTTTCCAAGTAAGAGTAGCATTGCTGTACGACAAGCTCTACAGAAGAATCCCGACAGATACGCGCGTAAAGCAATATTCTCTAATCGCTTCGTCGAAATAGGAGTGGTCACACTACCTTCAAAAGAGCGTCATTGAGAAACAAATATGAATGACTTAACCGCGCTGGAAGCGCTTGCAAGCGATGGCATTATTTAAGTAAGCGTGATCGAGACCACGCCTCCCAGATTGAAAACTTCACCTGCAACTACATTTCGTTTGGTGTAGGCTGCGATTGACGAATCTCATGCTCTAACAGGACGATTTTCGACAACTTTGCTGCTCTTCTTCGTAGCTTCCACCCGCCCTCAATCGTTGCTAGGAGAGTTTGATATTGCTGTCGTCGCAGCAACAGGCAGTCATTATTGCAGATCACCGAGGCTACAGCAAAGCCTCTGGGGTGATGGCACCTTGCTGGCAAGCTGCAATAGCTGCAGCAACAGGAAAGCCTCCTAGCTAGCATACTGTATCCAACAGCAGCAGCGCTTCACTCGTCATCCATCGAGAAGGACAACAACTTCTTGTTACTAAGCGTCGGTCGATCTGTGCGTTTGCGCTTCTTCTTCTTGGTTGCGTCCGTCGCCTTGCCCATCTGCACCACCGTCTGCCCCGAAGTCTTGGTCTTCTTCTTGTCTGTGTTCTCCTCTTCATCTTCTCCATCTTCTTCTTTTTCTCTTTTCTTCTTCTTCTCTTTCTTATCTTCCCTTTTAGCCAGATACTCGTCGATCGCCGCCTGCTGCACCTCGTCCAGCCCCTCGTCCTCCTCGTCGTTGGGCAGCGTCGCGAACTTTGCCTGGATGGCCGGCGGCTGGTGGTACTTCTGCAGGAACTTGGGGATCACGCGCGTGAACTGCGGCCCTTTGCCCTTGCCGCGTGCCTTGCCCTTGCCGCCCCCGCCGCCGCCGGCGTTCAGGTCCCTCAAGCTGCCGTCCTCGCGCCAGTCGTCATCCATGATGGCAATTTGCGCCAATAATGCAATATTGGGTCAATATGCAACAGCACCCTAAAGTGGCAATTGAAGAAACCAGTTACATAACGTTCGTATTGCGGTTGCGCGTTTGGGGGGACGGATATAGCAATTATTCATTTTGTTGCTAGCCGCACATTTCCCCGACACCAAGAAGTGCACGACGATGGTGCTCAAGGGCTACCTGTGGAGCCAGCGATGGAACATCCTGCTCACGACGCAAGCCATCTTCACCTGCGGCATCGTGGTCAACCGCTACCTCGAGAACCAGGCCAAGACGGCCGCTACAACGGACCAGCAGCAACCGCAGCCGCCACAAAGACGACCGCTCCCAGAACGCTCGGACAAGTGAAAATAGCGATCAAAGCCAATGCTATCGCTCCACCACCACATCAATAGACTTCCCTTCACCTCCAACTATGACTTCCATGCACTTGCTGCTTCGCCAGCGCGCTGCAAGGTGTCCGAGCGCAATGAAAAGATGCATCAACATCAATATTTTGACCACATTATTACGAATCAATTATCAATAATATTGATTGTTTTCTCATGCCGGGTCCCGTCGAGGAGCTGGTCAAGCGGCAGCTTCGACTCGAGCAGGGGACCTGGTACGGCTCCACACCCACCCTCTACAACGCTCTACAGCTCCACCACTAACTCAATTCATTACCCAATTGTTGCAGGGAGGCGGAGCAGCTCGCTGTGGGTTGCTCGGAGCCTCCAGCGCTGCAGTTCTGGAGCGTCGGCAAGCTGCTGCGCGTGTTGCAGGCCTCCAGATCGCCTGAAAACTCTCTCGAGTCGCTGGCACAATGCGGAATTGAACGGCATTTGGTCGGCAGTGTGGACCCGAGACGAGCGACGTCCCAACCGACAGCAGAGAACTCGCAGGCAGCTCCGACAGCGGACGCCGTGACGTACACGTCGAGTTCCGTGTGGCTCACGGGCTTCCTGCACTTCGGGGAGGACGTGGAGAGCTGTGACACGTTGCATCTGTGTGATAACAATGCGAAGCTTCCGAGTTTCCTGCTGGATCCGAGTCCGCAACTGGTGGATCAGTTGGTGCTGGTCAAGCGCTGGGTGTTGGTGGACAAGGCGTTCGGCCGCGTACGAACTGCTGGGTCCATGTTCCTCGAGGTGCACGACGAGAAATTGGTGCCGTTGATGCCAGTTGCAGGTGAGTTTAGTGATTGGACACGGGAAAGAGTGAAGGGGGTGCTGGAACGTAGTTTCCAGCAGTCGAAAGATCCGCCGATGTATACGGGAACGGAACCGTGGGCTGCCGTTGCAGCGCGTTCAAGTGACGATGGCGACGGTTTGGTAGCAACATCATCTGATGGAATTGAGCCGACAAGAAAGGGCAAGAAGCGGAAGCGTGTTCATTGCGTTTTCGGTCGTGTGACGAGTGTGAGTCCAATTTCGAGGCAAAAAGATCGCGACAGCAGTCACTTCTTCGTGGAAATCGAGCATCCGCAGAGCTGCAATGACTCGACGATGCAAAGCGTAGCTACCGTTATGTTCACTGGAGTTCACAACATGCGATGGCACTTATTTCTCTATCCTGGGAAAATTGTGCTGCTGACCGATCTGGTGAAGGTCCTTTCGCGTGAGTGTGAGATGTTTCTGCTTCAAGCGACTATCGGCCATCGATCCAAAGACCCTGCCGAAGCTTCAAGGGACTCTCTGCAAACAACAGTACTCGTTTGGCACGAGCCACCCCCACCTCCAAGACATTTAGCGCAGTGGATTGACGACTCTTTTCGTGGGTATTCCAAGAACTTCGCGTCTCGCTGCTGTGGAAAACTTTTGGACTACGAGGGAAAAGTATCTCGACTCCTGTGGGATGAATGCATTGAGATCATTGGGAGCGATGGGACTCAAGTTATTGTTTGCCTGTTTCACTTCCCGTATACACACGAGTTGGTTCGTATCCGCAAAGACGCCACCATTCAAGTATGTGGCGCTCACGTACTCCGCTGGCCGACGCCTGTCGGTGGAAAATTAGTGGTTGGTTTGTGTGCTAGGAGTCACCTCAATGTCACTGCATTCAGTGATCCGAGTAGCTCCTGTATTGCCATGGGAACCCGTTCTCGTCGAAATAGAGCTCACAAAAAGTGGTCAAGCTTGGGCGATTTCCATCGTCAATCGATGGTGCTGTCGATGTGGCTGCTGGAGGTTCTGGAATTGTTGGATACGAAGTTCGTCTTTGGAGAAAACGAGCAAATGCTGTTGTTCAGTTCCTCTTCGCTATCATTCCCGCGGATTCGGCGACGCCAAGCTGTAGCACATGTGGCCAAGAAGCTGCACTTGGATCTGGGCGGTGGGCATGATCAAACAGCAACAACACTTGGCGCTCTCTTCTTGAAGTGTCACTCCAATAATGCTGGGAGTTGCCCATCGATCCAGCTTTCTCCTGAAAAACTATTGACGTGTAATCGGGTAGTGACAATTCGAGAGCTCAAAGACTTTGGGGAGAGCAAGGCGAAGGAAATGCTCATGACGGGGGATAGTGATGATAGTCCTCTATCCATACAGATTTCAGCTGAAAGTCTGGACTGGTGTGTTCTTCTTGGATGCGTTCGAGGAAACGTCGACAGTGGAGATTTGGAAATCTATGATCGCACTGGGTCGATTTCGTTGCAGATGACTGGTGACGCTGTATCTACAGATTTTGATGGGGAACGCGGCGTTTATCTACTGCGGAGTTTTCATCTTACTATTGAGGACTACAATCGAAGCCAAGATCCCAGTCCGGAGGAAAAGATACCGCTGGTATGTTGTGTGAGCAGCCCGGCAGCCACTTTAGCGTACCTCCCCATGCTTGGTGATGATGGAATCAGTTATTCGCCAGAGGACAAAACTCAAACCGAAGCCGGGGAATTGCTGATTATGGTGACCCACGTTGACGCTTTGCCGCGTTCTGATATTCGGCTGACTGGATTGTTGCCTGAGTATCGAGTTGTGCATAGCATCGTTTGTCCTGTTGCCCAGGAGCTCCAAAGTGATGTGTTCATGAAGTCCGCTTTCGTTGCTGATATCTTGATAAGCACTCGCTGTACCAACTGGTATATCCAAAAAGGCGGCTACTACCGGATCAAAGCAATCGAAGACACCACAAGTACTGAAACCCGATCCATATCTCATTACAGTGTGGAAGATCAAGCAATTAGGGCCTCGATAGACTATTTTGAAGCAAAATGTGTCGCTGGAGGAAAACGGGTGGTGTGCTTCGACTCTCTGCGGCATTATAACCGCGCTGATAGTGGAGATCCAAGCGAAGAGCGCCCATTTCGAGTGTATCGTGTGGAGCAAGGACATGACTCCGTTGTTCCAGTCTTCCTAGAATGTGACAACCCCACGCAACAAACACGGTGTGAAAAGCATGATGAGTGCCAGAAGAGTGAGCAAAACCGAAGTGGAATGCTGGTTCCTACAAATGACAATTCTCTATCGGGCAAGGTATCTGCGGTTTTCACCAAGGGGCAACTGCTCGTGAAACAAACGGCCATTAGCGTATCGATACCGGAACTCGTGGCTGTGAGCGTGCTCAGGTATTTCTTTCAGCAGTTGGAAGTGGTATTTGAAGTGCACGACTTGCTCCACCACCCACTTTCGATTCGATCTCAAGAATCAGTCGAAGGCAACAAAGAGCAGCCGGTTGTAATGACAGTGGATCCGGATCTGCACAAAGCTCATCTGATCTCGCTCGTTGGCATGATCACAAAGAAGAAATATTACTGGCAGTCGACATCACCCCAGCAACCCTCCACTGCAACTATTGGCGTAAAGCGAGCTCGATCAGGGAATAGCGAACCCGGTGTTGCCTATACTTCCAATCGTCGGCTGCTGTGCATCTTTCAAGTCCGCGACCTCCAGCATCTGGATACTGTGGAGATTCGCGTGGATGCGTCACGCTTTGGTCTTCTGGGCACGCTGCGATTGAACAGTATCGTGGAGTTTTCACGGCTGCAGGGTTTCATCGCTCGATCCAGCTACAAGGTGTACTTGAAGTGGAGTCACCTGACTGCTGCTCGACCGGTTTCGCAAGAAATCCGTCTACCGATTCCATCAGAGGCTGAGCTGTACAGCTCCATGTCCACGTCCTTCCTCAACGACATGTACCATTATTCTCAGGTTGACCGAAGACTGCATCGGTACGTGGTCGGAGTCATGCACATCAGCTACGTGTTGATGAAGCGCAAGTGTGAATCTTGTCACCAGGCGTTGCAGCTCGTCAAGCGGCGTGGCTGCTGGAAGCACGCAGATCCACTACCCGGAGCTGCATTCTACCGCGAATGCAAGTGGAAGCACCAGCACTGGGCGATATCTGAACCCGTCTTCAAGACCCGCACGTTCTTGGGCGTCACCGTGCGCTGCGTCATCGACGACGGATCCGCGCAGGCCGAGTTGTTCCTGGAGAACGCCGTCGCGTGGGAGTTGCTGACTTGTCCTGACGGCCAGCGCCAACGCTTTGAGGACATTCTGAGCAACTACGTGGACGAGCTGAGCTACTTTTCGGGCCGCACAGCGAGCGGCTCGTTCGCGACCAGCAGAGCCGAGCGGGAGCAGGAGTACTACCAGAACGAGCTGCGGGCCTTCGTGGTGGACGCCCTACCGTCCTTGAGATCCGTGGTGGTGTTCGCCCAGCGGTTCTACAAGGCCAAGCAGCAGCAGGAGGGCACGTCCGTGCTCACCTTCGGCAAGGACATCCACCTCACGACCAAGACGGCGCCCCAGCCCAAGCTCGAGGCCAAGCGCGTGGACCGCCTCCATGTGCGCAGCGAGCTGCAGCGACGTCTCGCGCAGCTGCGAGCGTTATCAGCCGACTAGCAAGACAAGACACCGGTCGACGACTTGAGTCCCACTGTGCGACGACCCGATGGACCAAAATCATCTGAGAACTTATTTCGCGTCGCCCGCTCGTCCAAGTGCAAATCCTTACCGCACTTCAAAAAACCAGCTTCGCTTCAACTTACAACAAATCTATCTTTCACCAAGCACCTAAAAGGCCCGCATTTGCAGCAACTTGTTGCAGCGGCAATAACTTTACGGCAATTTTCTCTAACCATATAAAAAGAAAGAAAAACATATCGCCACAAACCCGTCAGTTAGCGAGTTCTGCACGTCAACTCGACGCAACGGGCTCAGCTCAACTGAGTCCACACCCCCAGCTTCCCGCAACTGTCCTCCTCCACACAATCGCCTCGTGTGTCTATCACTGGTGTCTTTCCTTTGAAGCAACTCAACTGGATCCTGTTCCGCGCGCTGTGATTGGCCAATTTCCGTGCAGAAGCCCGAAAGGTCAAAGCGCACCCACGCCAGATCGGAAAGGGCCACTCAACCAACTCAACCAACCAAGGTTTAGAGAGGTTTAGAGAGAGACCGGTAGACGTACGTCAGACGGACAGATGCAGGGCCCCACGCCCGCCACCGAGCCCGCGGCCGAGCCCCCGCAGCAGCAGAAGAAGCCTGGCTCCGCGCGCGCGCGCAAGGCCACGACGCCGCGCTCGCGGGCCAAGAAGCCGGCGGACGACAAGAAGGCGGCCACGCCCAGGCGTCGCGCCAGTCCGAGGAACCGCAAGGCGGCGCAGGACGCGGAGCAGAAGAAGAAGGACAAGGACAAGGACAAGGACGAGAAGGAGAAGGAGAAGGAGGCGACAGAGGCAGCTCCAACGGTTGCTGTTGCTTCTTCTCCTTCTCTTCCGACTGTTACGGAGGAGAATGAAGGAGAAGGAGAAGAAGGTGTGAAGCAGGAGACGAAGGTGGAGAAGACGGAGATGGGCAACCAACAGGAGGCTGCTACTGTGGCAGGTGAAGAGCTGCCGCCAGCTCAAGACACGCAGCTGAGGAGAACGTACCTCCAGAGAATGTACGGTGCTGTAGGATTTTCTTTTCTTTTAAGATGGCTACAGTTGCTGACTATTTATTTATTTATTTATTTTATCATTTAGGTATCGACAGTTGCAGAGTACGCACCCGAACCAGGACGACGCGATGATCCGGCAGATCGCCACGAACGTGGAGATGGAGGCGTGTCAGAAGTCGGCGACGCGGGTAAGTCTTTTAGTTATTTCCTGCGTTTTGACGACAAGTTTTTTTTTCTTTTGTGGAAATACTTGAAAGACTCACGCTCCCTATGTTGTTGTCGTGGCTGGATGACTATAGAGTCAATACGTCGCTGCAATGGACCACGAGATCCACAAGCTCATGCAGTTTGAGATGGAACAGGCCAACGCGCCGGTCTACACGAACGACGCGGCTCAGAGCTACCAGAGCGAGCAGTCTGCTACTGTCCAAGGCCAGCAGCCGGCCGTGTCATGCGAGATGCAAAGTGGATACTCGCAGAACCAGATCTCGCAGTCTCACAGTTATGAGTACGCGCAAGCGCTGGCGAAGGCGCAGGAGCAGGAGCAGGCCAACAACAGCACCAGGTCGTCGACATTCTCCACGCCGCGGCAATCGATGAATGGTGATATGTCGTTTCAATCTCTGATGGATAACCAGACTCAAGGTGGATATGGACGCGACGGTATGCAGCAGCAGCAGCAGAACACGCCGACGCGACTCATGAGCATGCAGAATCTGCAGCAGATGGGGAACCAGTACTACTCGACCTCTTCCATGACGACCCCAACCAGTCAGAGCTACTCGGTTCAGAGCAACGTCAGCGAGATGGCTGGACAAAGTGTCCCTCGGAACATGATGGAGGCGCACCAGCAGCAGCTTGGCAACTACCCAATGCAGCAACAGCAGCAACAGATGCACAACCCCGGATCGGTGCGCCCCCCGTCGAGAGTGACGACGTTCCAGGAGTTTACGGCCCAAATCCAGCATTTGGACAAGTCGGTGCTAATTGAGCTGCTGTGGAATCAACGGAGTGCGTTGGCTCGGTGGCAGAATCATGCGAAGCAGCTCGAACTACAAGTTTCAGCTCATCAAACGGCAGCTAGCAACATGGGAAGCTCTGGGTTCCAGTCTCCCTACAACTCCCCTATGGTCGGTGGAGCGGCTTTTGTTAGTCCAAATATCGCCGCAGAAGCCGAGATGCAGCGCGCTCGAGAACGTAACAGTTCTCGCATGCCGCAACTGCCGCGCCACCAGCAGCAACAAATGCCGCAGTACGCGTCATATTCACAGCAGTCGACTCCAAGCAGCGCTACCTACTCGCAAGCTGATGGATCCTGGGGAGACAATAATCCACCACTGTACTGGCAACGAATCCGACAATTGAAGTCGGAGTACGAAGAGCAATTGCGGACTGCACAGAGAGCCTTGGCTCAAAATACTGTACCTCCCAACTCGATGTACAGCGCGAAGGCCCAGTCAATGATGCAGAATATCACCATGGTGCTGAACATCCTGAACGAGCCGCCGACTAATGTCCAGCCACGGAAACTTGAGGTGCTTAGTTCAATTGAGCGCTTCATGCATCAGAGTGTGGCTCCTATTGTGCGGAAAGTTCTGTCAAGCGCGGCTACGGTATCCCCAGCCGCAGTAACGGCGGGGTCGTCCCCATCAATGACAACAAGTGTTGCAACGTATTCTCCTAGTGCGCCACTCTCTCAAGGCAGCGTTGTGGGGGTGTCTAGCAGCTTCAGACAAGGCTCAGGCAACCAGTATATTGGAGCTCGGTGGGCATCTTCGAACTCGAGCTTCAGCAACATGGACACTTCACGGCAGCATTCACGTGGCATATTTGCAGATTTGGATGCCGGTGACGCTAACGGCCAGAATCGAGTGATGGATGGATTGACAGCAGTCGGGAACAGTCCGTGCAACGCGACGTACGATCCTTCGGGTTATGCGCCAGTGAGAGCGGAAAATGATAGCCAGCCCGACAGCTCGATGAGTCAGAACATGGTGTATGAAGCTCCGTCGATGAGCTTGAAAGAGTCGAGCACCTTATCTCTGCCCGCGTTAGAGTCTCGCCCGTCAACAATTCCCGACAGTCACCTTTCCCCTGGTGATCCAGGCAACACGCGAGATAGCAACAGCAGCAAGGTGAT